TACGGCACAAATATCATGGTAGTCATTTCGGACGACCAATGACAGAATCAGAGTATCCTTACACCGATTCATGAGTTGTGTACTGCTAACTAAATCAGAATTCTCCGAACAACACGTCTCCAAACGCAAAGCAACGCCCTCTTCCAGTGCGCGTAACGGCCATTGTACGATCAACACCAGTAAACGAAACAAGCAAGGCAGGTTCAGATCTCTAGCACCGGAGGTCATGATGCACGTTGGGTCGTCTTGCAGGTGCAGATGCTCTAGATTTCGACCGACGTACTTGAGCGTACGCTGTACGGTGTCGTTAATAGTACCCATAGCTTTTTCCAGATGACCTTTTCGCATGCTTCGTTCTAAATACGGACGCAGCGCTGTCGCTATAAAGCCAATTTTCGCCTCGAAAATTTCAACGTCGAAATCCGTGTTTTCCGTACCGGAAGATGCGTCTTCTTGTTTATCCTTCACTTCAAACCGATCTCCGCTTTCAGTAACTGCATCACTAACACCGAACAATAGCGGGAACAAATATTTGTCTTTTTTACCGCTCAGAATTCCAACCAGTGTCTGCACACAGCAGAACAACTGACTGTACAAATTATACCATGTATTTAGTGCCTCCAGATTCTTCTGAATTTTCGGCTCGGCATACAACGGATGCTGACGAATGAGTTCTTTGGTACACGTAAACAAATTCTCCACATCTTCCAACTGGTTTTGTATATCAAGGATGGCCTTTGCGGCAAGCTGAATCTTTTTGATGTGACTTTTATCCAGCTGACCAGCATCGCTTGAACCCGGTACATCATCAATTCGAAACTGCAAAATATCCTTCAACACTTGGTCTACTTTTGAGCGATTGCGGGCCAATAAGGTAGAGTGCTGTCTCAAACTGCAGTCCGATCGCCGTGCTTGCAACTCGGACCAGAAGGTACTGCGCAGAGCCTGTTGGGCTTCTTTCTGCAGATGCTCCCCGTTCTTCCTGGCTCTGATGCGCTGCGAGACGACCATGGGAATGAAGACAGCGTAGAAGGTGATCTGCTCCGGTGAACAGTGTAACCAGGATGAGCGGCCGCTGTAATCGAGAACCCGCTCCAAACAGCCATGACGCAAACGGATATTCCGATCAGGGTTGTCCGAAGACTGGAACTCGTCCGGTTCCGTGCGACCGGGATCAGTATTGTCCATGTTGCAATAACGCGGAAATTCTCAGTGAGACACTCAATACAAACGCCGGCCTCCACAAAAATTGGAGCGTCGCACAAGAAAGTCACCGTAAGTGCGAGGAAAGCAGATTACTGCTTGTAAAGTGTTCCATGAATACATGTATAAATTGTGGCCTAAACGAAGTGGAAGTAAATCAAGTGGAACTAAATTCCACGGCAGTCGTTGATTTCCGAGAACAGTATCTGTACGGGTATGCAGAAATAACCTGGGTAGTTTAGTGCGCATATTGCTCATACTGGCGTTAACGGTAGATCGGTCTTCAAAAGCGGCATCACAATGAACCTCATTCTCCTGCTGTTCTGTATATGAAGCCAAATGTAAGCATACAAGGCGGCAGTTCAGCGCGTGGCGAATACAACGGATTTCCAAGGACCCGGCAGCTGCAGCTTTAATTTATGTGTATCGTATTATGCAAACAAACATTTGACGATCGGGTTTGTCAAAAATAAACATAAACCCGATACTATCCGACACAAGGCCGTTACAACAAGAAGCCAGAAAAATTTGTGATTTGCCCTTCGATCCTTCAGCACATATCGATGCTTCGCCAAAATTAAACAGCTTTTCTGTGTTGAACTTTTGAGCATATTCTCTTAAAGCCACCACACTACGATAATCACGTACAATACTTGTAATAAGTTTGGGCTATTTTATTTTTTACTAAAAGATGCCTATTTGGGATCAGCTCCTTTTGGAACTGGCTTGGACAGCAACATCACCATGGCAGAGCCGAGTGATACGATGCAAACAAGTCAAAACTTTTAGCTTATTTTACTCATACGTACTCAACACAAAGTACGAAAAGTCAAATTTTTCGGCTTCGTATTCGAGAGGGTGAGTGCGACCAGCACCTTAGTTGGAATTGGTCTCCATTACTTCGGTCAAATTATTGACCGCAGTGCAGTGTGGCACCTCGCTTTGGCGAAAAAGGTCACCGGCAAGGACGGACACGGTTATCAACAAAGCAAATGTCTGCGAACGCAAAAGTGATATATGTTCAGTGCGTAATGCGTATACCCTTCAAGAAATCCATGACTGTGTGAACGAAAAGTCTGACCTCTGACCTTCACAATAAGACCCGGTCGAAGGGGAACGCTCGCCGCCAGAAAAACCGTTGGCTTCAACTTATCGGTTGTTAAGCAGAACACATCCAGCAAAATTTTTAACCGGTTGTCCTGTAAAGGCAAGCTTTCACTGAACGCTATCCGTGTGAGATTTTCGTCAAAGGTATAAGTTTACCTTTTCCGAGCGCATGATAGAAGTTGACCTTTCCAACAGCTCGCACGAAGACAAATGCAGAATATTTCCCTAATAAAAGGATACTAGAATTATTCAATGTGCAAGAAAAATCATGCAGAAATATCCATACTGGTACATGGTCATACTGGTGCAACAAAATGATGTTAGCCAGAAATGAGTACCATAATATTACAAATTGTCGTAGTGCAGTGGCAGGAGCATTAATGTAACAACTATGCTTTTAATTAAGGTTCATAAAATACGGTAGCTGCATCATGCAAGTAGTAATTTTAAACCGGAATAAGCTATTTCTGATTTTTCTAAATTTAAATCGCTTGCCTGTGTAAAAATAATTAATAAAATATTATGATTATGCGGTTCATGGAATTATAGCGGTCAGTCTGCCAGATATGGACTTTAATTACTGCTGTTATTGTACACCGTACGGTTGCGTATCTTGCATTCCTGGTTATAATCTACTGCTGTTGCCATCATTCAAAATTTTTCGTAATGTTCATTCGATCTGCCCCGAAAATCGATTAAATTGGTAACGGGCTAGAACACCGACCATTCACGTTATGCGATCATGCAACAGTTCTTTATGTAACGCGCCCTATGGTATGTAGTGTGTACGAGGGCCCTATCATAAGTTGTCGCCCTCGTACTTTTGAGTCATATCGAAGTACACTAAGAGTACGTACTTTTACGTACGTACGTACGTACTTTTGAGTCATATCGTACACTAAGACAGGCTCTTTATGCGAGTTATTTCAAGCATCAGTCTCATATTCTTCGAACTATGTCTCTGATTCGTTTAAGCAGTATTACCTGTTCTTCCGCTAATATAACCGGCATCGAGAACACTACCGTCGACAGCCCGAACGTGGCGATGCCCAGCGCCGACACAAAATGCCCATTCACCGGGGTCTTCGACTGGAAATCCGCCACACACGACAACATCATAGCGGTATCCAACACGAAACCGGCCGTCAACGGCCACGTGAAGCACCAATTAAACGCTTGCATTGCTGCGCGCATCTGTGCATGCGCGTTGATCAAACCCTCCATCGCCGTTCCAGGTGTCCCACGGGATCTTCGGTATTTTTACTCGAACATACCGGCGTCATTTGCACCGATCGATTCAGCGATCGCATGCCGAACAAAATGATTATTCCATAGGTAAAAAAGACGGTTTGCACGAGGATGGAGACAAAGTACGGCAGCATGCCGCTGAACAGCCAAACAACGTAAAAGCCTTTAATGGGAAAGGTCACACCGAATTGTCCCAGCATGGTACTGGGGTTTTCCCATCGCGCGATGTCAATGGTGCCTTCCTGGAACCACGTGAGGAAATCCCATATCCAACCTAACACGAAGACGCAACTTCCTGTTATCACGGGCAACAAACGAAGAATTCGGGATCGCACGAATGATTCGCGATTTTCAGTGGTAATCGCATAAATTGAATTTTGCAAAGAACTGAAGTGCTTCTCGCTAAGAACAAACGCCAAGATTATTGACGGACCACGGAGCGCGGAAATGGCGTCTTGACAGGTGACAAAAATCTGATCGAGCAGCTTTCGAATGTGTCCCTTGAGTTCGATGATATGCGATACCGTAAAGATACACGCTATAAAAATTCCACTAAAAATGCAGAATATTCGAAAAAATATAAGAAAATTCCTCATGGAGCGTGTGGTGTTAAAACGAACCACGAGACAGCACACAGCTGGCAACCAGGAAGTAGATTTTGGGTGCTGCATGGTTGTATCCGTAATGCGGTTGGACCGGTGCCGTTTCATTACTAAACTCGCGAGGTTGACGGTACGCTGTATATTTATTTTGGGGAAAAGCATCAATCGTAATGAGATTTGACCAGTTGTCACCATGTCAGTGCTAAGATGAATTTAATTTGGGATGGTATGGTTACAAACTTGAAATACCTGGAATAAGTCAATAAAGTGCAACATCAGCTGTATGGGCATTTATTATGGGATTGCGGGATCAGGACAGTACGCGAAGGGATTTGGAATTTAACTGATTCAGCGCAATACCCGCATTACATCCCGTTAAGTTCTGCTTTATGTTTGTACAACTGCTGGAGATCCACAACAGGTATCTTGTCTAAACAGTTAGATTTCTGTGCACGTACATGGAAGAGAAGAACAAAACCGAAGCAGTATTTGATTTTGCGCATATGCCATAGTTACATGAAAAATTAGTAAAACTGCTGTGATACATTTTTTAAAAAGATATTTTCGGTTGCATTATATGGGAGTTAACTACCCATAAGCATCCTGCAGACTAATTGCGGTTATTAAAGCGGGGTAGGCAAAAGGTATGTATACGTGTACGTACAAAATACAAACGGCTTGTTATTGGCCGAATGCTCAACCAGGTTTACGATCAACAGGCTACTGACACCATTCGTTAATGATGCGATGGTGTCACACTTGGATGGCTAATTTGAATAATTTGGCTCATCCAAGTTATGCCACGCTGGGCTTTGCTACTGTCCACTAAACATTACCAGCATGGTGTTCTAACAGTTCTATTTTCATGGTAACAATGACACTACTGAATACTTACTGCGTTTGCTCCATACGTCGCTGTATTGGATGGACTATCGCCATTTTCCTCTACGCCGGAATACTGTTATCAGTGTTATGTAACGCCGCCCGAACCGTTAAACCAAACAGCGGTCAGTTTATGCAAGAACTTCTGAAGTCCGGTAAGTGTACAACGTATAATTGCCGTTTACCTTCATCGTTAAAATATAATTTTGTTGTTAACTACAGCATCGGCACAGCAAATCTTTTTACCCTTAAGTACAGCCAATATCACCGCTAACCGGCATCTTTACGGGAAACTGCTCAGGTAACCGTAATCTTATAAACCTAAATTATTCATCATTACAGGAAACCTTGTAACACGAGATATGCTGTATGTAATAATAGGTCGAATTTCCTGGATGCCCGGTACATTGTGGATGCCAATGATCCGTCGCTGTTACTCGTACAGCTGTCCAGCCGTATCACCGCGTTCTGCCATGTACAATTCCATTCCTACACGATGGTACGTGAGCGTCGCGTTATGCTCGACTGCGCTGCAATGTTTCGCTTAAACATCATAACATTGTTGTAGAAAAGTGGGGAAAGGGTGGATAAAACGGAGGACCAGTTTGATTTCCCCATGCCCAGCGGTTTCATCCACATTTACAACGGGAAAGAGCGCAAGAAGCGCAGTATCCTCGATGTCATCCGGTCAGTGCCGCAGCTATCGCGCCTGCACCAGGCCATCCAGACAGTACCGGGACTTCCGGAATATTTAGCATGTAGGTCATAGGCGTCTGTTAGCACTGAAAAAAGTCACCAATATGTATAATTATAGTTTCACCAATATGTATGTAGTTGTCAAAGCTTTACTAATAATACGAGGTAATAATATGTTAACTAGGGCCTACTGGTAGTGATAATACGGAACCATGCAGAAAGCATTATGAGGTTAGGAATTACTGTGATAAATTACTGTGATCAGGAATTACTGTCAGAGTTTTGATACTTGTACTGCTCATTAAAAAAATAACTGTATTGAGAATATTTGCTGTATAACTATTCACCCAAGCTGCATAAACAGGTAATGGTCCGGTAACAATGTTTGCCGCAAATAACGATGGATGGGAACGTTTTGGATTGGAGAGAATGTCACTATTGATGCGCTGGCCCAATGCCATGCAAGGCACGTAACAAATAACAACGCTGCACACTGCACAGGAAGTGTACGGACAAAAGCTAGCGTACAATATACGTAGCTATACCTATACATATTACTACAGTATATACGAGGTGCAGCAGTGTTTACGCTTTAATGCTTTAACAGAATTACTGACGAATATGGTGGTAACCAACGGAACACTGGTAACGGATGATTGGGCTGACGGCGACATAATGACCACACTGAACAGCTACGGAAGCCTGCAAGCGCGGATAGCCGCAGGTGCGGAAACTGCAGATAGTAACCATAATATGCATAGCGTATATGTACACTTTTATCCCGGTACAATGGGCATTATTTGCAGACTTTCTGTACAATAATGTGTACAGAGGCACCGTTATCAGAACCACATTTATTCCCATCACAATAAATGCCTTATACTGTATTTCAGTATATGTAAAATGTTACTACTTTAAAAGCAAAACCAACCTCGTACGGTAAACAGATGTTGGTACATGCCACATCGTTATTCTGCCTAAAATTATTCAGCACATGGAATCCATACTAAAAGCACCGCCTATTGTTGTTTATTCTAGACGGTGTACTGCGGATCATCAACAGCCGTCCCTCGCCCTTCATGGCCTCCCTCAGTCCGTCCCGCGCTCCGTCGCTCCTGACGGATCGCGCCCGCCCCGACCAAGCGCTAGTCTTAGAAACGGATTACTACGCCGACAACGGCGTGTTACACATCGTGGACAACGTCCTGTACCCGCCGGTGCCGGCGATTAACGAGACCGTCGCCCAGCTGTTCCCCTTCAGCCCCTACATGCCGCTGCCGCCCATCCAGGTCGACTGGGATTCCGATTGTGTCGGACAAGTGGCGGATTCCATGTTGGCCACCACAACCACCACCACTAGTAAACCGCTGATATTCTTTCCCAAAGCGCCGAGAAACAGGCACAATCCGTTGTTTCCCGGATGAAAACTTCGTTAATTAACGTTGCGCCTGTTATACCGGTCATAAATGCTCTTCAGTGTAGAAAATTCCCAACATTAAAAATGGTGAGAATATCAAATTTTAATTTCTGCTGAGTCAAATCCGCAAATCAAACGGAAAATCATGTCGCATGCAAATTAAAGCATTGCTTCACAGCACTTGCAAAATCCACATCGCTTTACAGGTAAAAAGAGATCAACAAAGGAGAACATGTAAAAAAATACTCGTAAAAAATTATAAAAAATGTAAGATTGTTGGCAAACGTGTGGGCCCGCAAAAAAATAGTTATTATCGACAGACACCCATCCGGAAAAGGCACGTTATACAAAGGGAAAAGAGAAAATGATATTCATAACAAAGTACGAGGAGATGACCGACAACTTCTTCATCTGGTAGACGTTAATGTTGCGACAGAACTGGGTGCCCTGATAATTCGCATTTGGGCGTGGATCTCGGCTTTGGACGGCGCATAAAATCTGAACCAACAAAATAAAGCATATCGTAAAAGCCAGTATTTTCCCGTATGTAATTACGGCAACATAAACATGATCCCACAGAAAAACTGTTCAAACTTTTTAAACGGAAGAAGACGAATAAAGCAAAACTAAGTGGTCGCAGAAATAAAAAGCAGCAAAACAACCAACCTAATCTGCCGTGCTTCACGTTTTCTACTGCGGCTAGGCATCGGAGCGGTTAAAAACACTATATCAATAAGAACTAAGAAACTGGGTGACTGTTTTGCGTTTAAAAAAATATAATCCACAAGTATTCGGACACGTCATCGGGACGCCGAAATATTCACCAAAACCCAGACGTATTTACAAGGCAAAATTGTTCATACTGCGGCAAAACATTCTCAGTCATCAACGTGTCGGAAAAATGTGGCGCACAGTAAAAAACTGCTATAATTAAATTTTTATTAATTAATTACCTGATAATAATAATTATTATACCATTTATTTTTACTATCATTATTTATTTTTATTAATTTTATCAATACCACTATTTTATTATTGTTTTTATTATACAATGCACTCACCTTGGCCAGTGCCATGACAACCCGCTGATCGCCATGCGCATTAACATAATTAAACCAGCGCCCGACCGCCGCCGACAATTCCTCCCCGTCCACCGCCGGCAACCCGGCCTCCAGAGCACTCCACACCCGGCACTCCAGATCCGCGTCGATTTTCAGCACCGCTCGCGGAATCTCCACCACCAGCGCCACCCGTGGGCAGGGCACCTCCAGAAAACCACACACCAGCTGCGCCGAAAACCCCACCAACTTGACCGCCTCGCACGGGAGACGCCGGCACATCTCCGCGAAGACCCGCACCCCGGAGGCACTGTCCTCCGTGTGCGCGGTGCACACCGCATCCGCCGGCACATTCCCCACGATCTGCCACTCCCACACCACATTGGCGATGGTCACGCAACGCAGCCGGCACCCCACGGTGGGCGCTGCGAACTCCAGCATGCCGGCGATTAACTGCATCCGCGGGAAATCCGGGAAAAGGGTCGGGGCGACCTCGTGGGGGTCGTAGCTGGTCAGCAGGAGGCTGCGGGTGTCCGGGCGCAGGAGTTTGTAGACGACCGCCACCAGGGGGTACTCGTGGTTGCGGGCGCATAGGGCGTCGGTCAGGATCAGGTGGTTGGCGAGGGAGGCCGTGTCCAGGAGGTCCGCCCAGGCGCTGCATACGCGGCGGGTGCGGGATTGGACGAAGCTGTTCAGACAGGAGAACACCTCTGTCAGCAGGTCGGTGGGGAGGTCGCGTATGTCGGCGGAGGTGTCGTCGGTCGGGGTGGGGTTGGGGGTGATCTGCAGGTTGTTGGTGGCAATGTTGCGAATGATTTTCGGCAGGAATATCGTCGGGTTCAACTGAAATATCGTACGCCCCATTATTATACTCTATTATATTAGACAAACTAAACATACATAATTTGATGCAATATCAGTAAATTTTATTAACTGATTAAAAAACGATGGTTAATAAATCTTAGGACTCAAGTGATTGCGGAAAATCTAATCAACGATTCTGGTCACTAAAAAAATATTATTAAGAATTAATTTCATTTTTAAACAACTTAAGTCGTTTGCACACCGGTATAATGACAGGTGAAAAACTGGATGTGCTAACCACTTCACTACTATTTTTTCGACATACAGTATTCCGTGTGTCACCAACCTAATGGTAAGTATGTTGCACCCGCTGGTCATCATTTACATAATTCAGTCGGAAACCAAAATTAATTGAAGCCATAATAGAGTAATAATTAGTGACTGATATCATTGACTGACTATTGATTGAAAATTATTGACTGGCATTGTTACTGGAAACTTACAAGTTTAATATTTTATAAATTTACGAGAGGATTTCAATATAATTCAAATATATTTCAAATATATTTCAAATATATATTTCAAATATATTTCAAATATATTTTTATATATTTCAAATATATTTCAAATATATTTCAATATATTCAATATATATCTAATAATTCAAAAATCAAGGGAAATTAAACTCATAATTCGTAATAAAAAAAGATTTGTTTTTGTGACTTCATTAAAAATGAAAAAAATTTTTAATAAATACTTGAAAAGTCCTTAAAATTTCTAAGTAAACTGTAAACAGAAACAGATAAATATTTGTTAATTAACTTAGTTTATTGTACGTAAAACATTTTTCAAATGAAGCAGATTATTATTTATTGGCTGAATTCCATACTGAAAGGCCATGAATTGCAGTGATCATACCGTGAGGTGCTTGTGACGGTCAAACCGAGCCAATGGCAACAATTCCAGGCACACAACCGCTCCGGCTTCCACCGCCACCGGCATAATATTCACTTCCGCGCGGAAATAATCGTCGAAGTACCACTTGAGATGCGCCTCCACGGCGGGCAACAGCGCCGCCGGAGCGATGGTCAGACTGCTGGGCAACGCCACCCGGTACACGACAAACCGCCCCGGGGGGACGCACACCAGCCCCAGCTCCGCGTCATCGCGATGCCCCACCAGCTCATGATCCCCGGCCAGTTCCTGCTGCCAGTTGGTCAACGTCATGCGCAGCTGCTCCCCCGGGAAGATCTCCCGCTGGAGACCCTCCGTTCCGGGGTGGGCGTACTCCACCACGACCGTGGACTGCAGTTCGTGAAGGGCGGGGGGTTGGAGGGGGAGGACGGTGGCGGGGACCCAGGTGAAGGGTCGCGAGGGGTTCTCGCGCACCAGGACCTCGACGGCGCGCTGGGGACTGGCGGGATCGGCGGCATGGAGATCCTCGACGCCCAGATGGTGCAGGGCGCGGCAGCAGTCGGAGAGGAAGACGTCGCGGAAAGGATGGAATTGGCGGCGTTGGTCGGGGCAGAAAAAATCGATGAAGAGCCCGTCGTTACCCACGTCCACCACGCGGCCGTGACGGAATGATCCCGTGGCGTCCACGACGTCGACGCTGTTCACTTTGTAGATATCCACAAAGATCATGACTGATTTTCAGGCACAGATCAATTTTAAAATGTAACAACGCACTCAGAAAATCACAGGGCTTGAAAGATGGCTACGAAAGTCTGTTGCAGCAAAACTGCACAAGTCAAAACAAGCAAAGAACGGAACTGGATGTGCAAAATTCGAAAAACATGAATCAACAATACGACTGCAACCGCCCTGCGGCCGGCAGCTGGCTAATTTTTGTCAGCTAGCGTGGTGGCGCGCTGACACGAAGAGCGCCTTTGTTTGTAGCTCGCACTGGTGGTCCATTTGCACGGAAGGCGCATTTTGAATCGTTTGTAAATTCACGAAACATCGCAATGGCAGTGGATTTTGAAGTGTCTTCCCTGAACTTCTCAAAACACTTTGTTGCTTTTAAGTTATAAAATGTACTGCAAGTAGAAGAAATAAACCGAAACTTTTAAAACAAACGATTTACATCCGCTTCCGGCTGGTGCGCACATGGCAGCCACCTCGTGTAGCAGCGTGGTTCAATTTTGCTGTGAAAATGTTCCTGAAGGCTGAAGTTGTCTATTCTTTGTTTCTTTCAAAATTTTAGTATACAGAATATCCGTGTGTATTCTTGATAAAAAGGAAAAATAAAATGCAGAAGACATTTTACATCGATACCAGAAAGTTCTACACCGGTTTGGAACAAAAAGGTGCGTAAGCTGAGTAGTGAGAGTTATTACGGTAGACAGCTATTTATTTATTCTGTTTCTATGCGGAATATTCTACGAACGATGTTGAAAAAATCCAATAAATCGACAATTTTAATTTCTATCCTTCTCCGTAGATTAAAACTAAAATGAATAATTGCATCACCAGATAAACGCCCTCCTTCACAGCAGAAATCAACGCTAACCGGAGATCAATGAACGACAAAATGTACAAAATTAATTGTCCGAAAAATTAGAAAACGAAAGATACACTGTACAGTATAAAATATAGTGTTGGCAACAAACGCAACCCAATGACCCATATATGTACGAGTAAATCATCCGGAATTGCAGTAAAAACAAAGAATTATGTAGTCACCAAATTGTCCACAGGTCGATTCACCGGAAAATTGCATTACACAAAAGGAAATGAAAAGATGACTTTCATTAGAAAGTACGAAGGAATGACGGGCAGTTTCTTGACTTGGTTCATATCGCCGCAAGAGAATTGAAAACCATGGTTAGGCGAAGTTGGGTGTGGATCTAAGCCTTGAACCGCGCACAAAATCTAAAAAACAAACAACGGAAGTATATTGTATAGCACAGTTGCCACAGCCAGAATTGCAGCGTAAATATCTGTAATTGCGGATATTAATATTGTAACAGTTATCGACGAGAACCAAAAGACATCAGTAAATTGCTTCGAGAAACGACGAACTAAAAAGAAAAAAAAGTTATCTTGAAAATGCAATCCAGTAAACAACATGAGGTACTGTACTGTGCTGCCGTGGCCCACGACCAAGCCAACAAAACGGGACAGGTACAACTATGGCATAACACCACACCACGTGTATCGGTTTCTTCACTGACCTTGGGCAGCGTCATGATAATCAGGTGATTCCCATGCTGCGCATGGGTAAGCGACCGGCAGTCAGAATTTCGTTTTGACCTTTTCCGATTTTCAAAAGTCACTTCTAAATCAGAAAAATTCGCTGATTTTGATTCTGTAATCCGTTTGCGTAAGAAAAAAAACTTTGGCCCGTAAACTGAAATTGCTAATACCCTTACGAAGTCCATGGGTACGCCCAACCAGTGACCGAACGTCTCCGACAATTCCTCCCTGTCCACGGCCGGCAACCCAGTCTCCAGGGCATTCCACAGAATGCACTCAATATCCGCGTCGTTCTTCAGCACCATCCGCGGAATTCGCACCACCAGCACCATCGGCGGATACTCTGGGAAGCGGCACACCAGTTGCGCCGTAAATCCCATTAACACGATCAACTCAGACGGCAGACGCCGACAGGAGTTCAGGAAGCACTGCATCTCGGATGGGCGGTCCGTGTGCACGGTGACCGCCTCTGTTACCCGCATCTTCCACGCCCATCCCGCATATGCCACGGTGAGGGAGCGCAGCCGACACCCGATGGCGGGTGTCATGTGCTCCAGCAGGGCGCACAGTTTCCATTTCTGGGAAATGCGGGAGTTTCTCGGGCGATCCACCTTGACAAGTGGTGAGCACGAGGCGGCACGTGCCTCTGCGCAGCCGTTTAAAGATAACCGCCACCAGTGTATACTCGGGGTCGTGTAGGCGCTCCCTATGGTAGCATCTAGATAGGACGCCGGGAATCACGAGGGTGTTGGATAAGCCTGCCGCGTCCACGATGTCCGCCCAGGCACGGCACACGCGACGCAATCGAACCCGTTGGAAGCTGTCCACGCAAGAGAAGGTTTCGGACAGCAGCTCAGAGGGGAGATCGTCAATGTCGGCGGAAGTGTTGGTCATTGGGGGATGCGGGATGATCTGCAGACCGCTGGTGGTCAAGCTGTGGATCACATCAGCGATGCTATGAATAACCTCTGCAGCAATCTCGGCATGTTTACCTGAAATATTGCAAAAATTCCTAGAAAGTCGGATACCGCAACTTTACCCATAAACTGTGAATTTGTGACCGCCTGGTTAATTGTTCGGTCCAGATAAGGCTCTCAAATACTCTCAATATAGTAATCCACTTCAAATCGTCGGATGACACCCAAAAACCAAAGCCGGCCATTTAAATAAAACATGTACGATTACAGAAGTAAGCATTATCATTTTTAATTGCGAATTTGCGATTGAACTGATGCCGCAGGGCCATTAGCCTTTTTGTGCTCTGGTGGATATAGTAAATTTTTTATCGAATTATAGTAAAACCAACAGATATCGAATATTATCGATCACATTTACAATTTAAACTGTATGCGCCACCCATTGTCTTACCGCGTGGGGCTCGTTATTACCATCCCGCCACAATTTCTCCACACACACTACAGATTCGCCTTCCACCGCCGCTGGGACAACAGTCCAGACGGCCCGATGATACCCGCTCCAGCTTTCCAGTTGCGTCTCCATGGCGGCCAGCAGCGTTGGCGGAGCCATAGTGCGCAGACGGCTGGGTAAGGGGACCCGGTGCACAACAAACCGCCCCGGGGAGACGCATACCTGCCCGAGGGCCTCCTCGCGCTTGTGTAGTTCCGCCTGCGTCATGTCATCGTCCAGTGGCTCATCCAGCCAACCACCGGCGGCAATGCGCAGCCGCCCAGTGGGGACGAGTTCCCGCTGCCCACCAGCGATGCCCGGACGGGAATACTCCACCAAGGCCGTACAGCGCAGGCCCTCGAGCACGGCCGGTTGTGGCCAAATCACGCTGGCTGGTATCCACGTGAAGGGTTGTGAGGGGGTTGCCCGCACCAGAACCTCAACGCCGCCATCTGGTTGCTCGCGATGGATGGTATCAAGAGCAATTGTAGTTCGCGATTGTCCATGGAGTGGCAGTAGTCCGAGAGAAAGACCTGGTGGAAGGGATAGAACTGACGGCGCTGATCGGGGCAGAGAAAATCCACGAACAAACCGTACGTTCGCCACGTCGACTACGACGCGGCCGTGTCGCAGTGATCCCGCATCTAGCACGTCGACGGTGTTGTGTTTATAGATAGTCCCATCCATTATGATTGGTTATCAGGCGCAGAACACTGAGAACACCTCAAACCTTGGAAAACTTTGATTAAAAAAATTCGAAAGCGCTAGTTGTTTGACGGCTAGTCATAAAAAACACTAATAAATCATAGCAGCCGCAGACTCGCTCGTTATTTTGCTAACATGGCTGAGTAACATCGTGTGACGGTGCAAAAAACTGCAAATGCCGTATGGCACTGCCACTGGCCGGCAGTTGTTGGTCATTTGGTAGTAGCGAAGCAGACTCAACAGGACCGTAACACCCCCGACCGATCCCCATGGCGGTGTGTAATGGGACAACATTCACATGTACGGTTAAGTAATTTTAAATTTGCGACTGAGCATTGCGGCTATTACATCACCGCGTAGCAGCCTCGCCTCCCCACGCCACCACGCTTAGAAACAAGGAGCGACGAAGGAATTTTCCAAAATATCAGCGCCAAAAATCTGGATGCTGTTTGCAGCCTTATACGTGCAAGCGTGGCAATTTTCTGTGATAGAATCTGCGTAATCTCCACACGCTGTATACTTGTTTACGGTTTTCTGAGTCGCATCTTTGTCAAATTCAATGTAAAAATTACTTATATAATCAGTAATCGTTTCCTTTCTTCTACAACGGAGAACTGATCACAACTCACTGTTATACAGTGTTTACGGTTTTCTTTGACACTTATTTTGTCGACCATCTATGCCTTCTCTGTGACACAATTCGTACATAATTCCTCCCATCCGAAATTTAATTACCCCGTGATTGGACGCTGAAAATGGAGAGCGAGATCTTCTGTACCGGACCGCTGCTGCACACCGTGCAGATGAGCGGTATCTTCACCGATTCCAAGACGTACGTGGATCGTCCGTTGCTCTCCGATCCCGCGGTGGTGTTGGAGGAGTTCGCTAAGCTGGGCGTGTGGCCCAACATCAACCAGATCGACATCCGCAACTTTGTCGACACGTACTTTGCGGCGGCGGGCGCCGATCTGGACCAGGTGGTCCCTGGAGATTTCGCCACCCCCGACGAGGGGGGCTTCCCCTTTGCCAGCTGGATTGTCGATCCGGTGCTGCGGGTGTTCGCGCATCGGGTGCATAATAAGTGGAAGGAGCTCGGCCGCATGGTAAGGCACGGGGACAGTTTGTAGAGAAGATGTGTAAATTTTTCTGGGCGATTGCAGTGTAAAAGAATCAGCCAGGCGTGTGATCAGCAACCGTCTAACGAGACGGTTTCTTAATTGCTTTCGATGACAGAACGATCTGTTTCAACTTTCGCTGTTTACTGTGTGCGTAAGATTTGGCTTTTATTTAATGATTTTAATAATCGTTGCTCGATCAAAGAAACCAAATTGTTTACAGTTGATCCTGGTCTGATTTTTTGTTGATTTATTTCTGTATTTTTAATATTTATTTTTTTAATTATCGTATTAATAATTAATTGCTGCTTGGATTGTGCTGCTTTAATGGTCAGATTTTTTTTTTATTTAAATAAAAATTTTAATTTCTGATCGGTTTTGGCGTGTGGCCGTTTATTGGGAATTCAGTCGAATTTTGCCGATTTTATGTTTAATTTTACGCGCATTTTTATTTGCTAATTTTACAGAAATTTAGAAAAACTAGAAAACAGAGAAAGAAGGTAGACAATAAATTCCGCAGATTATCACAGGCTCAGTTACTCTGTTACTGTTAATTTTGATTGCTCACTGACGGCGTCCGCTGGTGGGATGATGCTATTGACGTACGGTGCAGCGCTTTAATTATTCAGGCGGTTCCTTTCGACCGTAAATTTGATGTCTTTGATTTCGGTTTGCTATGCGTGCATAGGTGAATAAAGATGTGATCCTGCATCCCGATCGCCACACCCTCATCGCCCTGCCCTTCCCCTTCATCGTGCCGGGAGGGCGGTTCCGGGAGCTGTACTATTGGGACTCCTTCTGGATCATCCAGGGCCTGATGGTGTCGGGAATGAAGGAGACGGCCAAGGGGATGATCCTCAACTTCGCCCATCTTATTGACAAGTCAGTGCTGTGTAATTGTCGGCTTTTCACATCATGGAAGTTGTGTTTCACGCTATTAGCTGCTTAAAACGAAAGCAACAAATGTTATTTCGTTTTTGTCTTCATTTATTTATACGAATTAAATTTTTAAATATGTGAGAATCAGCATTAGTCCCAAAAAACACTGCTGTCCATAAAAACGAAATTTAAATACGTGTTAGTTTGTTTTGTTCTCCGTCGCTGCGAACAAGTATATTTACGGAAAATATATTTTTTATTCTTTACAGATTATATTTCAGCTTTTTGATGTCAGAATTTTTCTTTCTTTTTTTGGTAGTCCTTTTTCTGAATGAGGATTACGTAAAACACTGGAGTTTCTTTTTAACTTTCAAATATTTTATAGACTGTATTTTGTTTTCGTTTTTCTGAATTACAGGACAGATTTCTTGTATTTTATTTCTTTATATTGATACTTCGAATGCTGCCTTATATGGGCTCCCCTTATATTACTCTCCCTTATCTGGGCTCCCGAGCAATATGAGCAACCCTCTACATGGGCGGTTACGTTATTATTCACACTTTCGCAGCTGTTATCAGTGTTATGCCTGACTGAAATTTTTGATTTATTGAAATTTATTGAAATACTTATTTTGTCAGTACTTTTGTAGCATTTAGTAGTTTGTTTCAAAGTTCTCAGGTTGCATCAACGACAGATTCAAAATCTTTCTAAAATTCTAAATCTTTCTAAATTCAAAATCTTATATAAATCCGATAAAATCTTATATAAATCCGATCCGGTTCTGCTATAAATCCGATAAATTTAATTTGACGGGTATTGCTAACTAGCCGGGAGCCCAGATAAGGGAGAGTAATATAAGGGGAGCCCATATAAGGCAGCATTCGAAGTATGCTGTTTCTGAATTGGAAGTGCTGTAATTTGGCACTTATTGTATTTATCTGGAAAGCTGAGCTGCTGATGGTATTCTATCCCGAGAAAATGCGTTAAGTTGAGCAAAACGTAATCCTCTGTTGCATCATGCCCCCTATCTTCCGTTCATTAGAATTGGCCTAATCCCCAACGGAAGTCGGACGTATTACTCGTACCGTTCGGAGCCGCCGCTCTTCGCCCTGATGGTGGACCACTACATCAACCACAAGACGGTCACCGAGGAGGAGCGCGATGAGTTCATCCGGCAGGTGTTGCCGGCGGTGGATAAGGAGCACACCTTCTGGATGACCGCCCGCTCCGTCATGGTGTCCTGGTACGGGAAGACCTACACGCTGAACCGCTACACCGGCGGAGGATTGACTCTGCCGCGACCGGAATCATATTTTGAGGATTTAACCGATGCTAGGACGTTGTTGGCCGCTGCTGAAAAAGCCCAACAGAGTGAGTGATTTATTGGCAGCATTATGCCAGTTCAGTTTGCGTTTCGGTCTTCTTAAGTTGTTTAAATGTCTTATTTTCTTTGAGTTTTAAGCAGCGTTGCTCTTATTATTTTTTAGTACTTATAGTTTTTTTGTACCTGTGATTTAAGGAGTGTATTTAACTATAAAAATTATCGTACGCTATCGGTTGAACGTTTAAAAAATCGCACGGTATTGCCCGTTTCCTTTCTCTCAGCAGGAAATAAGTTTGATTTGGAACTGACACCATTGAATAATGAATATTTTTGTGCCGCTCCTAATTTGTTGTAATTCTTTTTTATTCTGACGTTGCTCATTTGTTTACTGGATAATTTTTTCGTGTTCCGTCGCATGAATGCCTACTAGCAATACAGAGCACCTAGAGATTAATCACACACATGGGTGGGATGAACGATACGCTGCCATTTCCGCATTTCAGCACGGTTGTCGACGCGAAATATTTAGAGCCATGCCGGATGTGATTATTTTTTACAGGCCACTTCAGTTTCCATGAGAACATCGCGGCGGCGGCGGAGAGCGGCGTGGACTTCTCCACACGCTGGCTGGACACCCCGGATGCCGAATTCCTCACCATCCGCACGCAGACCATCATCCCGGTGGATCTCAATGCCTTCCTCTACGCCCACGAGAAAATTCTCAGCGCACTCTACCGTCACGTGGGTAGGTGTTGTGTTGATCCTTGTTCATGTTCTCGTACAATAAGGCGCTGGCAGTTGATGTATGCAACTACGCGCTTATTAATGTCTAACAAAGCAACTGACGCCCAGCGTGCCAGCATTATAGTTAATGTAGTGAAGTGGCGTGAAGCCGGGCAGGTTTGTTCCAACCAGTGTTCTGGCGTACACTAAATCCATGACGCGTACCGTAGCAGGTTTTCCAGTTTTTTCAGCTCCAGTGCAGTGTATAGATAGGTTGACCGACGGAAAGCAAGCGTAGTTTTTAGGAGAATAAATCTTGAGGGTATCCAGATTAAAATGCGTTAGATGATGAACAGTAGGATTTTATTTCTCATTAATACGAGTATTGCTGTAACTGGGTATATCGCCTGCACGTAAACTATTTAATTAAGCGGAAATTTAAATAATCTGGTAATAACAAATTAATCACGATAGAAATTGGTTAAGTTTAATGGAGAGTTAAAGTTAATTATTAAATTTGAAATTTAGTCCGCTAGAACGGGTCACCTGGTTATGTACGACATATTTAACTGCGGTTTTTTATCTGTGTTTACATACGATGAAGCATTTGTGACGGAATGTGCTTTGATGAACTTCGCACCTGTTATTTGGATGTTGTGGGGTTATTTGCATCTGACTGTGCAGCGTCCAGGATAATTCCTGCTGTTCATCCACAGGTGACGAGGAGAAAGCGCAGCATTTCGACAATATGGCGCTGAACCGCGGCGATGCCATCCACGCGGTGTTCTGGAACGCCGGCGCCGGTGTCTGGTATGATTTCGACCTGAAGCTGCACCGGCAGCGGGAGACCTTCTATCTGGCCAATCTGGCGCCGCTGTACACACGCTGCAACGGCCACAATGTCACCGTCACGGACAGCCAGTTCATGCAGCAGGTCCTGCAGGCGGCCGATGTAAGTCTGCCGGAAACGGGACCCAACCCAACATTCCAGTTTTGCGTATTAAAAATGATTAAAAAATTAAACTTTAATTTCTAAATATGGTGAATTTTTCTGACTCTGTGTGAGCGAAGAAAATCGGAAGAAGGGCAACTTAGAAACTTTGAAAATAAACAAAATTTTTTTAAGCATAATTTAGGCGTAAATCAAATGTTTATCTTCCAGCTGTATGCATCTGTTTTGAACATTTTTGCGAAACCTTTGACTTGAAGTTTCGTGTATTCTAAATAGCTTAAAAAGAAAAAAATTGTATATTTAATTGTGCTAAATTTTTTTCTCATTGCACGCGAAGAAAATCGACGAAATGCAGTTGAAGACACTTTGAAAATAATCTACAAATGATTTGTTTTACACAGTTTAGCGGTTTTTATCAATTTTTTTCGAAAACATATGATCGAATGAATGTTTTCGAGTTGCGGATGGTCATTTCCTATCCGTAGCGTTAGCGTGATATTCTGTGTAGGTGCAAAAAGTGATCGGATATCCCGGTGGATTTCCCTGCTCCTTCTCCAAGAGCTCGGATCGGCATACGCAATGGGACTTCCCCAATGCTTGGCCGCCGCTGCAGACCATGCTGATTGAAGGTAACCATTCATTATTAAATAAACTGGATGCGGGACGGTTTTCAGCCGCAACTTGGTGCCATAGCTGTGTTCTTTGCCAGAGAAAATCAGTTGGGTCATATGACTCTGTGCCTGCGTGGCCCTACTAGTACAGATAGAACACGATCGTACCCAGGTTTCTGGTGCAGTGTATTACTGAAAAATAACCGCTTGAAAAGCGATTGTAAATATATTTTATTCGTAAAGATTATTAATGTCAGCAAAGAACAGCGCTGTGCGTTGTGAAGCACATGAATATTGGTCGGTAAAGATAATGAATATTGTAAATCGGTAAATATAATGAATATTGGTAAATCGGTAAATATAATGAATATTGGTCGGTGTAGTGTAATGGCACGGTATCTTTTCAAAATCTTCGTCGAGATGCACTTTGAAGCATATAAAGTTGAACGATTACGTACCGGAATACGTATATTAGTTTGTTGTTGTGTCTGAATGAATTTTTTCTTTAACACTGTTTGCACTTCTGCATTCGGTGTATTTGATTTTTTACTCTTTAAGGCTACAGTTTGCTCTTTCACGATCCGCATCCTTAATTGGTTAGGTTTTCTGCACAATCCGGATTTCCGTGAGATGGCGGTGGACTGGGCGCAAAAGTGGGTGTCAGCCGTCTTTACCGGTTTCAGCGCGACATCGCATTTATACGAAAAGGTAATCAAGAATTATTAATAATTAAATTGTCAGTAAAAAATAATTCGTTAATTAATAAAAACCAAATAAATTAGTTCCATAAAATTACCGCATAAAATAATTAATTAATTAATAAAATAAACAGATGATAATTATATTTATTTATTAATTTGCTTAATTACTACTGCGCCATTGGGGGAATCATAAAAAACAACTTAATAGCACAAATAATTAATACACGGATAAAATAACACTTTATAATAATGTTCCTCTTTTTCTACTTTACCCCAACGTTTGTGTCATCCCCGGTAGTATGACGCCAACACTGCTGGGGCGTACGGGAGCGGCGGGGAGTACCTGGTGCAGGAGGGTTTCGGCTGGACCAACGGGACCGTCCTGCGTCTCCTGGAGCTCTTCCCCGGCGACCTCTCCGCCCCCGACGTGTCGGAAGTGCCCGTGCTGGTGGACAGCCGACGGAAGAGCGTCGTGGCGCTGGTGCGGTCGCCCTCGGGATCCGGCGGGATGGGCGAGGTGGAGGTGGCCGGGAATCTGGAGGTGGCGCCGCTGTCGGAGGTGGCCACGCTGACGGACCTCGTGTCGCCCATCAGCACGCCCGTCAGCACGGAGACCCGGCTGGATACGCTGGCCGCGGAGGAAGATGGAGCGAAAACAGAGACGGTGGTGGATGGACCTGTGTAATGTGAAGGGAGTGGCGATGTTGACCTTTCTGACCGATTGAACTGTGGTGAAGCAGAGAGCTTGATGTACGGGCTATATATTGTGTGAGTGAATAGTGGGTGGTGGTGTAGTGGAATTTTGACGGTTTGGCCGGTCGTTCAATTTTGAAATGGCGGGAAAATACGTGTAGCTTGATTGTCAAAGCAACGGTTGTGTTGTTTGGAGTTTATGCTTAGCTTTTGGTTATGCTGATTGATATTATCCGCCGGATTTTGCTAATTTGTCAACGCGGTCGTTTTTGAAAGATAAATGTATTATCTGGATAGCGTCGTTGCTGTTTGTGGTTTTATAAGATCACGCATGGAAAATACCCTGAAAAAATACGTAATACAACGTTTTTGTGTTTAATTGGAAAAATTATACATGAACCGAAGTTTACGAATTGTCCTGGTAGGTACTGATGATTGCTTATAATGTGTGGGTAACCAATAACAGACCAATTTCATATTGGCTGATATTGCGGTATAAATAAGAGTTGCAGATGAGAGAATATTATCGACAGAAATTGTAGCGTAGCGGAATAAAACAAATGCATAAAGCTTTCCGTTATAACGATTTGAACATTATTTTTTACATATAATTATTGTAAATACTGGTACTGGCATGTGTTCGTGTTAATTAATTTTAATTGTACACTGTTTACAAGACCAAAAATACTCAGCTGCGGTATTGAGGCGCCGGTGAGTTGCTGGATTAAAGGGAAGAAATCGTAGTGTACGTAGTTTCGCGCAAGGTCGAGGCCTTTGATTATAACCGATCTTGGTGTCCATTTCATTGTATATTGGCGAGTGTATTTATTGATTATTGTCGTGTTTGTGTGTGTTGTGTGTGTGAGGGTCCACAAATTCTATCACACAGTGTGATAGAATTTGTAGACCCGATACTTACTTCTTTCTCTCCGACGCTGTTGTATATTAATTTTCTCTACCGGCGGCTGAGTAGTCATGTAGAGTTTTCTGTATGGGAAAAAGGGAATCTGGCGGAAGCTGTCTGATTAAATCAGTGAACTGCAATTAATGAAATCGTTTTGTGAATCATGGATTCAGAATAGTTATCAGTTATAAACTGCAATGCAGTAAATTTACAAGTAAAGAAAAGGACAAGGAATAGTCGTTCAGGTAGCTTTCAGTTGATTTTTCCGTGATTCGTACGGAAATCTACGATTAAAGGTAGTAAAATTAAGATAAATAATAATTATTTATTATTGTTTTTGATTAGAAATTATGTGATGCTTCCTTTCTAAATTAGCGACGTGTCGCACAAGATTGTTTCTGCCAGGATTTTGACTTGTGAGGGCGCTGTGAAGGCGGTAACCTGCGAAGCTACCGTTAAACGGCTATACATGTACAATATATATATTATGAGGTATGTGACATGTACAATATGTATCTGCGACAGATACGCGGGTAGAAAACTGAAAGGCCATTACACAGCAGAAAATTAATTGTTTTTTGCGTAGTGTCGTAGTGCAGCGGCTGATTCTGAGTCATGCCCTGAACAACTGGCTTTAGATTAAAATTTAAAATTTGCGTCAGAGGAGCACTGCATGCATTTTTGTTGTCATGCTAACTTTTACCGATTAAATGATGGTTTGCTCTTTAAACTTTATAGGTGTTGGACCGCCAAGACTGCGTTGTAGAACTGCGAATACTTGCGTCGATAAGTTTAATATTTTTTCGGTCCCTAATGCTAACTGAAATACCTAACATGCTCAACAGATACCAGTTCTCGCATCAGCCTCGCTGTTGACAAAAATCGGCATTTTATTTTATGTTTAATAAGCATTGTCGACAACTTCACTATGTAATATAACTGGGCACATTGTACACGCATGGTTGCACTAGAACGCGAGCCACTTGACTACCTTTTCTATGCTGGAAATGAATTAATCGCACTGTACTCGGCTGTAAATTTATATTTTGCACCGGCTTGAAATTTGCAAAACCATGACGATATTATTAGGCAGGATCGAGGTGGTGCACACACGACTGTAATAGTCTGTACTTGTGTGCTTTACACTTCTATGCAGTACGCATTACACTGAGAAGTTATTTAAGCAAAGCTGGACTTTCGCTGACGCTGACAAGACCAAAGCGTTCCTGTCGTCGGCGTAGCGGCGTTACGATGAAAAGGTCACACATCGGTTTAAGGAACTGAGTTCGTGAACAATCACGGCGCAATCGATCCTGACTGTATCGCATACAGTATACTGCGGACAACAGCAGCGCCCAACAATTCCCCATTGTCCGGTGCTGTATCGAGAAATCGAATAAAAAGGAAAGCAGCACAGTGGAAAATCCACATAGAATTATTGTCGGCAAGGACAACAGACAAACAGCGACGCCGGGTCACGATCGATATATGCCGTATATATACGCGCGTATATTATCAGTACATGCCGTATGCCATATATATGCAGCGATTCGTCGTTTTCAAGGCTGAAAACCGGTGCGCATAAAAAATGTACGGCCATTTAAATGCATCATGGTCATTGCGTTTTAGCACGCTATCAAGTGGAAGCCAATTGCTCACTCTGGCAAATATAAACGTAAAAGAGAGGGAGAGAAGGGTTCGCTACTTCCTTCCACGCACCTGATGACTGATCCTGTTATTACGCGTCGCTAAATACCAGCGTCCGTGCCGCGGCACAAATGTGCCCGATCATTATGATTATCGCATCGATCCATCAATTCCCTCCACCCGGTGTTTGTGCGCAGGTGCACTTGTTAATGTTCGCACTGTGAAGCATGCGTTGAAGATTTGCACTTCTACTTGTATATCACGTTCTTATCTGCTAGCCCGAGATTTACTTAATAGTTTTTCAAGAAAAGGTCAGGTACAGATTTAATATAATGTTCTTTTATTAATTTTATCATAATTATGATAATATAATGCTCTGTAAAGTTAATATAATTTACAATGGGAAAAAATTGAACCGAAATATAATTTTGTACAAGGGAAACATTCAGCCAAATTAATCTTATTTTTTCAGTGATAAAATTGTAACTCAATATACTGATTTTTACAAGGGAAAAAACTCAGCAACATTAAACATAAATTTTTGTACAAATGGGACAAACTCAATTTAGTACAATTTTTGACAACGCCGAGTACGAATACAATTTTTATAATGATGAAGATTTAGTCAAACAAATTTTTCATAAAGAAAAATTCAGTTCATCCGAAAAACATGAAAATTTATGAAAATGCAGCCAATGTGCAGTTAAATTAGCTGATATAAGCAATAAACTGCGAAAATGCGTTTACATTATTTTTTCAGTTGAAAGTTGCTGGTACATCTTGATAATTTTATCAACGGCTCTGCTGAAAAAATAACACCTCAAGTACATTCCCCACACAATAGAAACGCCGGCTTTTTGCGGCTTTATAGAAAGAGTAAATTGACAAAAGGTCAGATTCAACGTAACGGGATCTGCACGAGTACACAGAGGATCCACCAGCTGGTAAACACAAAACACACACCGGTACCTGCTACGTGTTGCGGATGTGGTGAAAAGAGTTGCGTTTGCATGCATCACATTGGGAAAGAGGAAGTGTTTTTCCTGCCGACTGACAATTTGACGTGACGCGCTCTCCCTCTCCATATCCACAACCACGGGGACGCCAAGGGAACGGTGAAGATAAAACCTAATAAATCCCCTCTTGACAAGCGCCAGCCAACCGGTTTTGACGCGATCGATCCGGCACCGGTATAAACGGGGATTTTATATATACAGGCGTTGTATATAGTTTTATATAGCACAGGTACGTGTGATGATGCATCTGTGGAGCAGCACACGGGAGTAATGTGATCGGTAAACCGGCACTTGAATGCCCGGCAGCATTGCCAGTGTTATTTGCCTATCACACGCTGAGTGCGACCCCGGCATCACATCTTTATTTTCTCCGCAAATATTCCATTCGGATGCAGGATCATGTTAACATGAGCTGGTAAAAGAGATCATATGTACATGTTACGGGTTTATCTTCCCCATCACCGATGCACTTGGTTAAGCCAAAAAAAACGCCGTTGATTGAAATGTGTGACTATGGATTTCGGCATTCTGCTCCTTAAACTGTGAAATTTACGTACAGCTGGGTTTTATCGGATTTTCAGACACGTTGACAGTGGTGACAATTATTGCGCTATCGGACTTTTTGATTTATTTTTTATATCCGTTAAATCTCTTTTAATTTGACGCCGATAGAATCAACGAGTGAAGCCAGCGGGATTTATTGAACATTTATTTTGCTAACGGATTTTGCAGTTATTTTTTTATATACAGTCTAACTTCTTTTGACCTGGGTGCCGATTAAATAAACGAACGAATCGAGCGGGATTTAATTTTATTTTATATACGCGCCGAATTTCGTTCTGAAACCGTTGACAAATAAACGAGCGAGGCGAGGAGGAATTATATTTATTTTTTTTACGGATTATATCATGGCGAAGATGCCGGAGAATGTTGGTATTTATTCGGGATTTTCTGCGCGTTGTCTAATCCGCACATGAGGCTGAATCATCATCCTCCGTCCGCCGCAGCACGCTATCCATCAGCGCGGATGCCGGGTGGTTGAATGATCATGTACAGCGGCGATGCTCAGCGTTGTCCTCATCCTCCTCCGCATCGGCGTCTTCATGGTGGTGCCGACGACCAGCACCCCGCTGGACGTCCACCTGGTGACCCTGGGCTACATGACCCCGGCCAATACCTTCGCCTCCAACGCCTACATCGGTCCGGCCATCGATTACGCCGTGAAAAACATGAACCATCCAATGAAGTATGCCCAGACGCTGCGTGTCGACAATACGTATTTGACCGATAGTAACTATTCGAGTTGTGCGGCACTGGGGCTGCATGCCGATGATATCGTCGGGCGGTGGTATTATAATCTTAATCGGACGAAGGACGCCGTTTACGTCCTTATTGCTCCCGGTAAGGTTTGCGTAAAATCGTTTCAGTACCGGCGTTCTGTACAACATTAATACATATTCTCTAACGCACAACGGGCATGCCATCGCTTATCAACACAACGCTACCATTATTTTTAATAAAGCCAATTAAAGAAACAATTGCTAGCGCTAGAAAACAAGGTGCTCGCTTGAAGAAACGGAGATATGTACGGCCCAGTTTGCAGAGAATGTCAAGCGCCGGAAATACTGTTTCTCGAGAATGAAGCTTGTTCTACTCTTTATTACAGAGTAGGAGTTGCAGCACTAGGAGTTGTTTGGTCCGACATCACGTGTAGATTATACATTTTAAGGGCCAGAAAATTAATTCCAGCAGAGCAAAATGGACGAGCGATCGCCTTTTTCATGCAGCGGTTTAGTACAGACTCAATATTTATTTAAAGTTAGATAAAAATGTGTCAGAAACAGCCTCCCGAATAACAAAAAACCGGCCAAAATTTGGGCCCAAAAAATTTTTATCCCCGCTCGGCTTAAGCGGCAAGTAGCTTTACTGAACGCATCCCTTCATGTACGGTACATGGCATTTGTTGCAGCTGCAACCATACACACTGGTTTACTAGAGCGCTTCCTGAAACACTGTAAATTTTCTCAGCATTCATTTGATTTCCAAAAGGTTTGCTTGTGTTGCCGTTCCGAAGCTGATAAATTCTGTTAAGAAACTGAATATAGACCTTTTTTGCAACCCTTATCTATGACAGCGATTAACGCTGATAGGTATCCACTGGCTGTAATTACACCCGTCTTACCAATTGACACCCATAATTCACAACTGACGATTGCATCGCGTTGTCTATATCTTCGCCTTAACCCCAGCATCGCGTAAGACAAGGCGGCGAAGCCGGGCGACAGGTGGTAAAAATTGTAGTTTCACATCAATCGATGACCGTGAGATGGAGAAACCCGGCATTTAAAGCGCTTGGCGTCGACACCTTACTGTTAAGACAGTTGCCGGTTAAGACAGTGTGGTGAAAGAGTCACGGGCAGCAGCGTAAAAGATCACCGGTACGCACACCTCGCCAACTCGGGAATCGATGCATATACAGCCTATTCGATGCGGTAATCAAGGACACCAAGGGCGGATTATTGAGTGGCTGACTTCGTTAATGATGACTTCGTTTCGTGGCCCTGCACAGCACGCGGTCAGCGGAGTGACAGGCCGTAATACTCATTAGCCCGCTTAATGCGTATATATATTGGTTGCGACGCGGGAGACGCACGGAAGCCGGGTCCCGCGTCCGCACGCCCATTCATCCCCTCCCGAACCCACTCATCAAGGTTTCCCTGTAAAAAAGCGCAGCAATTTGCTGCGCTTCAATGAGCTGTTAATCGAAGCGGATGTAATGGCTTTTTTTGCTTTTTTATGTGATGATATAATTGTCGACAGCTGGTCGGAACAGTAAGAGGTGGAATTGTGACCTTTATGTTTTGTTGGTTTTGCAGCGTGCCTGGAAGACAGTACGGTCAACTATATGGCGGCCAATTGGGATCTCTTGCTGATTTCCACGTAAGTTATGCCGGCTGTCGTTCGGAACGTCTGACCAGATTTGTACGTTTTACTTAAAAAAAAGCATTTCGAAAAAAGCAGAAAGGTATAAATAAAATACCAACAAAGATTAAATTTACCGAAACGCTATTAGGTTGCTGTTGGTGAATAATGTAAAACGACGTTTGGACAGCTATGAAAATGGCCACAATCCAGATAGAAGAGACGGAAGAACTGTTTGACGGCAAAAATCAAAAATGTTGACACGAGTCGCCTATTGTACATGGCTTGTATATTTTGGTTTTCAAGAGGCAAACTCAAGGTTATACACGTTCAACTCTTGAGCCACTGTGCTACACTTTCAGTCTCTTTTTCACTACATGTGCCCATTAATAAGTGTATGTTGCAAGACTGCCACAAAGAGTGCCGGCATCCGGTTCTCCTAAAAATACTTGCACATTAAGATTGCAGCCGCCCCAGCAACTGCTGATTCCCGGTGGCGTGCCAGACAGCAGTTACACGATATAATGACACTGCTTGTTCGAGACTTTGGGCATTGTGCAGGCAATGCTTTGTGTTGTGCGCTGCGTAACGGGAGCACGGAAACTCCCGCTACCTGGAAGGAAAAACACTTCAACATGTTATAGTTTTAGTGTGCCACCAAATCGCAGAAATGTCTCGGTAAATCACCAAATAATAATTAAATAGCCCGCGGTTTCTCATTAAGCGATTCCTTTACATAGGATCGCGGATTGCGGAAGAATAACAAGATGCAAAAATAATGTAAGAACGGGGTTGGGACCGGATGATGCTGGCTCTGCACAGAGATACTGTAAATGCATAATAAATTTCTTGACAACGATTTTTGCAAATTGTACAGTTTGACCTACGGGTATTATTTTCCTCCACCGTCAACGTATCACGAAAATTCCCAACTTCACAATACGTTAATTTTACCATGCACGTTACGTACAGCAGTAAATGTTTTTATGTACATAATACAGAGCCACATCGATCACCTGGTAAATTTTCAGAAAGCGAAGAAAATGTTTCAGAATGGTTAATTACAGATACTGGTCATTTTTGACATTTATCCAGCATGAAGTAAAATCATGTACCGAAAATTTGTACCAGTCGCGGTAACATATGTTATCAATGCGTAGGCGCAAAACTAAAGGATTTCAGAAAAACGCTATCAAATTATCCAAAAATCCAGACTAATAAACCAAAATAATCGACTGGCTGTCTTCTGTAACGCACCATACACTAGTGGAAATTGTAGTTCAGAGGCTTCAGGCGATTTTCGGGATCGTTATAAACGTTGCATGATTTGCATCAACCGTGTAAATAATGATCTGCGGTCTCGCAATAATGGTAGATCATAAAAACTATTTTGATCGGTGAAATTTTTTAGTAATCGGGAATTCGGGATAACCGATGAATTTCTCTTTGTACAGCGTATCAGCTTCGTATAAAATCCGCGACCGGGAGCGCAACCCGACGTGGATCTCCACGGCGTACGTGTCCAGCTCGCAGTACGGGGAATTCTATGATCAGCTGCTGGCGCAGTACCACTGGACGTCGGTGGTCATCCTGGTGGATGTGGCCGGGTTGCCGTCGCAACTATCCCTGGCCTACTCCGTTCAGCGGATCATTGAACAGACCCCCGGGCGGTTGGTGGTGCGGCAAAACGTCAGTTCGCGCCGCGGTATCGACTTCGAACGGGAATTGATGGAGTTCAGCTGGCGCAGTCGAAGTACGGTCAATACACATGTATTATATATACCGGCTTATAATTACCCCGGCAATTCTCTATGCGGTGGTGTTTTGCAGTTATGCTGGTCTTCATGCATCCGGTTTATTTACGCCAGCTCCTTGTAAGAAACCCAAATACTATTGAAATATGTGCTGCGTAAGGTCAATTGAAACTGGGGTCTATTTTGACAGATACAAGCGTCTAGACTCAATATGACCAATGGCGATTACGTACGTATTGACGTGTACAAGCGTGTGCTGTTGGCAGCGTAGCTAATTGAATTTTAATTATTATAACAATTAGTTTGAAAATTTGGATATTGTCAACTGGTGTTTTTAGCGATAAAATGCAATGTTTGAATGCAATAACAAAAATTTTTATTGTTGTTAAAATTATATAAAATGCGTTTCTGAGTTTAGGAATAACTTCCTATAAGTAAAACACAAACTAGTAATTATTATTTAATAATTTTTACTGTTCCAGTTATCTGAAAATCTTTGAATCAGACAGTTTGTGCTTTTCGTGAAAAACGGTTGCTTGTGTAGGTGTATGTGGCAGTGGAGATCTTCCAAAACCGATTATTCGGCAATACATCGTGGCAGTATTATGACGGGAACGACGCAGTAAGCGCATAATACCTTTGTGTATGCGCATAAAATTCGGCATGTAATGCAGCATAGAATATTAAATAACCGGAAGAGTGTGGGAGCCGGCATGACTATTGTTCCCCGTATACAGGTGGCACGCGAGGCCTTCCGCTCCCTCCTCGTCTTTCAGCCGGCACACAGCTCCGACGGGCTTCCGCATGTCCTCGACGAACTACTGCCCCTAGCGCGTAATCTCTCCATTAAATTTCATCGTCGATCCCGGGAGGTATACAATTACAATTATCCTCTTTCCGATCAGGTACACGCATATAATTATACTTACGTGAACAACTGACTGTAATCATAATTAATAAAATCATAAATATCACATCCGCGTTCGCAGTAATGGCCAGTAAATTAAGTTAAGATTTTTTAATACAGATATTATGTTATATACTCGTATTATAGACAACATATAATTATTTGACGCTAGCAAAGAAGGTCATGTGCATCAAAGGTGCAAAAATAAATCCAAACAAACTGATGATAATAATGTTAACAATATTATTAGTAACAAGTTATTAATATTAACACCATGAAAATTTAGTAAACATAAAGTTGACATGTCAGGTAAATTTCTTTACTTTATATTCTAGCGATATGCGTTAAAAACACTTTCGATCCCCATTTACTTAACATGATTTTTTGCAGCCCTTTAGCAGTATCGCTGCCAGTTACTCAGCTGTTGCCGCTGTATGCCAGGTAAATTGAAATCCCATTTCCATCAATTTGCGTGCACCATTATTACCACAATTAATCTTCTCTAATCGTTTGCCGCGCAGATTCTGGATCAGTTGGTGTTTTTCAATTATCCGGAGGACGGGTTTGATGTCACCAGCGGAAAGGCACTGGCCATTCAGTTTATCAATCAGTCATTCATCGATGAGACCAACATTCCATTCTACATTGACGGTAAAGGTGAACGGCGCATGGATTTAATGGTGACATTCCTCAATGCCAGCGGCCAACGTGAGGTATTTCCTTTTCGAGTAACTATTGATGTGCATTAAGATACTAGGAATTTTGCCAAACGCGAGTTCCATCCCGGCATCGATCCGGTGGTTTCCTTCAAAATAATACCGTCAGGGTCAGCATCGGTTGATATTTTTCCGTAATGTGTACTGGACAGTCATCTTGCCGGCATAATAATTTCCGACAACTATCGCAATCCAATACGTCTGTTAGTTTACAAACAAATGCTGATAAAAATTCATAACTGATTTCTTGAATTGCGCTGTTTTAATGCAACAATGCTTTCAGCATTCGTTAAACCTAATTTTAACATGCACTTCGTCCATTTCTAAATGAAATACTCGTACAATGTACAGGACTATAAAAATATTTATATAATAATATAATAAGCGACAGTAAAGTAACCGAGCGATTATAAAGAATATTAACTAATTTTGTGATGTATAAAACGCTGCAGCATGAATGAACTCGACAAATTTAGGTTAATGATCACATAATATTTCCGGGAAAACTAATACAATCAAATGCAGAAAAAAACCACCCAAATTGTAACTAATTTATGAGCAGTACTTGTACGTACTTATCATTACCTACTGAATAGTACTTTGCTTAAAAACGTATTCATCCGTAAATATTTTAACAGGCGTTCCTGTACATGACCGCGGAAAACGGTACCTTGATAGAGCTGCGTGATCCCAGCTGGCCGCGTTCATGGCCACCGCCCAACGTACCAGAATGCGGATATCGCAACGAAAACGTGATCAATCCTAACTGTCTACCGCCAGGTACAAACAAGTTTTCTGTTAACGATTTTTCCGCAGCTGCATTTAATTCGTATAAATTGTCAATGGAAATTGTAATTTCACTAATCTGGTTGTAGTGGACAAGCGGTGGATTTATGGGACGGTCTTCGGAACGATAACCGGTGTCCTGATACTGGGATGGATCATTCTGCGACGAATTAGGTGAGTATGACGTAGCCAAGCTATTGGCATGATGAACTAATGATTGATAACGCCGGATAAATTTACAGGCGTATTAAGGAGAAGGAAGAGGAGCTGAAGCTGTTCGATCCCTGGTGGCAGATCAACAGCGAACTCATCCGGCCGCTCGCCGTACCCGGCACCAGTCAGTCACAGCAACCGAAGACGCTCAATACCAAATTCAAAATCGTATGTCCCACACAAATAACCTGTGCAAAAAATAGCTGTATATAGTTTAAAAAAGGAGTATTATTGAATAAGCGAAGTTGAACTGACGGAAAAAACGCTGGGAAAATCTAATGTTGATATGGTAATTTATTAATATGATAATGATATTTTATCGAACAGCCGGCTGTCGCTGTCTATGATGATCGAGCGGTACAGTTGAACTCCATCGCCATATCCAATCGCTACATTTATACGTCGGAGATTACCACGCATCGGCATCTGCTGTTGCTGTTCAAACGGGTACGCCGGCATTAGATCTGAACATATTAGGAAAATTAGAAATACAAATAACATTAAATTATCCAATAAATAATTACCTGTATTTGCCTTACCGGTATCTGCTGCAGTATATTATACCAATTTGTACATATCAAAACATGCACATGAAAATTCGTAATAAAGATAAAGTAAACGTAAAAGGAAAAATAAAGAAAATATACAATACATGTAGTATAAAGTAAAGAGTGTGTTGAGATGCTATGAATGTGTTGTGCACAGTCCCTTCTCATGTTAATTGGGACAAATTCTTCATTTGATTGGTATCATTGAGCGAAGCTCGTTGTATACATATTGAGAGATTAAATTCAAAAAGTAAAGTATATAGCAGTATAAAACAGTGCTATAAAGTTATAAAGAGTGTACTATGTGGTATAAATCAAAAGGCATGCAATAAAAAAACATGAAAAAATATTGTTTTTACAGTTAAGGAAAGTACAGCATACGGGTATATGCCGTTTCATCGGGCTGACCATTCTGGAGAACAACTTCGAGCAGCACATCACCGTCATCGCCGAGTACGCATCCAAAGCATCCCTCTACGAAGTCTTCGACTCCTACGGGGAACTGGATCTAGGCGTGCGCAGTACGTTTGCCCGCGATTACCTCGATGTGAGTACAGCTGTTCCCAAGATTGAGGCAGCGTGGGAATCGCTCTACCGCTTCCACAGAATCCATAGGAATAACCGAATAAATGCACAAGTGCGACGTATTTGTGTCATTGCCCTTTACAGGCGCTGGAGTACATCCACAACTCCAGTATAATGTATCACGGCCGGTTAAGTACCTTCCGGCTGCACGTGGATAAGTTCTTCTCGGTGAAGATCATCCACCTGGCCTATGAGCGTATCCAACGCGGGCTGGATCCGCGCTATTTTAAGATGCGCAAATATGACTGTGATGAATGGGAACCGGCGTACTGGGCGGCACCCGAGTTTTTCACCTCCAACATTGTCTCGGGAAGAAAACGGGATATTTATTCCACCGGATTTATTTTGTTTGAGATTATCACGCAGGAGCGACTCTATAAACGGCTGCTGTACTTGGATCCTTCAGGTACTTATACTTGTTAAATAACAATATTAAAATATTATTAACGGTGTTAAACAAATACCTAAATATATTTAATGATATACGTAATTGGTATTGCTTTAAGAATAATCGCTACGATTTCTGGACATTGAAAAGTAATTATGCTAAAGAAATAGAGACAGCAATAATAATATTTTTAGAATGCTACAAAATACTTTTTGACAATTATTAACTATTACTACAATTGAAATTTCTTGATCAGCGTGACCTTTTCGTTTATTAACATCATCGTGTACATATAGATTTGGATTTTGGCGAGCACAATCCTCTGCAGCAGACGGCGAACTTTAATCTTTTGCCGAAGCCTTTCAAACCCATGGTCCCGGCACTGCAGTCCTGCTGGAACGCCAATCCCGACCTGCGTCCATCCATTGCTCAACTGAAAAGCTACTTTAACGAGTTCTCGGCCGGCCCGTCGGGCGCACGGAAGATCGCCGGTGAACAGGTCATGGATAAGCTCATACAGCGACTGCAGGATTACACGGAGGAACTGCAGAATGATATTAATCAGAAGGCGCTGCAACTAGAGCAGCAGGTGGAGAAGTATTACGAGATCCTGTCCTACAAACTACCCGCGTAAGTCGTATGTACAAAAGTGCTTTTACATACTAGTACAATACAAGCCTATATACAAGTAGATCGTCTTATATGAAACATCATAAGTAATATGTGCTTAAGTAATATGTACATAAGTAATATGTATCAACATCACAAGTATTATGTACATATGAAATATATAGCAATTCTTTAATTTCGTCGTAGGAATGTTCTTTTCCAAAGGTCACAGACAATTACATATGCAAAATTAAATTATTGCCAGGACCTTTGAACGGAATAGTTATGCACCTGCCGTTTATAAAAGTAGGCATTTGCTCATAATGACCTTTGCATATAATATATACAATTTTAACGATAAAAAAACAAAAGAAAGCATGCATTCCTACTGCATCTGTACCAGTACGGGTTCTGTATACCTGGCTGAAACGCGTTATACAGATATATCAGTACATCGATGCACAATATATTACGCATATTACGTATAGAAATATTATATGACATACTTTATATCTATATATGATACAAATAATACAAATCATATACTCGTATATATGAAAGAATGAATCATATATATATGAATATATATATGAATCATCATATATATGATGTTATATATCTGTAGAAGCAACCAAAGCGAACTATTGTACAAATTACAAGGATATATTTCTGTAGATATATTGTCACTCGAATACGAGCGGGAGAAAATCCTTTAAAAGACGCGGAACGCATGGATAGCGTGTCGGTACTGCTAACCTCCATGGAGGGGCTCGGTGCCTTTATAGAGCAAAACAGCCCCGCCGACACCACCGTCGTTATAAATGACGTCGAGGCCATCCTGGAGGATCTGATCAGTAAATTCCATGTGTCCCGCATTGCCACACTCTCCGACTACAACGCCGTAAGACGCCTGATAAAACCGCGATGAACAGCGCGTTATCCTGGTAACTTGTGTTGACAGTTTGTCTCGGGTATGTCGCCCACAACCAACGCACTGGACAACGCCCGCGAGATCTGTGCCTTCGCCTTAACCGTACAGTCGACAGTCCGGGAGACGTTTGCGGCTAAACAAATTCCGGTCTTTCTTAAAATGGCCATTAACACAGGTACAAAATACCGTACAACATATACTGGTGTTCAGTCCGGTGACCTTTTTCGGTGTTCTTAACATTGTAACATTTTCTAGTCATTCGACACGAAATAAAATTTTGTGATATTCGAAATAACTGATCTCGTACCAATTCACACGTGTAGAATGAATGAACATTTTAATACTAGAATAAATATATTTGTTTTAGCTAATTTTCTTGCATTCAGTTTTTGGTGGTTGTACATATATATACTGGCATACGGTACTTAACGAAAAAGCGATAAGGTGTTTGCAAATTTGGAGTGCGGCAGCAAAATTCCACCCAGGTCATTAAACTAATCGTTACAGGTTCATGCACAATTGTGATTACCGGGAAAGGCATGAAACTCCAGTACAGACTGTAAGTACACGCACATCCCTTATACGAGCATACAATATATACTGCAAATCCAGTTTAATCATCTGAACGGGGATTATACAGCTACGTAATTAAACCATACGTGTGTTTTAACGACACCAACTTTCAGTCTGGGCAACGTCTTGCGTGTGGGACTGGTACTGTGCACCCACTGCCTTTTTGACAAGATCCACATCTCCAAACCGACAGCCATGCTGATCGCCGACTGCCCGGAATTCGCCACGGAACTCCGCCAGCCGCCCATTACCCGCCACACCGACCTGGCCACCTTCTGGCTGTACAGCACCGACATCAGTATCCTGGCGGAGATTATCGACGAGACCCTGGCCGAGGCGGACGGTCCCCCGGGGGCGGTGGCCGTGGAGATCCACCATCCGCCGGGCGACAGCGGGGAACCGGCGTTCGTGCCGCATCCCCTCCCGCCCGACGACTGAGTCGGTGGATGTCCGAGTGGAAGGCCAAAAACCTTGAAAAAAATAAAGAAAATTTATCGAGATGGCTGCGTCTCGGTTATATAATAAATTTTGGGGATATTCTCCGGCTGTGTTATTTAATTTTCTATACGCTGGTTTGTTTGATTGGCGCTGATATGTACGTATCTCGTTTACTTCGGTGTTTTTTCTAAAGCACGCTGAACTATATGTTTTTTTCTATGCTTGGTCAGATCGGCTGCAGTCTTTCTCTGTATGTGTACTTGGTGAAATATATTATGCAATACGCGTTCTAATCAAAACGCTTATGCAACGTGCAGATTCTAATCTTTCGGTTTTTTACTGTATTTGTGTATGACCTCGATGTGGCACGAAGTTACATAACTTTGTATTTCCACCGTTCTACTTGCAGAACTACAGTACAAAGTAAATAAATACTTTTAATGTGATCGGTGCACATGTGATTCGTTCCACCGACGAGGCCATCAAACGGACGTTAATTACACTGCGTTGTGTTTTGCTGCGGAAAGTTCATTGTCAAGAACACGTTCGTTGGATTTTGCACTGGGAACAATTAGTACGATTAGTATGGCCTCTTTTGTACACGTTTTACTATGTAAGTGCCGGCTTGTTTTTATTCCTCTTTATATATCTTAAGTGTTAACCGAACGAAGCGAGCTATTTAATTTTATTAATGCAGTCGCCAATAGTAACTTTAATTATTATGACAGTAAATTTGGGATGGTCTTGATTTTTTAATACGCAACAAAATAACCGTTGTATAATTGCAGTTGTGACCTTTGTGGCCGTGACATCCGCGCGGCAATGGCCGAGTGGTTGTATACCCGAAATTCCCACGGTACCCCACATCGATCCAGAAGCGGTATATTTCTCCCTATAATTTACAGGCTGACGGCAAACGTGCAGTGGAAGTGTTGTTGTTGTTGTTGGTAGAGAGCGGGACAATGGTACAACTACATGTACCTAGGAGAGCATCCGCCGCGCGTCAACGACGCCCTGCACTCCGCCAAGATCGGGAAGGGCGTGGTGCCGGGCACCCGTACCAAGGCCATGGTGGCCAATGTGCAGATCACCTGGTGGACGCCGGATTATAAGACCTGTGCCGGACAGTATGCGCAGACCTACGTCACCAAGGACGGACGGGAGGTGATGGTGGTGTACAACTATGATTCACCACAGCCGTGTACGTACATTTAATAATAACTATTTTTTATTCACGGAACAGCTGTAGCCGGTACTACAAATTCCGCTGCATTAACCGCAAGCGCATTTTTGGAATAATTATAGGTATCAATTGTCATATTTCGACTAATTATAACCGGCTATTAATTACTCGTACGTACGTAAGCAGTTCCAATTTTTCGGGAATAGATATATTATGTACTTACTTGTACAATGACCCTAACCATATTATTACTGGCTAATTTGAGAATCTGTTTTTGCACCAGTATGATCTTTGTTGCAAAAGATTTGTATTTAATTGAACCAATAACTTCCTGCGTTTTATTTAAAGGCTATGCATTACATTTAATTAAATTCTTTACCGTATAACTGAAATACCCTGCGCCACGTACAAGTAATGAAAAAACAACATACTCTTGTATCAGACTAACACTGACTACGAGCACAGTGCGTGTTCGTCATGATACTGCTTCGTTGCTTTTACTCGTACTATCCTGACAAACACTAACCTTTGCAGTGAGTCTGACCTCGTATGCCTTCGCGGAGAATTACACGCATTGGCAGTTGCGCTTCTTCTGCTTGGAGAAGGACGTCCAAACCAACCTGTGCAAAAACTCCAACTTCTTCTTCAACACCCGCCAGCGTCCCGACACGCTGCCGCCGGCGGTGCTGGCCGAGTACCGCGCCGCCGTGGACCGTGTCCTGCAGCCCTATTGCCTGTCCACCAACGATTTCCTGACCGAGACATGGACCACGCAGTATCCGGTCTGCGCACCGAATCCCTCGCAATGCTATAGCGACCTTATTAACGGCTTAGCCGCACAGTTTGGAGGCAGTGGATAGTACTCTGTAAATGCTACCGAATGAAGAGAACACTGTTTTTGACGGGTTTATCTTTTTTTCTCGAACGTGTGTACAGTAAATGTTTTCTACTTTCGAAGGTTATGCAGAAGTATCAAGCAGATCTTCGCAGTGAATCTGCACGTTATTGCAACTGTTTCACCGTGAGACACGGTCACGATTGGTATTAAGAAAAAGTACAGCAATCATTCCACGCAATGCAGCCGTATTGTTCGTACTTTAATCTCAAAATTAGTTAATAACTATAAATTGTACTCGTAATGTATTCGCATCAGCTGCCGGAAGCTATCAGTGAAAACGAAAACGAAAGACATCAGTTTTGCCTGGTTAGTCTAACGCGCGGATGAAAAAGACTAAACTCCGGTAAAAAATAAATGCACAGCTCGCGGTTCTTACAAAGTTACCCGACCACAATGGGAAGCTTGTTAATGGGGATACGATGAGGTGCAAAGCCTGTCCTGCTGCGATACCAGTGCCGGGACAAAGGTGTCGAACAAAAAACGAAGAAACACAATGAGACACAGCGACGCCATTCACCTGCCTGAGCCATCGAAGCATCCATGCAGTGCCGCGACGGTCAAGTTGTTCAAAATGGAAACATCCAGATGGCGAAGATCCATCGTGTCCCATGGCTGTGCGTTATCATCCGGATGAAGACTGTTGAACCTGATCGCACAAAAATCATTTCCCTTTGCCCCAACGGTTCAAGTTTTCTTAAAAAGGTAAAGTTTCTATCGTATATGTAGAAATGTATAAGTTTTCTTAATCTAAGCAGTACCCCAGCGGAGCAGCAACTGACTTATGAAATGGAGACATTGTAAAATAAGACAGTATATTCCTATACAGTAATTTATACAGATGACCTTTAGAATTGTTACCAGCACGTGCATACGAAATGTCCGTGAATAGTATTACTATATGAAGTACGTACGCGTGCGTGTTTACTCAAGTATCAAACCATCGAATAACACTGTTGCTAACTTGCTACTTCATGCTGCTTACAGTTTCAGGAATTTGCGAATGCCGATCCATCCATAGGGGTATTCCACTATATTCACCCATCGCGCATACATCGTTGCGGCCTTCTGTTGCAGATACAGGCTGACGGGTGGGCAGTTATCCTTGGCAGCGCGTAAAAACCGCAGATACTGTTCAGTCGCTGTTTCCTCGCGGCGAAAACGAAGGTAGGGAATGTTCTCACCCAAATCGACGAAGACAAAATGGGTACGCCAGCCGGCCGAAGTAAGGGCTTTAGGTACAATCTCATCCTGGTCGTCGAAGAAGAATATCAGATTCTCTGCTGATTCGCTGACCGATTTCGACGCCATGTAGTTGATCAGAACCAGCTTGTCGCATACGCTCATCACGTCGGACAGAGCGCTCATTCGCTGGCCGTCGACGTTTTTACCGGCCTTATGGCCGTCAATGGCCAGAAACATCGCTGCCCATTTTGTAGTGACATCAAAGCCGTTCTTCACGATAATCAGGGACAAACGAATTCCTTTAGCGGCTAGTACAGTTTTGACGGCGGCCATCTTCGGTCCGAGATCGTCGCCGGGTGGATAACGCTGGCAGTCTATTAGCACCAGCGCTTTGGTCTGCGTCGTAATGCTACGGTCCAGCAGGGCTACGAGTTGGTAGGTGGCGATAATCGTACACAAAAGGTCGATCAGGCAGGTAAGTCGTCTTCGGCCACATCTGCGCAAACTCCAGGATAACCGGCTGTTGGCCCTTATATCCCCGCAAAATCTCCCTCCACAACGCGCAAACCCTGGTTGAAACAGTAGAATAATGTACAAAAAATAACTAATGCTATGGATACAGTTTCCATGTGAAAGGCTGTGACACAATCCACATTTTACACAACAGCCGTTTACACCGTTTTGAGTTTAATTTAGGAAAGGACTGATGCGAATTTACCTGTACAAGCGCAGTTTACTATCCACATCCATATTACCAAAAACCCAAGCTAAGATCGGGTGGGGTAAATCATTTATGGACATTCCTTGTACGTCCGTGGAATAATCCCCGGACGAATCTGCGAAATAAAAGGACTTCTTGTGCACATTGACATGAATATAATGAATCACAAGAATTAAGCGGCTGCACGCAAACATGTAACAGTTTTTACAAAAGAAGAACAACTAAATGCTTCCATGCTCGTAACAATACTGTACCATTAACTAAATTGAACGGAGCTTGGACAGAAAATAAGAGAAAACCACGGAATGTCTTTGCCAGCGGATCAGCATCGAAATCCAGCGAGGAAAAGCGGCATCGATCATGGCCCTACAGCTGTGGTTGTTTTCCTTTAACCTTTCCAGTCTACTGTAAATTAAATTGTAGATAACCATGAAAGTAAACGAATTCTTACCAGAGTAAACCACAAACTTACCGTTATGCATTACTTATAATTTATAAATCATACGTAAGTACTCTAAATAAATATTAGTTAAACTTACTTTGATACGAGTACACTACTACGAATCTGCGATTTTGCAATAAATATCAGCAGGGGCGAATTTAAGGGGGGTGGGCACGGGGGCACGTTCCCCCCGGAATTTTTCATTTGAAGGAATATTAGATCATATGGATACCAGACATGATACATTGATACTTAAGTAAATTCGACTGTTCGAGCGTGTCGTACTGACCGTACAGAGATCCAAAGCCAATGGAAAAGCTTCGACGGTATTAGCTGAACTCTTTTTAAAGTAACTGTTGCAGACATCCCTGAGAGCCTCCTCATCCCAGGACATCCTGCGCCCACCTGCGTCGTTATGCACCTCCAGACAGATGAATGTCATAGTGTCGCTTCCCGCTCGCACGAACATGCGTACACCCACGTGAACCGTATCTCGCGCGTGCAGCCCGCCGACCAGAGGCGGTCCCATGGAATAGAAACACGTGGCTCCAGTACTGCAGAGTGCAGACAATTGTTCGCATGGAAGAACAACCGAAAAGCCAACGCACATCCCCACTAGCCAAGATAAATTTGCAAGTCCGGCCCACTAACTTGGGCAGGCAATCGACGCGGCGCAGCTGTTCAGCGGCGGGAAAGTGGATGACGTGCTTTGTGTACGTCAAGCCATCAGTTCGTCGGAAAAAACTCTGCCCATCGTTCGGCGCCGGTAGGCGTTCAACGAACTGGCCGCGATGGACGAAGCGGCACTTTGCTGGCTTATTCTCGTCCAGACGCACACCTAGCATCAGTGTCTCCAATTCCGCTACGACCCGGGCGGGACGGAACACCATCGGCCCACCGTGGGTCTTCCGCAGCGCCACCTGCAGGGTAGTGTGAACATATGGCCTCAAACTGCCGTGCTGGTCGCCACACAAGCTGTGGTGTGGCCAGAGACGACTGGAATGAGTCCATTCGGCCTTAACTGTGCTGGCATCGAAGTCGACGAGGAAGTCCGGGGCACTGATATCCTGCACGTATCCCAACCACCATTTGCCGCAGTCGCGCTGCACCAGCACGGTGTTCCCGCGAAGTTGATTTCCCGGGTTCCCGACCACAGTTCGCGAAAGTGCCGTGGTGTTGCACAACTTGCGCTCATCATGGTATGACAAAATATGGAAAGTGTGATAAGTTACGCAGAATTTCAACACCTTCGCTAATCGCTAAACTGCAGCAGTACCACTATCTTCCAGAAAAGAACCTGCGTAAGTACTGTAGTGTTTGTCAAACACCCAGACACCCAGCAAAGCGCTGTAAACTGGCAAAATGACAAACTGCCGCCGGGAGTAACTGCCCTCTCGCAAAGGTTGCGCGCTACACCATGTGTAATAGGCTCCGGAAGTGGTTTGCGCTGTATTATAACTGACAAATTTAAAGATTTTTTAATTCTTAATTGTGCAATGCAATGCTGGCCCGGGCCGTAGTTAATCGAATTATGACTGTAATGTCGCGATTTGAAGTTTTGAACTTAATAAAATATTCGTTGACAAATTAGCCTGTCTAGTTGTGACCGTTTTGGGCCGTTTCCCTGTATGTACGTTTGTGGTTTGTGCTTACTACTACCAGTTACTGCAAGCAATGTTTGTGATCAAACATCACTGGCATTGAAATTATTTTACGATTACAAGTACATACGTACTGATACCTGTACTCGGCTACTGCCGTATTGGCATATTATTCTGTAGCTTTCAGTCGTTTCTTGATTTTCTGAACATCCGCGGATCATATATTACCACCTTTAACATGTCCACGAACGCAATTTTCTCCATGGTTTGTGATGGGCCCGATTCTGAATGGAAACTGGGGGACTACATGAAGCAGATGATGCTGGCTGGGGAGCTGAACGATATACACTTCAAAGTGGGACGCCAGTTTGGCACCGCTCAAAACTTCTCCGCGCACAAGTAAGCCCACACTGAAACTCACGATAAACGAATCTGCGTTTTCTGCCTTAACGGAATGATGTTGCGTAATTCTTGCAGGCTCGTCATGGCGGCTCGCAGTTCCGTATTCCGCACCATGTTCTACGGAAGCCTGCCTGAGAAATGCCAAACTCTTCTCGACATTCCCGATATCCATCCGGAAGCGTTCGCCAATCTCCTCAGGTACGTGGCTGGGAAATGAAGACTAATGTGTTGTTTGTGCTCTTTCTGTTTTCTTCAGCCATTTGTGTATTTGGTCTCAGCAGAGAACTCAGCTTTATTGCGACTGCTTTTGCTTGTGTTGACAGCTTCATGTACACGGATACAGTGGATAATCTGGATGTGGGCAATGTCTTTGCGACGCTGAGTGCGGCTGACAAGTACGATCTTCCCCGGCTGATCAGTGTCTGCTCCACCTTCATTGCCAACCAGCTCAGTGTGGACAACTGCCTGACCATGCTGGAACAGGTGCGTGGTAATGGTGCGCGGCATTTGTTATTTTTAGCATCACTGCATACGCGTAAGGTTTGGTCGATTGCTACTGCAGGCCCTCGAATGGAAGACTGACAATGTCGTGCAGAAATGCCTGGAATTTGTGGATACGAAGAGTAGTGCAGTACTGCTGTCGGATCATTTCACGGCCATCAGCCCGGTGACTCTGCGGATGATTCTGCAGCGCAGCACGCTCACGGCGGAGGAAAATGCGGTGTATTTGGCGGTGGAACGGTAGGAATTTCTACAAACCATAAGGAAATTTAAAGTATAATTTGTTTAGGTACTGTACTCTCAACTTTTTCCGTAACTGTTTCCGTTTTTTCCGTAACTTTTTCCGTAACCTGCTTTTTTATCTTTTTTTAAAGATTGGGCTGATATTATGATGATAGTCATTGATAGAAACAACGCATGTTTGCTGTGTTTCAGATGGGCAGTGGTGGCTTGTGCTCGTAACGGCCTGGAATCGTCCGCAGTCAATCGACGTCAGATGCTGGGGGATGCGCTATTCCTGGTGCGGTTTCCATTGCTGACCTCGAAGCAACTGGCTGACGGTCCTGGCCAGGTGAGCAGACTTCAGACTCCTTTTGCAGGCAGAGTGTATGGATGTTTGATGCGATTAAGTGAAGCATTGCAAAGTCTGCTGTTATTTGACAGAGTGGTCTCCTGAACGAGGCTGAAATCGGCAGCATCTTCATGCACCAAAACGCCAGCCTGAAGCCGACCGCACTGGCCTTTCCCACGGAGCGCCGCACTGGGTCGTCGAGCGCTCCGGCGCCTGGCCACGTTTCCGGTTTCCAGCCTGATGAGCTGGTATTTGCGCAAACCGGAAGAGGACACTGGTGGTTTCCAGCTAAGGTTTTCGCATCCGATGGAATGCATGTGGCGCTGAAGTGGTGTCGCACCGGCGCACAGGATTATACCATAAAGTCCAACGAGGTGGTGCGTGCAGCGGACATCCTGCAACCTGGCCAGCCTCTGTACGTGCTCCGTTTGGACGACCATCAGCCGGCTAGCTATTTGAAAGCCACGGCGGGTGGTAGGCATGAAGTCACCGTGGTTCATAGTACGCTTTTCGTTGGGTTCAGCCACTTGAGCCTGCGGCACGATCAGGTAGCGCAGTGGAAAGGCGACAATGGGCATTGAGGGGACGACCACAGGGCTGCGTGGACTTTATTGGCCTGTAGAGGTGGCCTTTTTTAGTTTATACTTTTGATCTTTGTACCTCACTTTTGCATTCCGCAAGGAATCGCTACAGTTTGCCATTTTTTGTGATTAATTTTGCCGACATTTTGTTCCTTTGGGATGGAATTTTTGTCTGTGTTTGCGTTAGCTCCGGTGGAAGCGTGTAATGGTATTGTTAGTTACCGACTCACCGGATATCTTCTATAAGGCGTTTCACAAACAAATGCGGCGAATAAGTGCGCCTCGTTTTTAACGAAACTGTATCGGAAGCTATTTGGCATGAAGAATTTGGGATTAGGCCTCCGTCGGTTTCTCAGGTTTGAGTAAGATATTTTACAACCAGTTCTCATTGTTGTCCAATGAATGGTCAGTGGATGCGCCGGGACCTTCTGTGTATTTGCGTCCACTAACCAGATGCCCCTACGCGGCTATGTCTATACCTAGTCCTAACACAGAATGTGAAGGTCATTTACAGTTTTTGTCCTTTGTGAACCATTTCAAAATCCTCGTAATATATTACGACCGTATCCTTCTCAGCCATACTACGGCAGATGCCCTGCCCTGATAACTTCCCTCATTTCCATTTTTGTTGCAAAGCAAGTAATGCCCCTAATTCGCGCATAGAATGGGGAAAATATGGTGCAAGTATCCGCAAGTGTATAACAAATAATAATTTAGGCATTATATATCCTACAGTGCGTTATGCGATCATGGGGCACAATCGTTTTTATAATTACCGGTATGTGCAACCGTACCAGTGTCAGAATGTGTAGGCCAATGCGCAGTTGTAGCAGATTAATGTTCCCCCGTCCCGAAGTCTACGAGTGCATTACTGTACTTAAGCATTCGCATGTTTTAAAACTGTGTGGTTATTGTGCTGTAAAAAACGAAGAAAACGAAGAAAACGAAGTGAGTCGAAAACACTTTAACGTGTTTGTGCAAAGCCAAACGTTTCATTCATTTTACTCATGTACACAAGAACTCTTTTTCGCAGATACTTGCGGTGAATACGTACCCTGTATGCGCAGAAGGAAACACAATGACCAGTTCCATAAAAGAATCGCTTCCCATCCTAGCTTGCATTTTTCGTTGAATGGACGCGAAACCCCGGCTACGCGTATCCAGGCGAGCTACCGAGTGCGTGTAAATTTTTGCTTAATCACTGTGCCAGCTGAAAAGGCTATTGTGGTTTAGGGAAAAATCTTTAACCAACTAACAGTTTAACTCTATTCGTGCATTGCTATTTGCTAGCTACGATGCTTTACAGAATCTGCGCGTTACGGAAAGAGATTGGGCGGCACTATGCGGAGTGGCCATGGGCATGGGGCCGTGTACAGAGTGCGACAGCCGGTGGCCTTTGTATCATAACATGGTCCGCAGCTACACAACTCCTTCAGTCCAGCTCACATTCAGAATTAGTGTTCTTTGATACGATTATAGCGAACAATCGATTATAGCGATTATAGAAACAAGCGATTATAGAGGCTTGTGACATTCTGGAGCCTGCTTCTTGCTGTGCTACAGTTAGACGACTCACCCGACTTACCCGGATAACACAATTGCAAGCGCGGAAAATCCTCTTCACATTTAAAATTATCAGCGTAGAAAAAGCCAAACATAAAACTTAAATGCATACAAAAAAACTTTTTGGTGTGCGATTAACAGTTTTTTTTTGCGAAAAAAGGAATTCGTAAGCTGTCCAGTGTCCGGAAAGCCCATTGAGCGGAAGCAAGCTACAGTAGCATGGTTGCCCGCTGCCCCCGCCTTACGGCGTTTACGTGAGCCGTGCACATTTTGCATGGAAAATGAAAATTCGCAATTTCACACTTTACAGTCAGTCGTGCGGTTACTTCTGGAGAAGCTTTTATATACCGGTTAGTACAAGTACGTAGACTGCTACAACACTTACAGTAGAAGTACGAGTACTAGTACTGTACTTACTCTAACCGGATTTTCTACATAATGGGTTTTTGATTTCGCATTTTGCAAGTTTTTCTTATTAACTTCGGGATCCTAATTCGTGTACGGTATTTCCGTTTGATCAGTGGCATATTCTTTTGTAGTATTCAAGTGCAGTCTTTCCAGTCGCTGGCGTAACAGTTATCGACGCAGTAACCCGACCATGGCGATGAATCCGACTGCATCGGCGACGGACCTTCGTGATGGGCCCAATTCTGAGGGGACGATAGCGGATAGCATGCAGGAGATGCTGTGCAGCGGCGACCTGAGTGATGTACATTTCGCAGTGGGACGTCAGTTCGGGGAAGTGAAAGACTTCCACGCGCACAAGTACGGCTGTATCTTGAATTTTGATGGCGTGCACACATCCAGTCTCGCTGCAGTGTGCAACTTACTTGATATGCCTAGTTGCGTATCTGTGTACGTTTCTGATCCGTTATTTTTATGCTTGTCCTAACTTTAGGTGCATCTTGGCTGTCCGTAATCCGGTGTTCCGTGCGATGTTCTTTGGTAGTTTGCGTGAAAACGGTGACGCAGCCATCGACATCCCCGATATGCTGCCAGACGCCTTCGCCAATATGCTCCAGTACGTAATACGAAGAGCAGCACAAGCATTCGTAGTACGGTTGTTCAGTTTCATTGCTGTTTGCTTCTGCTCGATTAATTCTCGTCCTAATCCGCTGCCACTGACTGTATTTTAGTTTTCTATACGCCGATGATGTTAGGAATCTGACTGCGGATAACCTCATCCCGACGCTGGTTTGTGCTGACAAGTACGACGTACCGCGGCTGATCAGGATCTGCTCCAACTTCATCGCCAATTACCTTAGTGTGAACAACTGTCTGACCATGATGGAACAGGTGCGTCGTCATCGTGCACCGCATTATTATGTAATACTCATACGGATCGGTACCTGGTGGCAGGCCGTTTACTGGAAGGCTGACGGTGTCGTGCAGAATTGTTTGGATTTCGTGGACGCGAAGACTGAAGCAGTACTGCGATCGAATGAGTTCACGGCCATCAGCCTGACGACGCTGCGAATGATTCTGCAGCGCAACACACTCACGGCGGAGGAGAATGCTGTGTATTTGGCGGTTGAACGGTACGAAATTAACTACTACGAATAGCTGGCGGCTCTCAGGGTTGCGGTGTTGATCGTTACTTTAAACGGCTGACAGGCTCTTGAAGCATAGGAAAGCCAGCGCATTCGATTTTGATTTACTTATACCAAGAATAACACCAAACGCTTCATAAAAATGCAACAAAAAATTGAAAAGTTTTTATGAAAAATGATTTAAACGACTGGGCTTTCCTGTATGCGATGATAAATTATAAAAACGGGAATTAGGTACACATGCTGGCACGTTGTAGATGGGCAGTGGCGGCCTGCACTGGTAATTTCTTGGATTCGTCTGCCGTCAATCGGCGTCAGATGCTGGATGACACGTTATTCCTGGTGCGGTTCCCACTGCTGACTCCGTCGCAGCTAGCAGACGGTCCTGGCCAGGTGAGCTTCCGTCAGGCTATCTTTGACATTTAAATTGCAGTATGTGAGTGTTTGACGCTGTCTGTTAACAGAGTGGGCTTTTGAATGAAGCGGAAATCACCAGCCTCTTCATGCACTATCATGCCAACGCTAAGCCAACGGCACTTGGCTTTCGCACCGAACGCCGTATTGGATTGCCGAAAGTTGTTGCGCCCGCGTTTCAGCCTGGTGAGCCTGTCTTTGCGTGAACTGCGGACGAAGATTGGTGGTTGCCAGCCACGGTTATCGGATCGGATGGGATGCTGCTGGAATTAGACTGGAGTCGCAACGGCGGAAGGGTTACCACAACGACGACAAGGTGGTGCGTGCAGCGGACATCCTGCAACCGGGCCAGCCTTTGGAAATTCGCCTTGCAGGCTCCTATAAGCCGGCTAGCCATGTAGAGCACGATATGGATCCTGTCCCGATGTTCGCAAACAATGAACACTGGGTCACTGTGGGTAGCCTTCCGTATTTCGCGCCGCTCAGCCTCTTGCGTCTGCTGCACCATCAGGTGGAGCAGTGGAAAGCTGACAATAAACAATGAGGATGGTACTGTATCTACAGTGCTGCGTGGACTTACTACTGACTTCCACAGGTTTTATTAGGTTATATTTGATCTTTGTACGGGATTTCTGCATCACACTAGAGATCACTACCATTTACTGTCTTGCATTATTATTTTCGCCACCATTCTGTTTTTTTTGCGATGGAATTTCTGGTCGGTGTTTACGTTAGCTCCTGTAAAAGTGTTTGATAGTTTGATTCATAACAGTACTGGAAATAAAAGTGCTTTCTTAGACGAGTATAAGAACGGGAAATGAGGTGTCTGTAACGGAGTGATTCTCGTGAATTAGCATCGTCAACTTTGCGCACATTTCGCCATGAGAACTCATTGCAGTCCAAATGGACGCGCCACATTTTGGTGCTTATGTTTATAAATATAGATATAGTATACACCGTGACGTCGTGCCGCGCTAGACCGTGTCCTGCACTGTTTTACTTATTGTTTGCCCAAAACGGTTTTTTTGACAAGCTAACATTTGTTTAAGTGTACTTCGCGTTTTCTCGTATTCCGGTCAGTGTGACTAAACAGTTTCATATTCCGGTCACCAGGTAGCAAAATGTCCTAACAAAACAAAATTCACAGAAATGGTTAGTTTTCATAAAAACGACCTCTCTCATTAAATCTGAAGCGTAAACATCAATAAATTCACGAAAGACTTCACTTTTATTTATAAAAGTTATACAGCTACGAGTCTACGACCACAACTTATAAAATTAATTTAATTTTATGTGAAATTTATTTTATAATTTTTACTTACTATTCATTCACGTCGCAGTATTAGCATGTTGCAGATACGGTGGACTGCGGGGCTGTTCTTGCTGCACTACAGTAACCCGAGTAACACAATTGCAAGCACGGACAATATTTAAACTATTTAAATTATCATCTCAATTTTAAAATTTTAGCATTGAAAAACAAAACAAAAATGAAAAAAGTGTTAAAGGCATACAAAATCAAAATTGTATTGGTGGCAAAGCGAGCTGTTCGGAAAGCCCAGTGAGCGGAAGCAAGCTATCGTAACATGGTTGCCCACTGCCTCCGCCTTACGGCGTTTACGTGAGCCGTGAACACTTTGCATGGAAAATGAAAATTCGCACTCAGCCACTCACATGGTTATTTTCTGGCACTTTAATATGACTTCAATCGGATTTTCAATCATTTTCTCGATACAAGTACTAAAAAGTAAATAGGTTTTGATTTTCGCATTTTGCAAGTTATTTTTATTAACTTTGGGATCGTGATTCGTGACCGTGTACGGCATTTTCCTTTGATCTGTGGCATATTCTTCTGTAGGATTCAAGCGCAGTCTTTCCAGTCGCTGGGTTTTCGACGCAGTAACGGGTAACCCGACCATGTCGATGAATCCGTCTGCATCATCGACGGTTCGTAATGGACCCAGTTCCGAGGATACAGTCGCCGCTAGCATGCAGGAGATGCTGTGCAGCGGCGATCTGAGTGACGTGCACTTTGTGGTGGGACGGGATTTCGGACAAGCCAAGGAGTTCCACGCGCACAGGTACGAGTTTATGGTGAATCGTGATGGCGTGTACGAATCCAGCCTCGCTCATCGCTGTAGTGTACAGGTTGTACAACAGATTGTCAGTAATGACATGCGTAGTTGTGTATCCGTATACTTTCTTAAATCCGTTGGTGTTATTACTGTTATGCTTGCTGCTTTAGGCTCATTCTGGCTGCTCGCAATCCGGTGTTCCGGACGATGTTCTTCGGGAGTTTGCCTGAAAACGGTGACACAGCGATCGACATCCGCGACATGATGCCAGAGGCCTTCTCTAATATGCTACAGTACGTGATACGAAAAACAGCACGAGCATTCGTAATAGCACGGCTGTTCACATTAATTTTTGCCAGCTTGTTTCTGTTCGATTAATTCTCCGGACATCCCGCTGTCGCTGCTCTTAGTTTCCTGTACACCGGTGATGTTACGAATCTGACTGCGGACAGCGTCATCCCGACGCTGGTTTGTGCTGACAAGTACGATTTGCCGCGGCTGATCAGGATCTGCTCCGACTTCATCGCCAACCATCTTAGTGTGGATAACTGTCTGACCGTGTTGGAACAGGTGTGTAGTTTTGTGGCCCGAATGGTTACGGTGCTTTATGCAACACGGATTGTTTGACTGCTAATTTCAGGCCATCCAGTGGAGTGCTGCCGGTATCGCGCAAAAATGCCTGGATTTGGTGGATGCGCAGAGTGATGCGGTGATGCGATCGGATCGGTTCACGGATATCAGCCCGGCGACATTGCAGATGATTCTGCAACGCAGTACACTTACGGCGGAGGAGAATGTGGTGTACTTGGCGGTGGAACGGTACGAATGGCTGATTGGCGTATGGGCCAGCCATCATTTAAAACAACTGACATTTAAAACAGCCGACAGTCTCGTGAAAGATAAGAATGCCAGCGCGGGAAATCTAGACATTATACGCCATACAGGATTGATTATACGAAAACTGTAAACAGAAACCTCGTAGAAATGAACCGGAAATTAAACTTTTTTCTACAATAAATACGTAGCTCGTATCATTACTTGAAGAAGTTGGCTTGCTATTAATATTACTATGGTGATAATAATAAACCTGGTAATTATATGTATGCTGGCAACTTGTAGGTGGGGAGTGGCGGCCTGTGCACGGAATGGCCTGGATTCGTCTGCCGTCAATCGGCGTCAGATGTTGGGGGATGCCTTGTTCCTGGTGCGGTTCCCATTGCTGACTTCGTGGCAGCTAGCCAACGGTCCTGGCCAGGTGAGCTGATGTCGGGCTGTCCCTTTGCACGCACCCTGCAGTGTTTGATTCATTAACGTTAACAGAGTGGTCTCCTGACTGAAGCGGAAATCGGCAGCATCTTCCTGCAACAGAAAGCCAAGGTTAAGCCGACGGCACCAGCCTTTTCCGCGGAGTGCCGCACGGGATTGCCGAACGCTGCAGCGCCCACGTTTCAGCCGGATGAAACTGTCTTTGCGCAGACTGTCGAAGGACATTGGTGGATGCCGGCCACCATCACCGGTTCGAACGGGCTGAAGCTAGTGTTAAAGTGGAGTTGCAGTGGCACACGTTCTTACAAAACGACGGACCAGGTGGTGCGAGCATCGGAAATCCTGCAGCCGGGGCAGCCCCTGCACATTCTTTATTCTGGCAACTGCCAGACAGCCAGTTACTCAAAGGCTGCGGCGGATGGTCTGCATGAGGTCTTCTGGGGTCCTCGTACTGTGTCCGTACCATTCAGCTGCTTGAGCCTGCTACACCGTCAGGTGACGCAGTGGAAAGCCCATAATGGCCGGTGATGACCACATGGACTTACTGGTTCCGGAGATGGTTGTGTAACTTGTATTAGTTCATGGTAATCTTTATATGTGGTTCTGCATGACAGTAGAGACCGCACTAGTTTAATAATCTTCCGTAATTTAATTGTGTTTTGTTCCCGTTGAATGTTCCCACTGCTTCTCGAAACGTGATAATAAATATTTTTTCCGGCCAAAGTGAAAATGGATAGACTGTCTGTCAATGGACTTGTACCAGTCAATCTTCCAAGCAGTAGCGCTGTCAGTTGCCACCAGTTACTCCCGCTGCGCAGTTCGCTTCACAAAAAAGAAGCATGCATTGACACGCTGTGTTTATCATTCATTACAAATTACAATCGCTCCAACCGGTGTGTATGCCAATGCGCAGTTGTATCAGTTTGCTATCCTCCCGCCCCGGCCGACGCCTCGAACAGATGCATTTTCTGCAAGACTAAGGCACATTTCGCGAGCTCGCTCCATGTGGTTGACGTACGTCCGGGGTGCCGCTTCATTTAAAACGGTCATTTGTCAAACATGAAAGCTATCAATGGTTGATTGACTGCAATAGTCGTATAGCTGATGACCATATGTAAAGGTCGCCGGCAGCACCCACTTTGTGCACGGCCAGTCCAAGACCCCGAAAAAATGGTTCGTCACCAGGATCAGGTTGCAAGGTGTGGCCAGGCTCAAAGGAGATGCCATCCCGTCCAGACTGCTGAAGGAGATCGTCTAGGCATCGCCCACTTCCGGTGTCGCCGCTTCCATGGTTGCATATCTCAACATCAATCTTCACATAATCTATAAGACATTTTTTAAACAAATTGTTGTCTTAACGCTAATGCACTAAACACTGCCATGTAAAGGCGACAGCATCACCATCCCCATGAAGTAGGTTTAACTGGAGCAATAAAATGTACAGGGATGACACTCTCCTACTGAGTAATCGATCATATCAGACCTTCTCCGTGAGCAGCATGACGATTCTGGTTGACTGGAGCACAGGCGAAAACGTTGCTGCAGAACATTTTCCCTATAGGACAAGTGTCCGTACAAATGCTCGATGCTGATCATGATGTGGTGCACGTCGGGGATGAGATGCCGAAGGTCAGGCCGGCGAAAAGGAATCCCATCCCAACAGTGCCCAATCAGGTCGATCCACTCCGAGTTGCAGCTCCTGATTGGGAAAAAACGGGGGGAGAATGGGTGCTTGCCAATGTTACGCGTCAGTGCCCGCGGGATTTGTGTACAAATCAGGTATATGCTGCAAAGGTTTTGAAAGGTCACGGCAAGGTAAACCAATCACTACTATAATTTAGAGGCGCATAAAAAAGTTTTGACTTTTCTGATGATGATTTTGTTTGTCATCGCTTAACTGTGTAGATGTGTACATGAACCCTGATCAAGACCGATATTATCTTGGTAAATTAATACGAATTACAACAAAGAACTCCGGTAAAGAATTTCGATCCGTATTATTCGCATTTAATTTTTGTTACACTAATTGCAATTGTAAGTCATAGGCGAATTTAACTCGCTTGGGCAGGAAGAGCACAAAGAACCTGAAAACCCAAAAGACGACTAAATGGATAATAAGTAAAATAATTTGAAACGTACAAGGATTCCACAACTTCCTTTTTTCGAAAACCAAAAATGCTGTATGAGATTTTTCAAAATATGTAAGTACGTCGTACGTGCGAAGTACGAGTACTTACTAGTTACTTGCCGAGTTTGCACAATGCAATCACCGAACAGGTGAGTACTGGTAACTGTCTTCTCGCAAAGGTTGCGCACCACTTAAAATAACAGCTTCCGGAAGTGACTTGCGCCGTAGATTATCAATGGCAAATTAGCCTTCCTGAGACTTCCTCGCTACTGGTCGTTTCCCTGTATAGCTTCTATTGCGGATCTCGAATTTTTAAATTTTGTTTGTGTTGGGGACTTTTGCAGGTTCTGGTTATTCTAATTTGAGTAAATTTACCACCGTGATTACTGATTTACTTACGCCAGTCTTCATACGATCTATTATTTTCAGATTTGAGGCATTTTTTGCATCTTTGGAGCATCTGTCGATATTCAGAATAACCGATCATGTCCAAGAATGTGACTTCCTCGACGGCGTGTGTTGGGCCCGATTCTCAATGGAAGCTGGCGAAATGCATGCAGCAACTGTTGGTGAATGGAGATCTGTGTGATGTGCACTTCACCGTAGGACGCCACTTCGGCCCATCGAAGAACTTCTCCGCGCACAAGTGAGATCACACTGACTGAGTGACAGCGGACGGTGCAGGCGTGTTTTCTGCAGTTGCAGAAATGTGGTGTATGTATTCTTGCAGGCTGATCCTCGCGGCACGCAGTTCCGTGCTGCGCACGATGTTCTACGGGAGTCTGCCAGAGAAGTGCCAAAAAGCTCTCGATATTCCCGATATCCTTCCAGAAGCGTTCGACAATCTCCTCAGGTAGGTCGCTGGGAAATGGATACTTGTTTGTTGCCGTTTCCTCTTCCACATCTCAGCCTCCATTTTACCTTGTTTGCAGCTTCATGTACACTGATGCCGTGGAAAATCTGAATGCTGGCAATGTCTTTGCAACGCTGCGTGCGGCTGACAAGTACGACTTGCCTGGACTGGTGAAGATCTGCTCTGGTCTGAGTGATTCCATCGTCAGCAAGCTCAATGTGGACAACTGCCTGACCACGCTGGAACAGGTGCGTCGTAAGCATGCGCCGCATTATCATGTAATGCTAAAACTAAAACTGATTGGTTAGATTTGTACATTGCAGGCCGTCGAATGGAAGGCTGACAGTGTCGTCCCGAAATGCCTGGATGTGGTGGACGTGAATAGTGAAGCGGTGTTGCGATTGGATAAGTTCGCGGCCATCAGCCAGGCGACGCTGCGGATGATTCTGCAGCGCAATACACTCACGGCGGAGGAGAATGCGGTGTATTTGGCGGTGGAACGGTACGAACGACTGGCTACAAGCCTGCAGTTATGCACTCCTTTCACCCTGTGTAACCAGTTATCGTCGTGCGGCTGTGTCGGTGATACCGTAAAACGGCCAAGAGGCTCATAAACATTAGACACGCCAGCGCGTTCGATTTTGAAAATACCGAATTTAATGAACTGACATTGTGAATTAGTATATGAATTTACTGAACGGAAAAATTGAAATAAGGACCACATAAAAATAAATCCAAAAAGTAGAAATATAATTAGTATATATATTTGACTATTGTACATGCTGGCATGGTTTAGATGGGCAGCGGCGGCCTGTGCCCGTAACGATCTGGAGTCGTCCGGTGCCAATCGGCGTCAGATGCTGGGAGACGCCTTGTACCTGGTGCGCTTCCCACTGCTGACTTCGTCGCAGCTAGCCAAGGGTCCTGGCCAGGTGAGCTCTTATCTGTTTATTCTTTTGCGGTATATAATGGAAGGTGTACATGAACAGAGTGGACTCCTGAACGCGGCTGAAATCGGCAGCATCTTCTTGTATCACAACGCCGACCCGAAGCCGACGGCACTGGCCTTTCCCACGGAGCGCCGTGTTGGAGTGTTCCGCGTTGTGGTGCCCGAGTTTCAGCTGAATGACAGTGTCTTTGTGCGTAACGGAGATTGGTGGATGCCAGCCGAGGTTACCGGATGGGATGGGAAGAAGGTGGCGTTGGTGTGGCTTGCCATTAGCATGCCGCATACTCATACCACAGCGATGCCAGACAATGTGGTGCGTGCGGCGGACATCCTGCAACACGGCCAGCCGGTGCATATCTCATTTCGGGGCAGTTGTGAGTCCGCCCGCTTTCTTTACTCCACGGCCTGTCGTTGGGTTGTCAAGAATAATAACAATATGCGCCGCAAAATGTTTTTCGGTGAGCTGATATTGGCGCACTACCAGGTGACGCAGTGGAAAGCGAACAACGGCTGGCGAGCGGGACTGCATGGCGTAGGGGCATGTGGAAATGGTTATTAATTATCGATCTTTATATGCAGTTCCTGGATAATACTAGAAATGGCTACAGTTTACTCATTTTTATACGATTTATTTTGCCGGCTTTCTGTTCATTTCCGACGAATGTTTACTTTTTGCTTTGACGTTAACGTCGGTGAAAACAACCGGTGAAGGATGTGTTTTAGTCACTTTTATTAAATGTTTTTCTATTGAATGCTGGGTTGCCTCTACTCGTATGTTTTGGGTGCGCGAATTCGCATCGCTTTTCCCACAGACGTGTTAGGAATTATTTGTGATGAAGAGTTACAAGAACGTTCGTTACTGTTGGTGCGATAGACGTCGTTATCACTTGCAACTTCGTGCCGCTATCGAAGACGGCAACACATGTACGGGTAGTCATAACTCACAAGTGCAGAATGACACCGACAAGTGAGTGCAACAAAAACGTTCTTACCTTGGAAGCACAAACGTACTGTACTTCCTCATGCAAATTTCAAGGACATGAGTTAAGACACTCTTTGTAAAGGAACTTCACATACTTACAACGAGTAATCTTTGTAGCACGCGTCGGGTGCCTTTTCGGAGGCAGTTGTTTCAACCAGTGATAAAAAATTCGGAAATTGCCGGTACGTATACTCACCTGCGCCGTTAAAATAATTACGAGTATCGTAGACAATACATAATTATATGCACAATACGACTAGTACGGAACGCGTGCAAGATAATTTTAAAGGCATATTATAAATTTTTTCGGTGCGACCATCATCTCATTATGATTTTTGCTTCCATTTTGTTATACACAAATTCTGAGCATTTGTTGCGCTGTAGAAAAGTAAATTAATTTTTCTTATGGCCGCACATTGGCGAATAATATTGGCACTTCGCTTGTTATAGGTACGACTATAGACAACTTCCACCACTGACACGCACTGAGCAATCAAAATTCAGAACAGCAACCAATAGGTCAGTACTCGCTTCCGGTTGTGTATGGCAATGCGACCGCGCGGCACAATGTGGAAATGGGGAAAGTTATCCAGCAGTACATCCGCCGTAGTCTGACTGAGATGGATGCGGTCGCCCTCCCCGTACTGACACATCTGGCTAGCGGTTTTCACCGCTTCCCCAAACCTGGCACAAAAGTTTAAAAGCCATAAAACTGAGGAGAATTCAAGAAACCTGTATAAGCGACGTATTAGTCTTACAAGTAGTATCGCGGCCGGTTGCCGCCAATCACTCCTGCAGCGCAGCTCCCTGCCAAATATAAAAATTTGTAGAATTATCTGTATTCGTCCCCATAATGCGTTAACACTTCGTTATGAGCATTCATACCCGTGTGTATGCCGATGCGCAATTGTAACAGATTAATATCCTCCCGTCCCGACGCCTCGAACAAATGCTGCATCTTCTGCGAGATAAGGCACATTTCTCGAGCATGCTCCATGTGACTGACATCCGGTATGCCGCACGCCATCTACAACGCTGATTTATCAAACAACGTCCAGAAATCTGAATGGTTGCTTGACTGTAGCATATGTACAGCTGCTCACCATGTAAAGGTCACCGGCAGTGCGCACTTTATGGACGACTAATCCCGCCGTGGCCGTGTCCAGGACTTCGAAAAAATGGTTCATCACCAGGATCAGCTCGCAGGGCGTGGCCCGGCTCAGAGGTTCTGCCATTCCGTCAAGACTGCTGAAGGAGATCGTCACTGAATCGTACACTTCGGGTGTCACGGCTTCTCCGCGTTGTAGTCTCAGCACCAACGTTCTAATAAATCCAGGTATGTGCTTTATAAACAAATTGTCTTATTAACGCTAATACACCGTGAACGATACCGGAAAAGTCAGTAAAAATATTCAGTAAAAAACATCTTCAGTAAAGTTAGTAAAAGTATGCTATATTGTTGCTATACAATATGGTATAAAAATAAATACTTTAAAAATATGCTATATTAATATGTATATGATTTTTATTGATGCTATACATATACAGTCATACAGGTATGCACCTGGGCAGCATCTCTTCCAGTAGGCGGTCGTACTTGGCTTTCTCCGTAAAGAGCATGGCGGTGCGGTTACTGACTTCCTGCTCGAGCTGACTGGAGTAGAGGAGAAAGCGTTGCAGGACATTTTCCCCATAGGACAAGCGACCGCACTTCAAATCCATGCTGTCCATGATGTGGTGCACCGCGTGGCGGAGATGGCGAAGGTCCGGCCGACGGAAGGGATTCTCGTCCCAGCAGTGCTCAATGAGGTCGATCCACTCGGGTTGCAGCTCTTGGTTTGTGAAAGACGGGCGGAGAATGGGCTCGTTGCGCAGAATGCCGCTGTTACGCGTCAGCGCTCGCAGGATTTCTGCACAAATTATGTGGAACTGAATGAAAAGATCACGAAGTGACAGCTGATTATTGCATTAGTTGGAGCCTCCAAAAATCAGTGGTTTTTATGCGCCTACAAGTTGGAGGCGCATAAAAACCACTGATTTTTAAGACGATTGTGTTGCAAATGTCTAACAGATATATGAACAGAAACAGTCATGAAGCGGCAGGATTAGAACTATATATACCATGGTCATTAATAAATTTTTATAATAATAATATTTAAATAGGACATGCTAATGCTCTGAGCATAAATCGTAAGTAAAAATAATAAAATAAATGTCATATTGAAATTTATCAGTTTGTTATGTAGTTATAGAACTCGTATAAATAACAGGGTTCATCAGCTCTTTGCCGAAATCTGGAATATACCGTGCGGATCGATGCCGTGATCATTTTGGTAAGGTTGTTTGGCCAGCAAGATCTCATAGAGGATCATGGCCAGGGAGTAGACATCGGTCAACTGACTGGGCGGGCACTCATGGCGCAGCACTTCCGGTGCCGTCCAGAAGAACCGTGTTGGATCGCGATAGCGCCGATTATTGTCAGCCGGCAGCTGCAGCAAGTTCTGCAGCTGATAACTACCGACTTGGCTAATCCGCAGTGTAAAGTGTTGATCAATAAGGCACCGGCTGCCGGATAAATTCCCGTGGAATTTTACCGGCTGTGTGTGGATAAAATTCAGGCCCTGTAAGTATACCTAATGTATTGCAATTGCATATAAAAATGATTACTCATACACCATTATTTTTGCAAAAAACTAACCTCAACTAAGTTACAGACTAATGAGCAACGAAACTCAACATCCACGGTGACGGAAGCACTCTGGAAGAGATCATGCAGTGACCCGCGGGGACACCACTGACTGACCACGTGGATCCACTGCAGCCGGCCCAACGATGGACCGGCATACAGTCCCACGGTGCGATTAATACACGGATGTGTTACTCCACGAATCTACACAATTGCAATCATAATTCATGCATAATACAGAGCGTAGTAATATCTGCGACGAACAGGTATTACCACCTGTGACATTAGCAGTTGTAAAGAGGGATTGTAGCGCGTCATCATGCTGCTGGCGTTGTTGCCGCCAATGGGCAGCGTGTGCAGACACTTCGACCAGATGTAGTTGCCGTCGTACAGCGCTTTACCCACGACATGCGCTGCTGCCGTTGTCTGGTACGCAAAACGAAATTAATATGACTGCGAGGGCTTCGTTAGTACTTTTTTACAGTTTCATGAATTTTATAAGTTGTTAGCTGATTACCGAACTTGGTTCCATCATGTCCAAGCGACTTCGCGAAAACCATGCGTAACACGAAACTCTCTGGAAAAACCGAAACCTTTGAGTTCATGATTATGACGAACACTTCCATCGTTCTTTTTTAGTTATACATTCTATCTGTACAACGTGTACAAATACCATCAAATGTGACAGATAAATTAGTATTACTTTTACAAATATTAAACTAAAGCTGAAAAAAGCATACCGGTGTAAAGGTATTTTTAACAATTGTAATTCATAAGTATAAAAACAGAATACTGTATAGAAATACATATAAATAATTATGATTTATGGGCGTAGATAAATAACCACATAAACACATTTTAACTTGCCTGGGGCGGCACACGTGTCCAGTGCATAGAATCCTGCATGGAGACACTTTGCACCAGCAGCGCATCCAACACCCAACTGCGATCGCTGATCAGGGCTTGTGCTGCGCGTGACCTTTATTTATCAATTGTCTGTCAGTAAACAGTTGCATTTGCGCGTCGCACAACCATTTTTCAAAACAACTAATCAATAACGATTGCAGCGGGAAAAGTAAATGAATGACCTTATGCGGTATCCGGCCATGATCGCAGCCCCGATCGCCACACATACCGCTCCAATTACGCCAGCCACAATCGGCACATAGTCCGCTATCCAAGCAGAATCACAAGATAATTGCGAGCGATATTGAAAGAATCTTTAGTGTACCTGGATCGTGGCACGAAAGACCTTCGTATCCGCATACCGGGACGTTGGGCGGTGGACCGTAGCCGTTGGGCCAATAAATGCTACTGACGTTCAGGTAACGTTGATTTTCGCTGTCCCACTGTTTAACGACCTATCCAAAAAAAGCTACGGGTATACTGCCAGTAAAGCTGCTGTAAAAAGCTCGGCAGGAAGAAAAAAATTAGCAGTATTTTCAGAAAAAATTTAATGCTAATTTACGGAAACATAATATGTATAATACGTTCGTTTGCTACAGATATGCACGTTGTGCTATATACGAGTAAGTTCCATTTCTGTCACTGCACTACAATGTGACTACATTAAATCCCATATTACAGTATATGTATGACCTTTAGATTCTTTATCGTCGTTGTTCTAATTTTCTTACTATAGACAGACGCTGGCAATTACATATCACATTTAACCAAAAAACATTGAACATAATCTTCAAAAGCTTTCGACGAATTCGCGGTCAAGTGACAGTCAAAATTAATATGGTCCGAACCAGAAATAGATAGGTAGCAAGATATCCCGTATGTAGCAACATGAGTATAGAAGTATAATTACTACAGTAGTATTTTGCTGATGTTCACTTACTTGTAAATAATCTCCTGTCGGACTGCTGGCGCGTAGACTTAAATTGACCACCGCATCCCCGAAGCGGCTAACCCCGGTAAGACCCACCCGGGAGTGGTAGGTGCGGCGTAGAAATTTCCCGGCCAAACTCTCCCCGTCTTTCCAGTCAAACGCCGGCTCCGATATGTACGTTTCATTCAAAACCTAATCAAAAACCTTTGCTTCAAATACATCGGTACGTGCAGTAAAGGTCACTGTCTCTGCGCCATACTGACCTCAGCCAGCATGAAGACGCCGGCATATGTGGCTTTCAGGTATGGTGACTGCAGGGGATACCGAAAATAAATAAATCAGCCATATAAAAAATTGAGAATAGCCTGCAATTTTGTTGGTAATCGCGGACGGTGTACCGGCTCGAAATAGGTGAGATTGTAGGTGGATCGGGAGCGTTGGCGACATTCGCGTAAGAACGGATCCTTCTCGTATTCCTCTCGTTCTGGATGTTCAGCGGCCAATAACAGAACCGATTCGTATGCGGTTTTGGCTATCTACGAATTATAAAATTAGCAGCATTATACGAGGGTAATAGAGTAAATCGTATTATAGACGTACTCTGTATCATATCATATGCATGCTGTTCCAGATGTTTTGCTAAGGATGCCTTTGGCTTACAAGAGACATTGTGTTTACGATCTACGTAATAGAGGTTTCGTTTACTGGAACACCCTTGTATGCTACCGCTAACATTGTTAACTTGTAATTATTTCCGCCAGAATACTAAATGAGCGCATGCACTTACCAGATCATCGGCATCATCGTATTTCCAAGAAAAATTGCCGCAGATCTGCATATGGTAGAGTGATTGAATGGCGATGTATATCTGCAAATTACACGATCGCTTGAATTACTTTTCTGTATAAAATATACAATCACGACGGTCATGGACAAGTTGCAAGCTTTTCACCTATTGCTACATAGTACACAAATACAAAATGCTTGCTGCAAAGCGGTAATAAAATATTATTTAAATATGGACATACGTAATCCCCGTTTGTCATATTTTGTCCGGCAGCCGCAATCTGCAACAGTGTACACATGTACAGATAAGTTACCATTTACCGCGATAATTTCTAAACTGTTCAAAACTGACAAAAAATTTAAGCCAGAATTCGAGCGGCTGTTTCTTACATTTAAGTCACGTTCTCGAAAACAAAACGACAACAATTTATTTTGCTCACCAAAGTTCTCCGGAACGAATTCGAATGGCCAAAAAAGATCATAACTGAAAACAAAAGAAATTATTAAAGCAAAAAATCCGCTACCGTACTGCACATAAAAAGGTCAATTTTGATTTATCCTGGAATCCTAAAAACTTAATACTTGCTAATATGTATTCGAGTTTGCACTACATTCAGGAAGATGCAGTAGTACTTTGTAATTTGCATTCGATGCAAAATTATTTGCAGTTTTCCTTACATAAATCAATGATTTTATGAAATAAAAGTTCTAAAAAAATAAACATTGGTCCATATAAATAACACGAGGCGATCCATAATTTTTTCATTACTAGTAAATAATTTGCACATACTGCGGCTGGATTTGCGGAATTCCGCCAGCATCTCTAGCAGCGTCCACGCCGGATCGCCCGGCACATTCAGCGTGCGGAGCGTCGTCTGGAATTCCTTGCCGACACTGGCATTCTTCAGGCTGTTCTGTGTGGCGCTGGTCAGGGACTTGTACATGGGACTGGAGCCGGTATCCCACACCAGGTAGATATTGCGCCACGCCCAGTCCTCCAGCAGGGTGCGAATGGCCAGCACCACGTTGGAGATGGTCCCGGTGGCCAGGGAGATCCACGTGGGATTCATCCGGCGCTCCTGCTTGAAACCGGCGTCCGATGCCCTATGTATACATGACGCACAATAAATAAATACCAATACATAAATAAAAATCGGTACAGTACATAAAATAGCCGCCGGCAGTGTGGTTTTCCGTATAATGTGATACGATCTCTTAATAAACGGAACAGCCCAAATTACACTGACGGTTATATCAGGTTATATCCACGCATCGCATAGATTGGTCAGATGCCAATTATCAGAATTTATGAAGCATGTGAGCCGGTTGAAAAAATCCCCGTGATAACTATTACATAGTACATTCTGCCGGCGGCGGCGCTATTTAGGTTTTATAGTACGTATATTAGACAATTTTTCTAATGCAGTACTGGTACTCGGTACAAGGTCTGTTCGAAAGCTCGAAGGGAAAAGTAATCATGTTATTGCGGTATTCTCCGAAGGAATTCGACGTTTCCGCCGGATGCATGATGCGGCGTCTTACGTTGTAATTTGCAAGATGTTCCACTGTGACGCTAATAGACCAGTCGTAGGCGGATCGTTGCAGCCTGTAATCGCGTTAATGTTTCATGCGTACATCTCAAAAAATTAACAATTCGATTAAAAAGATGGACGAGGTATTCCTGGGTTTCCAAGTACTTGCAGGATTAAAATATGTATAAAGAATAAATGTATGTATATGTATAAATACTGTATATGATATATAAATATATGTATATGTATATGAATATATGTATGTATATGTATAAATTTGTAACAATTTCGCCATGATTTCAGTGTCAAACAGCACTAATCTACTGGCAAATTAAAAAGGCAGCTGCACTACGTATGCATAGCAAAAACTTGCATAACTTTCAATATTATCAAATGTTTGGTTAAACAAAGTAATGAAAATTTGGTAGTATATATACTGATGCGTTAAATTTAAATGCAGAAAACCATAAAACAAAGCAGTAATGATAAGTGGTATACTAAAGCAAAATGCTGCGTAAAGCTTTAAACACAATTTTGATTTTGATCAATTTTTTGTGGATTAAAGAAAATACTAAAGTGCTAGGGTATACATTATAAATACGTTGTTACAACAATTTGACAAATAAATAGAAAATCCTTTATCACACTAGTATAAGTACACCGCAAAATACCGGGATTAATCATGGTGGTGAGATCGGCCGTCTCCTCGGTCCGGTAATAGAACTCCGCCAGCAGGGCTTCCACATTCTCCACACTATCACAACTGCCTTTCGTGTGATTCAACAAATACGTGTGTGTAATATTCAGCACACTCCCGTATCGTTCCCGTATATCCTCCAGCGCCATATCATACGCCGGTCCCACATAAGGTATGGCCCCGGTGTAAATCGGTTGGCTGTAGCCAAAGGTCATCAGGTTGACGTTCAACGGACGCCGTCCACCGCCAACACAGCATATTACGGTACTCAATAATAAGAAGCATGCAGACAGTAAATATCGGCTAGGCATGGAAAATAGCACGATTCCCGCATGACCATGCTAATCACTTTGGCAGCTTAGCAAAATAAAATGATCAAGGTTGGAATGTGAACGCTTACAGCGAGCGGCTGGCTGGATCGATACATGCGGGATTCTAGCGGCAATTATAACCGGGATTTATAAGCCAATCATGTAGCATATTAGGAACAAATCTTCTGGTGGACGGTGTGGCATCGATCGTCCAGCGGTTCCTTTAATTACGCATAGTGCCGCGGTGGTTATTAAATCAGCTGATATATACAGGCGGGGTAAATGCCGCAGCCGGATTTGTACGGGAAATACATACCGGCAGCTGCGCCGATTTATGGAGGAATATTACGGCAGCCGGTGTAACGGCACCAGTGTTATTCATATCGTACCGGAAATGCGCTAGCAAAAACAAGCGCGCAAATTGTTGTTGTTCCCTCGATAATAAACACCCAAGAAACGAACAGATTTGCTCGTGGTGGTAATTTTTCCTCTTGGCGATTTAAGGTAGTTCTACAAAGGTGAATGTAGCAGTAACGTTTTTTCATTTATGCCGTACCGCTTTCGACCTCGGTCATTGTGACCGGATGAGTGAAACACTATGATGGAACACCGGCTAATTAAGTCATATATTAATCAGGAAGATCCTGACAGCAATCCAGGTGGAAATGCGGTGCATCGATGCGGTAGCTGTATAACATTGTAGCTATAGGAAACCATCTGTTGTCTCGCATTTGTATGGATTTGTTAAATGTCAATGCGCTATAATCAAGTGAAACCATGTGCCGTTAATATCACCGATTCACCATGGTCAGGTTTTAAAAAATGTTCAAAAGCACGGATTAACACATGATACTTTTCGTTATACAGATATAGTACATAGTAGATATACTTCAAAAGCACACGATATCGATTTATGGTAGAATTATACGAGCACAGCTATTGCAAGCATTAAAATGTATTGCTTTCGTTGGAGTTGTTACAATTTAAAAAATGAAAGAGCACCTAATAAATATTAAGAAAAATTAACGTAAAAACGCCACCCTATGAAATCTAGAAAAAAAGAAAACGAGGTTTTTAGTCATAGATCTGGTACCGGAAGTAAGCAAATATGAATGCAAAATAATCATTTGATAATGTTAACATGACAAGTAATATGGTGCAGGTATTTGAGTACCTTGGTTAGTTACAACTGGCGTTGCATACTGACGCAGACCTAGACCGGAGTGTTTTAATTATCATTTTAACGATTACGAGCTGATCAGTGCTGTTGGGTTAAGCAACTGCGTTAATACTACACAGCCCATGAAACAAGCTGCCCCAGGAAACAAGCGGAGGCCGCGATCAAAATTAAGCCGGGGATTTTTTTTCGATTTTCCTAGGTAAACTGTCGGGGCGCAACAGGAGGCGGCGGAGGTGGATGACGCGGACGCCGGACGTAGGAGGCACGCGGGGTCACCGGCATCGTGTCTAGCCGGTGGCGCGCAGACACGGTATCAGACTATAGACACCGGAGTTGCCATGCTTAACGATAAAAGCGATGAGAGCCAGAGCGCCGGCCGCTCCGGAACAGAAAGCTACCGTACAACCGTAGTAAACGAGTACGAGCACATTATTATAACGTATACCATAATACCTCGTATATAGCAGCGACGTTAAAATGCAACCGCATAAATATTTTGTAGTTATCGTTGCATACAAGAATTTTAGTCGAGCAAGTACCGGGTAATCAAGTATGTGGTCGAGTAATCCATTTCAGGTTTTGAATTACACCACTTTTACAAAAATTAATTAGTTGTTTTGCGATCTGGTTTTATACAGATGCCGGTCAAATGAAGTCAATAATTATGCCGATTCCGGTTAAATGAAGCACAATGCTGAAAGGAATATCAAGAGTTTATAAGTCGTGGTAACTGTAGGGCAGCATTCGTCTGCGTTCAGTTTATCGACTTACATCGGATGCCATAATTATTTCGTTGGCTCGTTTTAAAATTAATTAAGTAGAGCCAGCCTTACTGCGCATTATTCCGTCTCCTTTAAATATGGGAATGTCGACAAACGTTATTTCTGTAATAACTAATAACTATGTACGAGCAGTTAAACAACTCAGTCAAATAGCGTCACTCACAAAGGCACGAAAAATACTACGAGTAAACAAAGACTAATGAGCTCAGAGTCAGCACCATGTAAAATACAGTAAGTACTTGTACTCCGAAGTACGTTAGTAACACCATATATATATAGATATACATATATAATACAAGAAACAGCCTCGGCTTCGCCTCCGCGTTTCTTGGGTTCTAAACTCCTTGGCCGGTTTACGGATTGTTAACTAGAACGGATAAATCTGAAAAGCCCGATAACAAAAATTTTATAAAAAAATGGATGTTTTGGTTTCGTGCAGTCGAACGCAGTTACTTTGACTTTACAGATCATTTTTTGTTAAATTTTCTTAGCGAAAAACCATCCGAATCTAATCACCCACGAGAGTATCACATTACAAACTAAAAGGACGCTAAGACTGGACAGTGGTGCTAGATAGGTCACCCATTAAGAACTTAGCAGGCCCTGCTCTGTTTTGCTCAGTAATAGTGCAGTTTGGTCATACGTTCACCTAACGGGCTCTGTGCACTGGATAGCTTTGGTAGCTCGGTCACCCACCTACCTACCGGGATCTATGCAAAGGACAGTACTGGTAACTCGGTCACTAAATCACTTAACGGAGTTTATGCGCTGGACAGTAGTGCTAGCTCGCTCATTAGATCACTTAACGGAGTTCGTGCACTGGACAGTAGTGGTAGCTCGGTCACGCGTTTACCTAACGGGCTCTGTGCACTGGACAGTAATGGTAGCTTGGTCACCCATCTACCTAACGGGATCTATGCACTGGACAGTATTGGTAGCTCGGTCACCCATCTACCTAACGGGATCTATGCACTAGACAGTAGTGGTAGCTCGGTCACTAGATCGCTAAACGGAGTTCGTGCACTGGACAGTAGTGGTAGCTCGGTCACGCGTTCACCTAACGGGCTCTGTGCACTGGACAGTATTGGTAGCTCGGTCACGCGTTCACCTAACGGGCTCTGTGCACTGGACAGTAATGGTAGCTTGGTCACCCATCTACCTAACGGGATCTATGCACTGGACAGTACTGGTAGCTCGGTCACTGATCACTTAACGGAGTTCGTGCACTGGACAGTAGTGGTAGCTCGGTCACGCGTTCACCTAACGGGCTCTGTGCACTTTACAGTATTGGTAGCTCGGTCACCCATCTACCTAACGGGATTTATGCACTGGACAGTAGTGGTATCTCGGTACTCTTTCACCTAACGGGTTCTGGGCACTGGACAGTGGTGGTAGCTCGGTCACGTACTCACCTAGCGATTTTTTGACGCACTCAATCACTAGGTGAGTGACTGACCGAGCTCAACCTGTCCAGTAAGAAATATCGCTAGGTAAGGAGAAAAATCGCTAGGTGAGGATGTGACCCTGCTACAACTACTGTCCAGTGCACAGAGCCCGTTAGGTGAGCAAGAGCAAAGCCCGCTCGATGACTCACTCACCTAGAAATTCCGCTCAGTGGGCAGTAATGGTGTTTCGGTCACTCACTTGTCTAGTGATTTTTCTTACTGGTCAGTGGTGGTAGCTCGGTCACCCACTCATCTAGAGATTCCGCTCAGTGGTCGGTGATAGTGTTTCGGTCACTCACTCGTCCAGTGATTTTTCGTATTGATTTTATATTTGATATTTTTACATTTTATATCGGTTGATTTTAAACGTGTTTCGAGCTCGGCAACACTGGCAGCAATGTTTGAATAACGCGAGTGTTTGAGTAAGTACAATAATTTATTTATTTTTCGGTTTAATTAGAGTGATAATTATGTCAATTGGTATTTTGTATTGTATCTAGGCAAATATTTCTAAGTTTCAAGGTGACCTTTAAGATGGGTTGGATCAATCTGGTCTTGATGCCGACTTGATGCCGGCTCGATATTTTCATAAAAAAAACACATGCCGGCCACTTCTGAACTATCCCGGATCTAATGGCGTTGTCCGTTTTTCCAGAAGTTTTATGGTTATAGAGATCTCAAAACTATGGGGCGCCGCGCGTAGTATAGATCTTGTACTTAATATACAACAGTAATATAACGGACTACATCCTACTCTAGCGTATCAAATAAACCATAGCAAAGCAGGTAAGCTGTTCAGGGTTTTAAAACTGTAACAACTGTAGCGCAACAACTGTAGGCCGTTGTAAATTTGCTAGTTAACTGAAAATCTTCCCCACGTCAGCAGATTCTAAAGGAAGGGAAAGAACAATCAGGGCAGAGCGAGCGAGATGAAATAAACGACGTTCGCTAAGGTACCGCTTTTTGTCCAAAGCGAAACACCTCCCCGAGTCCAAACAGCGCCATTCTGCTCAGCTTGGACACATCCACAATTCGCAAATCGGTTTCTACCCATGATCTCGGTGTTCCGTCCGCGTGAAACCCGTTAAACCTGCGAACAAAAACCCGTTTATTCCACCTCCTGCACATGGCTCCAAACGAAGAGCAAACGTATAACCGCAGTACTTGAAAATCCACCACTCTTCTACGATTACGGCACTGTGCACGAGAGGTCGGTACGCGCGGGAACAAAGACAGAACTTTGTTCCCCTGGCCTGTCGCCGTCTGTATGTGTGACAACTGAGAATTTCGATTGGGAACCGTTTTGGCATTTGCTGCCATTTTAGCTGTTTATTTTCCCGTTGCGAACATATTTTTTGTGACTGCTACACGTCCAGGCAAATCAAACGCAAACCCAAAAGATATCCGAGCCGGTTACCAATTTTTACACTTCGACAATAATATCCTCTTGCCGGACATCCACCACGATTTTGGCTTCGCATTTAAAGTGTGGCTCAAGCATGCGTTACGCCAGCGGTTATCATGCCGGTTATCACCGAAGGGTACGGGATCAAGGTTTAATTCAAAACAATGTCTGTATGCCCAGCTAACATTATCAATGAGGACGGCTATACCTAATTGGGAACTCCTACGATTTCGTCGATATAATGAATACGAGAAAATAACTCGTTTTCAAACTAAAATTCGGAAAATCTGCTTTGTGGGCCGTGTGGCTACTGGGACCATATATAGTACTACACAGTCTATACTTACGTGCAGTATGCCAGTGTGCCATTGTGTAGCCGGCGTTTCTAATAATTTAATCTTTGACTCTAAACAGTAAAATGTATGTATTCTGATAATGCCATTACAGAAATGTGAGAAATGCGGAACCAAAAGAAAAGCAGAAGGTAAACTAAAACGCACTGCGCTGAGAAAGGTCGAAAGCTATAACGCCACTCTAAATGCAGCAATTGGTATACGACTGCTCAATTTTACTAAACGCAAAACTGCTAAATTTTACTAGACGTAAGACTGCTAGATTCTAGACTGGAAGTGGACGCAGAGCAGAATACCGTACGTGGCAAAATACTGAGAATATTCATAATTTTTAATTTACTGACTTCGGATTAATCATTTTCAGTAAATTCAATTTATCAATTTTAAAATAAACTTACAACGATAGATTTACGCGAATGCTGTCCCATTCCTGCGGATAAGCGAGTGTCTGCACCCAGCGAGCGTGGACCTTCTTGATTTGTGTATGAACGTCGTCCGGAACGGGCGGGAAGTTGTTGTCCAAAGCCCACATGAATCGGCTAGTCAAACTCAGCGATTCTTGACTGCAATCCAAAATGAGCTGGGGAATCGTGATCTGCAGTTTATCAATCTCCAGCACATCAACATGAGAGATCGGTTTCATCCACTCCCTCTCATGGGGTGGCAAAACCACGAGGTCACGCAGAATCAAAGTAAAAAATATTTCATGCAGCGCTCGGCCGAAAATATTGCTCTGTTTCCAGTTGTGCAGCAAGATGCGCTCGCTGTTGTCTTGGTGAAATGTTAGCCATGTTGTCGCATTATGCATCACTCGAAATTTTTTGTCGTGAGATGATGACAAGCTACTACAGTCGAAGTCACGTTGGTATCCGGAATCGGTAATCGTGTAATCTTTGAAAATTAAAGTAGGCACCTTGATCTGCATGGCTTCCAACAAACCAACTAAATAATGCTCGTTGAAAAAAGGCTTCAATATAGCAAGACTTTTTGTCGTTGAGCTGATGGTACGGCTCAGAAGAGATGCTACTTTGTAGCAATTGATGTTGTCGGAATCTGTTTCTATAGTACACATTTCCAAACAGACTTGGATATGCTCAATTGCGCCACGACTGCTCAGGAGCTGCTGCCATAAAGTGCATACTCTGCGAAACAAAGAAACCAAATAATTAATAATCCTAGCGTAGTGAAAAAAATATATATCGCGTATATACTTCTACAAAAAAAGAGGTACCGGGTAATCGTCAGTACTGAGGGAGTAGCGATTTGGGATATACATATTTTCGTAGGATTCTTTTATGTTTTGCGGGACTATCTGTACACTCAAGCTAAATGAAGCAAAAAAGATCCTGAGACACGAGGATATACTCGCAATATTATCTGTCCAATAACGCAGGCCAGGCACGTCCCCGTCCAGTCTACGCGATAATAGAGATACGAACGTCTCAATACCTTTTAATCCTCATAAACGAATGCAGTTCCACAAAAGAGAAAATTTCGCTCAGGAGGACAAGCGGCAGGTAATTAATACAGGCATCTTCACTCAGTTGGTCAGCTTGCGAATCTACAAGAACCGAAAGATGCTGTTAAGATGATGTTTGTAATATCCGTATATAGAGTGCGATCCATATAAAAGCAAATGTACCACTAACAAAAACAAAGTAATGTACTACAAACAAAGATTCACTTAAGTCTCACATGTACTACCATAGTATATAAGTACTTACATGTAGTACACCGCCTATCAACGAACAGATAATATGCAAGACTGTGTTTTTTATATAAGCTATATTAAAGTCAAAACATACGCTAAGTAGCAAAACTTCTGTCGGCGTTTTGACCACCAGAATAAGAATTTTTGCCGGCATCTTGACCAGACAAAACTTCGGCCGGCACAAGTTCTGCCGACGTTTGGACATTGGCCTTACGCATCTGTCTAGCTCAAGGCACTTAATTTTACATTTCGCCAGACCTACCTAGCATACGTATGGGTTCTGACTCCACGTTTTGCCAGCAAAAGTAGGAAGCACAACAACATTTCCCATCTGTTCCGTATGGGAGCTCCTCACCGCCGCTAAAATCGCTGTGAATAAACGGCGGCAGGTCGGCTCGGCTGGCTAAATGGGTCAGCAGCATTTCCGACAGGGCGGTGGCCATCCGCTGCGCCGTCTCTGAATCTGCTGCCAGAGTCAAGACCACAAACATGCATCCATCGCGTAGAATTCGAAGATGAAACCGACAGCAATCCGATAAGTTGGTCATCAGCCGGTGACGCCTCATCGCGTCACGATAATGCTTGATGATGCGAGATGGGTCGGAAGCGTCCGCGAAAATATACTGCGCTCCGTCAAAGGGAATAAACAGTGTTTTGAACATTAGCCCGTTGACTCGGTACAGCAACGGCGGCTCGCTGACGACGATTTGGCATTTGTCCACCAGTTCCATGCGAGCCTTGTGAACGCCCTCATTTTCTCCGCTTTCCACTCTGACGTAAACGATCTGGCAGGATTGGCACCCACTAATGCCGCCCATCACAACGGCAGGTTGAAAACGAAATGGCCCGTCGTCTTCATCACGAAGTGCCGCAAATAGTTGCATATTTCTACAGCTTGCATATTTACTAGCATCCCTACTGAACGGCAAGGGCCATACGCAGCCCGCATGGATCCAACTGGCTCTAGATCTGACCTTTGCGGACCGAAAGTCGATCAGCGCGAATTCTCCGGAGATATCCTGAATGTGGCCCAGCCAATACGCGTCGTCATCGTGGCGTACGACGACCGTGTTCTGATAGCTCATCTGCTGCGCATCAGCCAACAGCCGCTCGTACGGAGGCATTGAAGTGAAAACCATTCTGTTCCGACCCTCGGACTCCTATAAGGAACAGCAACAGATGTTGACAACGGGTATATCCACAAATGCCCTCGCTTATATATAGAGCAGAAAAAATCAAGAAAATGGCTATTCTCACTATCTTGGCACCACCTTTGGGCTTCGGCTATTGGAGTTCTTCGGTGTTTTGCGTTTGAAATCGAAATTGTTTCCCGGGCTTGAAATGTTTTGTAAGGGTAAAATTAGTTTTCCGATACCTTTTCCCGGGCTTGAACGGGTAAAATTAGTTTTCGATACGGATAATAAATCCTTGTTTTACAATTAAATATCTATATGCAGATCTGACAAATGTGAAAAATGAATCCCTGATTCATTTTTTTGAAACCCTTAGCAATCTGCTTATAACTCTGTACGGGAAAATTTTTCGAAGATAAAATTATAATATGGCATGGTAAAAGCGGGCCTGCCCAACTGCATTCTATAGCCGAACGACTGATCACTGCCCTACTCTGTACAATATAAGTAGAACTAGAAGTACTTGTACTTGTTTTTTTATAGGGTTCAGATCGCCATTTCTCGAAGAGGAATTAATACAAATAAAAATTTTGCCGCACTTTATTATACTGGTAGACTGAACGTGTTATTTCTGCTCTATTATACGGCTTTATATAGATAGTATGTCTGTTAGATTCGATAATGTTTATCAAAGCATCTTATTATACGAGTGCATACTGTAGAAGTGCTTATTTTCTGTCAGAAGAATCTAGTACAAATAAACGCCCGTTTGTGATTTGTACAATCACACGACTGGTTTTGTAACTGTTTTGTGGATTGCGGCTATGGAAATCATGGCTACACTGTTATAAATTTTATATTTTATTCCTGTAACATCTACATTTGCAAATCCAGGGGCACGTCATCGCTATTTTCTGATAAATTGTTATTTTAAGTACATATGTAGTATTACGCGAATACGTGGCTTTTTATGTTGATGGCTTTTTGCCCAATAAAGAGAAAATTGTCATTTTTTGCGATGTACGAATGGAACATTGACGAGGATAATGATGATACAAGCTGATCCGCCTGCATGCGAACAGTTTATTAGCGGCTCAGTGGAACTTCTTGCAGATCACAACCTAAGACGCCGCATCGTGCATCCGGCGGAAACCTTAAATTCCTACCGAGAAAACTGTTAGCATGATTACTGTATTTTCCCCTTGTCGAGCAGAGCTTTTACCGAGTATCATACCCATATTTGTCTGTTATGATTTACACCACACAACGCAGCCGTCGGGAAAACGCGAGTACGGTTAACGTGACCGGATGAGTGAACACACCACGATGCGGCCATTTAAGTATCATATAATAATCAGGAAGATCTTGACATGAATCCAGGTGGAAGTGCAGTGCATCCATGCGGCAACTATATGGCATTGTAGGAAGCCATGTTGTCCGACATTTGTATGGATTGGTTAAATGTTAGCGTAATATGATCAAGTGAAACCAGGAGCCGTTAATATCAGGTAAAAAAACTGTTCAAAAGCCCGGACTGATACTTACGTTAATACATTACATGAATTACAGTGCATAGTAGGCATCATTCAAAAGCACACGATTCGTAGTAAACACACGAGTACATCTATTACAAGCATTAAAATGCATTTTCGTCGTCGAAGTTAATCTTACACTCAACAAATGAAATTAAATTAAGAATTAAAATTAAGAAAAAACTGTAGTACAAACGCCCCCTATATGAAGTCAAGGGATAAGGAAAACGGGATTTTCATTCACTCTAACATTTTTAAATGATCATTTAATAATGTCAACGTGTTACTAATATCGTGTCGATGTTTAAGTACCTTTGTTAGGGACAAATGACGTTGCATATATCTATATATCGACACATACATTTGTAGGTCAAAGACCAAGATCGAAGTGTATAAAATTCATGTGGTCAGTGCTGTTGTATTAAGCAGCAACATTAACACTTAACGCTACACATTCCAGGAAACAGAATCTAAATTAAACCGGGGATTTCGTTTCTACGTAAACTGTCGGGGCGCAACAGGAGGCGGCGGAGGAGGATGGCGCGGTCGCCGGACGTAGGAGGCACGCGGCGTTACCGGCATCGTGTCTAGCCGGTGGCGTAGGCAAGGTATCAAACTATACACACCGGATTTGCCGTGCTTAACGATAAAGGCAATGATAGCCAGGACGCCGGCCGCTCCGAAACAGGAGGCTGCAAATCGTGATAATCATAATTACACAGGGTACGAGCAAATTATCATAACGTTTAGCATAATATACAAGTAAACGTCAACATGCAACTGGCAGTTCCCAAATCGCAGTACAATTAAGTTTGTTAAATGGTGCAGTGCAAAAACTAAGATTGGATTAGTAAAGTACGTTAAACGGAGCCATAATGTTGAGTTTTGCACAGACATTACTTAAATACGTAGAAGTACAACCATCGCTATCTGCAATGTAAAATGCTAAATCAGTTTAACTATACTTAAATTAATAATAAAATAGTACGAAAATTAGAAGCAACCAGTTCTTCAATTCGATGTATTGCATTTTATCGACAATTACCGATAATTATAAACAATTTGGTTTGGTTGAACCCGTCGTCCGGAGGTGGTTTGATCACCGCGGAGATCTCTGTATGGTCCAACGGCAGCAGCGCATTCCCCTCGTGGCGCCCACCGTTGTCCATCCGTGCTCGCCCCACCATCGGCATCTCTTCCCGCGACAGAATACGCGGCGTCATACGAATGTAGGCCTTCGTACCAGCCGCTCCTTCCGGTGTCCTGTGACCTTCCATCGCGATCGTCGAGGTGACCCTCGAGGTCATCGGTGCACGCGTCGTCTCGGGAACGAATTTCGGGAAGACCAGGTACCCCTCCGGTGAGATGCTCCAGTTGGGCAACAGGAATGGGTGCCCCATGGTGGTGGGCGTGGTGGTGGGCGGAGGCGTTGTGGAAGTGATGGTGCGGGTGGAGTGTGTGGAGACGGTGGTGTCCACGGGGATGTAGCCGTTGTAGTGGGAGATGGGGAGCTGGGCAGCGGATGCTGGATGTGGCGGTGGAGTGGCGGGGTTAACGTATGACGGGCTGTTAAGCAGCGGTAATTCTAATTGAACGCAACACTCGTGATTATTGATGAATAAGCAGAAAATTTATTAAGGATGAATTTCTGTACCGGCTTCTCGGTCCAACTGGATGTCGTCCAAGGCGATGTAACCGGCACCTGCACCGGCAGACTGGGCTGAGTTGATGGTGCCCTCGAAAAGTAACTACGATCAAAATTAGTGGTAGAAAACTTAACCTAATTTACATCTTCAATCATTAGAAATTACACTTACGTATTATGGGCTTTTAACGTGCATGTGCAAAAAGGAATCAAAAGAGCTACACGTGCCAAAGAATTAATTCACACTACGTCTTCGTGTATTATACGTAGTAGGTATAGGCGGTCTTTCGTACAGATGTTATACACGGGTTTCATTACAAAATGATGTTTAATTGCATACCTGATAACTGCCGCGCTGCAGAGCGACATGCGCTTCTATCCATTGGAATCCCGAATGCTGCTGGCCGGTCTTCTCCCAGATGATCTGGTCGGGCCGTGCCAGTACCTTCCGGTAGAGCGTCAGCCGGCCAAGGTTGTTTCCGCGCATATGATACCAGAACGTCAACGTCAAGTTCACCGGCGTCTCGATGCGCGGCCCCATCAGATGGGCGGTGTACGGCTGTGCGGTATCGCCGCCGGCCGGCATATGTCCGACATGATTGTCTACGGTTCGCAACATTCATTAAACAACAGTGTATCAATTTCTCATATAGATACGAGTACTATGAGCTCATACGATCGAATATTGTTCTTTACACTTGCAAGAAAGACTGTAGAAGTAAACGTAACATATAAGTTCGCTAAAAATTCAATTTTATTCTTATAATGGTGTCATCTAACTGAGTTGGCTTGCATTATTAAAACCCAATACAAATTACGATTCTTTCGCAATTATTGTCAACGTATACACGTCACTTATAACTTATAAGATGTCACTTATAAGTTATAAGTGACATCTTATACAGTCGATCGCAATGCATTCTTATTGTATCAAGGACAAATCGTTTTACTACGCGCACTTACTAGGTTGCATATTAAAGGGATTGGTCATAGGCGGCGCCACCGGCATCCCAGCCAAATCCCGGGGATCCGGTGCGGCTTGTCCCGCGCTATTATAACCCCCCGTTGCCGGCAGATCATAAGGCTTGGTATCGGAGTTGGTATCCGTGTTAACCGGCGGCACATACCGCCCCGTGGCGTATTGATTTTTTACAGGATAGGACGCCGACGACGGATACATGGTGTCGGGATAATAATTATAGTTATTGTAACTGATTCCTTGGCGCTGATTATACGGATACCCCGATGTCAGAGCGGCTGGTCGCGGCCGGTGATGGTGGAGGAATTTACCGGTGAGGGATTTCTGCCATTTCCGGTGGGTACGGTTGAAGCGCGGCGGCGGATCCTGGAGACGGCCGGTAAGGGGCGGCTGGAGGCGGGAGGAAGAGGCCACACCCATCTGCTGCGCCAGGATCTCGTCGGGCTCCGGCTGTTCGAAGCTGTCGATCAGGTCGGGATCCATAGGGATACTGGGTGGGCGGGGTTTGGGCAGGCAGTCCGCCGCGTCCAGAAACAGGAAGTATCCATCTGCTCCATAATAAACCCATGTTGTGCTTGTTTCGGTTTGATAAGGATTTATTTTGTTTTACGGTACTAGCGTGTAACTTAGTCTTGTGAGTTGATAACCCCTGGTCAATGGGAATAATGCGTTTGTACAAAATATACAGAGTATGTGTCTTCAAATAATTTCATATATATATGTATATATACGTATATATGTATTCACATTTTTCTTTACACAATTCGCAGGCTACCTTTTCTGGTAATTATAGGAATCTCATCTCCTCTGAACTCATCCTTTCTTCATATTTCAAAAAATTATATTACGGACCAGTTTTATTTTGATTTATACTGGCAGCAGATTAGCCTATCGGTAGAAATATTTTTTCGTGCTCTAAACCCTTTACACTACGATTCCTTCTCACACATTATGCATTTCACCACCCACCTACTCGTAGCTGTACGCCTGCATATTGCAGCAGAAAACCGAGTTCGTAATTACTCGTATGTTGATTGGTATTATTGTATTGATATTTCTTTAGGTTACAGCTTAAGCTCTTAGAAATCTGGAAACGTATGAATACAAAACGTACTAACCGCCGAAAATCAATGAATTATAATATAAAGCGTTAGCATTAACGGCAATTAATTATCTACTAGAGTAGTAGTTAATTATTTCATTCATTTAAAAAATTGTGACTTATAAAACCGGTACTTCTATAACAATTCAGCTAGAACTACTCGTACAATTAATACTCGGACCAGTTAAAAAAACCACCGGATAATAAATTAGCCGATGCATAAATTAGTAATTACTAATTTTTATGAACTGCATTACATGCATTAACTAGTAATTTTTATGACCTTAGTCCTTACTCCTTAATGATTAAATGTAAATAAATTTATTATATTTTCCACTCACGTGCATCTTTCCCGGGAGTATGATCGCCCTGTATCTTAAACCAGCCGTTCCCGGCGACACCGCGTTGTCGTCGCCAGTCACACTGATCCAACGGCGCTGTCTCCTGGTTCCATCCGCATAATCCCCACTCGAAATCACACGTCACCGACAGACCCATCAGTGCGTAATTGTAGCCCTGGGAATGTACCGCTGATTGTCCGATTAAGGTGTGCCATATTACTGCAAAACACACCAATACCGGGCTACGGTCGACAGCTACCGATAAATTATGATTACGTTATAGAAGGGTGTGCGCTTACCGTAGAAAACCGGTAAAACCTGTAGTAGGGTGTGGTAATAAGATTTGCCGTACGCTTTCACAAGTCCCATTATTGATTTACATGCAGAATACACAATCAAGCCATATGGAAAAATGTGTAAAAGCAAACGCCGGAAAATTCGTCGCATTCTTGTCGCAATAATTACAACGGTGTTTGCAACGGTTGTCAACATTTTTTTCGACTAATTTCTAAAATATCCTTCTGATTTGATTGACACTTGTTATCCCTGGCCTAATAAAGCAATGGTCATTTCGCTGGCCAGCACTGAAATGTCGCGATTGTCACTGATATTTTTTTGACAGGGACAAGAGACTGTCAAAAAACTCAAAGTCGTACGGATACGGACAAATAAAACGCCAATTTTCCCATTGGTCAATTTCCACACCCACCAATAACGGTGGGAGAAATATTAAAACGGAAATGGTAAACAAATATTGATAAAGGCACCGAGCATTGGGTAATCCATATTGGCGGCCTCCGCAATTCCATTGGGATCGACAGTGAGCCAGCGTCTGACTGTCTGGCTGCAATGGAATTCCAGCCAACGCAGGCCAGCCAGTGGTGTTGGCCTAATTGGAAGTTGGGCATGGCGATAAACTCTGCCTAATTGGTTCGATGCCCTGCAAAACGCTGCGCACAGTTCAAGCTGCACAGCACACACCGAGCAGCAGAGAAAATTGTGAAATTTTTCAACTGTGGGATCCGCACAATTCCCTCTCTCCTGTTCCAACCCGCATTTCTTTCCCCACTCCATTAAAATTGCAATTCGGATCCGTAGAAATTGTCGCAGAGTAATTTTTCCTGATGGATGCATGTACAGTATGCACGACGCGAACGAAACCAGCAGAATCATGAGACTCTGAAGCCAGGAACGATTTGACGCTGGCTTTTCCCCATCCAGTCTTTCTCTCCACCATCTTCCCCCGGTCCTGGTCTTCCCCCACCCAATGAAGTACGCTGTGGACGATCTGAATGTGTCGCATTCCGTGGAGACCAGCTTCTCCGACGGCAGCAGCAGCAGCAGTAGCCAGGATCCCAGTACTGGCCACGCTGCCTCCAAATCGCGTCTGGACCAGATCCTGCAGTCCCCCCTGCGGGCCCAGGGCGCCGCCATCAACGCCCGCAAGCGCCGCACCCGCTCCCTATCGTCGCGCAGCAAGTACTCCCCGGAGCCGCCGCTGGCGCGGGCCATCCGCGGGAAACTACCCCGTACCCGCGCCCTGGCGGACACGCCGACCCCCCTGGGGGACGGGGGCAAACGGACCAAACGGCAGCGGTTGGGCCGGGCGCTGGCCAATGGGAAGAAGCGCCTGGCGGTGGAGACGGACGGCAGTGGGATGATGGCGGGGGTGAAGCGGAAACGGAAGCATAAGGACGAGCTGGCACGGCTCAACGGGCTCACCGAGCAGGTACAACTTACAACTCTCTAAACAGCTTTTTTTTAATGACTGTGTGATGATTTTTATTTACCATGCTGGATCTATTGGGTCGTTGTTTTTCGTAATGGTTTTGGATGAGGTTTTTCTTATTTTAGAGGAAAAAAATTTAAAGAGGGACAAGAAAAGGGGGGCTTTATTTCTGGGGTGGGACTCAAAATCTGAAGGTCTTTAATTTAAAAAATGTGGTCGCTTTCGTGAGACCACATTTCGCACCAACGCGACGCCAATTCTTGCGTAAAACGGTTATTAGTGAGCGTCAGCAGCGTCGCTAGTCGTTTGACCTAGTTTCGTGTTACAGACAGGAGTTGGTGTGCCTCACAATCAAGGCCAGACGCATGCAGTTGTTTTTTATCGATCCAGATTTACCGCGTTCCAGTGTGTTAGAGAAGTTAGAACAGATAGATTATAGAAGCACTGGTACACATATGTACGCCGATTGAACGTTCTATACGAGTATAGTATTATTAGTATATACGATGCTGCTTGGAAGAAAAAGGAAACTTCTCGAAGTCGTATTATATTAAATCATTAACTTTGAATAATATATTATGATCTTTTAGTATTTGCGATTTGACAGGTCTTCTGTTTGAAAATGGAAAGCTAGTGCGTACAAATTATATAATGCCTGTTCAAATTGCCATAACATGACGCTTAGTTTCTTTTTGCGTAATGTACTGTAATCGTCAGTCGAAATTGCATGATTTGGGCGGCTTTGCATGGCGATGACGGCCGTTATTTTCGCTACAGTGCAAAAGATCAGCAGATAACGAACAGGGAGTGTTGATTTGCAGCGTTTATTTACGAAGTCGCTCAGTCGCATAACACGCATGATGACTTGATGAGGTCACAAGTTGTGTGCAGTATGCACAAACGGTGATAGACCTGCGTTGTGGGTCGATGTGCACGGGCATGTGTACAGTTTGTGCATTGGCGTAGATGTCCCTGTTGGATAACCCGGACAGCCCCTCCCCCTCGACATCCACCGACGCGCCATCCGGGCCATCCAGTCTCCACATCCCCTTGCTCAACGGCAGCATCAAGCATGCCAAAGTGCCGCTGAAGCGCCGCAAGAGTCGCACACTGCTCCCGCGGACGCCTTCCGTCGTGCCTAAGGTGGGTTAAATTAAAATGCTGTTAATATTCAGCTAGTTATTTTAATTCAACTTAAAGCAGAGCACGTAGGCAGTTTCCTGCCGGAGAGTACGGGATTTGGTATCGTATGTTATTGCCTGCCATGAAGACCAGAAGTAGTAATGCGTTCGACGAAAGCGAATGAAATAATTGGAAAATTATCGGAATTTGTCAGTCTGCTTGATGGTTCTTTGGTGCTCGCTTCTATCGGGTTAAAACGAGACAGATGACGAGCATGGTTATCCAGGTGTAGTTAGGTAATTTTCGATACATTATGCGATATTGTGATCGATTTCGGTGAATATTTCTGTCACGTAGCTACGCTGTTTTTATTCGAATTACAATGAACGACGAAATTTCCAAGACGTTCACAAACGGCAGAGCAAAGCCGTATCTGAACACAGTTACACAGATGACGAAGTGCAAGTACGCTGAATTCCGACGCCGTTGACTGTGCTCTTTAGCAGCGTGAAAACGCAGAAACTTGCGCTGACGCCAGACCGGAAAAATGCTGCTTTATTTTGTTTTTAGGAATTTTAAGGCTTTAGTTTATATGACCTTTCGCTAATCATGCACATGCCCAGCAGTGCCGTGCTTCTGTATCGCATCCCGGTTGGTGCGATTTGTAAGCACCGTATATGCTTTTATGTCCGCTGTCAGTAGAAATCTTAAAACGCAGCGTTGTGACATAATGTTTAGTAATCAACAGCGGTTAAGGCAGTCTTCCTGTGTGATCATAGAAGCCGGAATTGGATATGATTTTCAAGAAGCATCCGCTCTTGCCGGAGCTGTCCACCCGAGCGGCCGTCGATCCCGCTGTCTTAATCCCCGACGACCTTCCTCGCTGCAGTATTGAGGCGCTGATCAGCCGCTATCCGCTGCTGCAGACGCAGTTCAACACCGTGGTCATCCGCGGCAAGGAGCTGTGCCATGCCGGTGTCTTCCTGCGTCGCGCTCTCAACTACAGCGTGGTGCATCGCCGTTTCGCCGCGCTGATACCCTGTCGACAGCGCAAGAAGGAGGACAAGAAACGCAATCTGGAATGCTATGTGGCGCAGCTGTGGGAGCGCGTCAAAACGGCTGCCACGGTCACCAATCCGGCCACCCACAACGGGTAAACGCAGTAATCCAACCAGCAAAAATGAAACATTAGAAACAGTTCAATATATTACGTTGCATAGAAAAATTTAAGAAGTCTGACTTTACAGTCAAGCGTCTCTTGTCTTGTGCGGATATTATTAAGTATAGAATTTTGAAAACTGCAAAAGTTTTGTTTGATGTTAATAATTCACCGATTATGTTATAAAGAATTGACACGCAAAGAATTTTTTCTATTGGTGACGCCTGTTTCCGGGCTCAGAAATTTGAATCAGAGCAAAATAATCAACTTTAACGTACGGCGTATCAATAAAGCAGAATAGACATCAGCAGAAACGTTTCAGATTTTTAATAACCAGATTTGTAATTTAAAAAATCAGATTTTCGATTAAACTGTTATAATTGTGATTAATAATAATTATTTTGTTTGTGTTATTTCTAATCGAGAAATTTCGTAAAGAAACATTTCGCAGAAGCAGCAGTCTTCACGCAGTTGAAAACCCTAACCCTAAAGGTCATGCAAATAATCGTTTTCTTCACAGATCCTATCCGATTATTATTTCTTCGGTATTAGCTTTTTTTGTATTTATTGAATTTTTATTTACAAGATGTAATAAAGAAATATCCCGCAGAATCAGCGGCCTGAACGAATTGAAAACCGTAAAAGGTCATGCCGGTGATTTCTTGACAGACCCGAGCCGGTGAGCCGTCGTCATCCCGGCAACTGCGGCTACCCCGTCGACCTGGAGATCCAGTCCTTCGTCCTGTACCGCACCAGCGACTGCAAGAAGGAGAACGATCCGCGCTGTCCGACGCGCCGCTCCACCGCCGCCATCGCCCACCACGCCTTCCGCAACGCCCACGGCGACGACGTGGTGCGCCTGCAGGTGGGCATCCTGCGTAAGAATCCCAAAGAGAAACTATCGCACGCCATGCTCCCGCCCGTCCTGCAGCACGCTCCCAAGACGGAGGGCGTGGTGGGGCCGCACAACAAAGTGGCCTTTGGGCGGGCCCGCTTCCGGCTGGAATGCTGGAATCTGAATGACTATCTGGTGGTGAACTTCGAGGCGGGCACGCTGCGGCGACCGAATTGTTGCGCGTTTAATATTCGGGATATCAAGGAGGGATTGAGTCTGGAGGTGAAGGACCACTATGCCATGAAGGTGGTGATGAAGAAGCACCCGCCGTCCCATACTTCCGAGGTTGGTGCCGGTTAAAATTTTTCATTTTGGAGTCGTCTTTCGCTTATTTATTACCTGTAACAATGTTTCAAAATTTTTCTCAAAATCCTTAGATTGTTAATAAATCATAAAATTTTTTAAAACTGTATTTTTTAATTAGTACGTACTGTTGTACAATGTACAGCCGTTCAGAGTTATAAGCAACACCAAAATCGACATTATTTATTACTTTTCAGTGTTTACTAATTTGTGTTACAAGGCTAAGAGTTCAAAACGTTCGCAGCGCTGGGTTTCATGGTAGCTAGACTAATCACACGCATTTGTGTGGGCATAGCTGGACTACGTGTACGTGCTCATCTATCCGGCGGGCGAGAGCTACCAAGTGTGCGACATGGCCATCCTCAGCAACACCTGGCGCCCGGCGGGCGGGCACGTCTGTCTGGTGTGCCGGATGCGCTGCGACTCGCTGATCCACCTCATCCGCCACCTCGAAGGCCTGCATCCTTCAGTGGGCTGCGAGTACGATCCGGAGCTGAAGCGGCTGTACGTCTGGTTCGCCCCGGAACGCGAGTTCACGCGGGATCCCGTGGTGGGCATGCTGGACCGCTGGGAACTGGCCCGCAGCCGTCGTGCGGTGGGGGTGCTGACGCACTACAAGGAGGCGCTGCCGGTGATGCGCTGGACGGGGTCCAAGTTCGTTCGGCCGGAGAATAGAGTGGCCGGTATGAAATGCGTGTATTTCTTTTATATGTGGTGACTGTAAATTATTTTTAAATTTGTACGATAAGTAAAATCAGTTTGTAATATGTGTTGATCTTGAAGGCCGTGCTCTTTACTTTGCTTTTAGTTTTTACTGTTTAACTCTGTGAGTGGTAGTGCTATGGCCTATGGACATATTCGTTTCATGCTACGTATTGAGTCCAGTCTGACGAATGTAACGATTGTACCGGTGTTGGTTGACAGTAACGGTAAATTTGCTCCTTTTGTTGTCAGATATTTACACGGCCGGTGTGCACGTATAGTTTTTCTGGGCACGAGCTGGGAATAGTGCAATTGTTATGTGGGTTAATTTAATTAATATCAACTGCGATATTCCTGCATCTTTTGTGTGTAGATACGCTGCCGGTGTTCAGCATGCGGAACATCCTGACGGTGTACGGCGTCCCCATCACCCCCCTGCGGCACCACCTGCACAGCAACACGGTGCAGCCGATCCGGCCGGACCGGCTGCACATGGTGGAGCACGACAGCGACGACGAGGACAACCACTGGCAGGACCAGTACGAGCACGACAAGATCAACGACTTCATCGACTGCTCGCCGGCCGAGAAGCAGCTCATGTGCCAGTGGAACACCTTCACGCGCCCCTTCAACCCCGTCTTCTCCATCGGGCTCAAGGACCTCCTCTGCCGCTTCGTGCAGCAGCACTGCGCCGGCCTCGACGCCGGCGAGGCCTTCGCGCCGCTCTGCGCGCAATTGAGCGTGCTGCGCCGCCTGCGCTGCTTGACACAGGAGGAGGTGCTGCAAGTGGTCAAGGTGTGGCGGGCGATGCATCGCTGCGACGGCTACGCGTTGGAGAAACTGAAACGCAGTTAAACTGGATTTTTGGGAGGGGAAAAGACCGCGAAACTAAGTTAAGACAGCACGCTCAACGTTTCTTATGGCATTTATTGCGGATTTGACAATCCCGATATGTTTTCAGGGAGTTTTGTTATTTTGTTGATTTTTTTAATTCAGACGGGGGTTTTTTGTGTCACACGCACGATGGTCGTCGGGTGGTTGCGTATCGTGACAAGTTTTGTGTGCTTTTTTTGTTAGGGATACCTTTTTTTTGTAAATTCGGCATTAGTATTTTGACCCAATGCGTATTTGGCGGATTACAGTGTTGATTTGTTGGGATTCGGTTGTATTATATGGTCCTTTTTTCCGCAGTCAGTGCTTGTCGTCTCTGTTTTTGTACGTTCTTTCTTTTGTTGTAAATTATAACAATAGTACAGAAAATAGTCATCGTGTGATTACTGTTCTCTTTTCTAAATAAGCGATTCACGCGTGCAATGGTTCAGTGCATTTTTGTCTTGGACAATAACTGAAGAAATTAAACGAAGCATTAAAGAAGTAAATTCTCTATTAAGGCGAGGTAATTGTTTTGCCTTCATTTTCAGAGGAGTTACAATAGCTACAGTTTCCCAGGTAGAAAAAAATGCTCTTTAAAATGGATGTTTTTTCGAAAGTCGAAGATCCAAATAAAAGCACAACTGTGTAAAAGATCAAAAGGTACCGTGGGTCTAAAACGACGCTCGGGTCCAGCAGTACGTTCGATTCACTTAACTGCCATCTCCTCTCAAACCGAACCGCAAACAACCGCACGCGGGCTGCGTGTCTGCGTTGCGCTGCTACCGCGCGCAGACTGCGATTTGATGAACGCTTTATGCAGCCTGCAGGTAGCGTGGTGGTATGTTTACTTTTCTGCGCCGATGCAGAGGACCATTTTCGAAAAACAAAAAACCCATATTTACTAGAATTAAAGTTCGGACAGTTCTACGCGCCTTATAATCCATTGCCGCAATGGAATTGGCTGTTCTTGGTACCTTTGGAAAGACAAAATTATTTTACATACTGGGTTTTTTTGGTTTTGGAATTGAGCCATTCGAATTCCAACGATCAGTGGTTTTCTCAGTTAGGGGAATTAGTTTAATGTTTAAAAATTTATATCTTTACTGTTTTTTACACAAGATTTTTTTAAAATAAATCCAATATGTAAAATAATTATACGTTATATTTAGAAACAGCAAACTTGAAGTTGCCCCATTGGGTGCTTCAGCGCAGTTTTTTTGGGGCACATACAACATAAAATTCTATATCCCGTTTGCACTTTTAGGCTTCATTTTAAAAACTTATATGTTAAAAAGTGCAATTTATAAGATTTATAATGAATCTTTGCACTTCGAGAACAGACGAACCAAAGGCGCACAACAAATTTTCAAAGTTGTCAATAAAATTGGCATGCTGCAAACAATTACATCCCGTTAAACCACATTATTCCAGACTTATTTCCAGTGTTTGAAAAAATGGATGTTCTGAAATTAATACTTTGAACTTGAGTTTGAAGTCTACAAGATGAAGTATATGAAGGATGTGGTATTTTGTTCAAGTATGGAAATTCTTCCACAATAATAATATATATAATTTGTGAAATGTATGTAAATACTCGTAATATACAGTAATATTCCAAAATTGGTGGTCGACTTATGATGAAGATTGAGACGAATTAACGAAGATGAATTAACGAAGACCGAGATGATTTAACGAAGATTTTACAGAATTCTCAGGACGAAGGCTGCGAGTTAAGGCGCTCCCAGAGTTGGTGTTCGCTCAAAAGACAGAACAAAAAAGAAAAAGACCGAACAGCGAAAGACAGATTCAAAGACAAACTGTTCGAAACAATATACCGAACCGAACAAGTTTTCTTGTCTTTCTGAAACTTGTTCATTTTAAGCAGCTCGCTCATAGTTGTGGACTTGTGGGAACACATAATTTTCTCCTTCGAATTTCTACGCCTAATGAAAAATACGATGTACGTACGATGTAAGCGCACAGTGCACGCATTTGTTTTAATCCGGCGTAACGTTAACTTTGGACTGTTAACAGTTTTTGCAATCCCTTGATCAAATAAATAATTTTGAATCTTTTTCATAAACTGTAAATACCACAAGCTGCCAGTATGTATGCGTAGCCGAAAGGTCACAACAACTGATCGAACGAAAGGGTGTCCAGGGACAGCAGCAAATGCTAATCACCGCCCATTGGCCATTTCCACAGTCTCGTATCTCAGTTTTCACACCGTTGTAAACTCAAATGCGACGCGAAGGAAGGAAGCACATCGCTAGCTGTCAGTGTGGTCCTACGTGTACTTGTATTCGTTGTATACACAGAGAAGTTCTTAATTGGGTAGAACTGGCGTTCTACAATAAAGTGCACATCATTCAGCTCCCCAGCCAACATCCTCTACCGTATCATCATAACTTACAATCGCCTGATTGTGCAGTCTGCATTATAATCGTGCCCGGCGGAATACGGAGTACTGTATAAAATCATAAACGCCATAGGGCGGAAGAAGCTGATAACCTGCGTACTTCCGTACAGTACAGATTAATGAAACAATTTAGGTTGTTGGGATAGAAATTACGACGCGCACAAGCCATAACACCGGAAGTGTGCCATGCTTGCGATCTCCTCAGCAGTCTGGGCGGATTAGCCGAGCCAGGGGAATACTGATCTTGGTGATGAGCCGTGTCTTTTGTCACAGAGGACGCCAGCTAAGTGCGGCTGTCCGTGGTGATCTCAGCGAGGGAGTGCGGCCAGATGAAGTCCTAGCTGTTGTAGAAATTCCGAAAAGTGGTGATGAAGCGGAATCGAGCCGTTGGCTGCCACTTTACCATCGCCGCATGTTGGCTGAGATCCAGATAAAATATTAATTAGTGTTGAGCAATCAGGGAGGCGGCGGTCTGGGCGGCTGTCGTGTGCACAGAGCTTTCTGCTCTAACACTTTGAAATACTGGACGCGGCGCGGCCACGACGGGACAGGCCGCGCACAAAACTGAAAGTGCGCTCAGCCGGCGACATTTCCACGCACCAAGGTCACCAGGCGCTAACTATACATATGGATAAGAGTTAAAAATGTTCACTCAGCCAAACGAAGAAGTAAAATTTTCATATCGCTAAAGGACAAATGAAAGCTGCATAGATGGCACGCTGCATACCGGGTGTCAACCACCTGGAGCATGCCCGGTAATGTGCTTCAGAAGGCGGAACATCTACTGTAGCATCTATTCCAGGCGTTACAACGGGCCAGTACATAAACCCGCTCCAACTGCGCACAGGAATGCGCGCCGATACCAGCGTTCATAGTAAAGTGTTATTTATGACAGCGTATGAACGTGTATTGTACATATTGTCTATCAATTTTCTCGTGTATATCAATTTTCTCGTGTCAATATGAACGTGTATATCTCCAGAAGCTGCCCTTTGGGGTGATTCGCTGCATTAGACCGCGATACTACGTGTCATGACTGACACAACATGTCTTAATATCATAATTATAGTCTTTAACCTTTCCAAAAAACATGCTTTATTAGTGTCTAGCAGCGCAGGCGTGCTGTTATGTTAATCGGCTGTTGGTAATAAATAACAAACATGTTTATAATCAGGTTTGGCCGTTTGGAGAAGCAGTGAAAACAGCTACTCACTTCCACGTTGTGCAGTGCGGTAGTATGGCAATCACAACCGAAAGACAGTAGGAACCTGGGTTGCTGTTCTGACTGCTCATCGCCCGTGGAGATATGCCAGATTGTACATGTGGAACACTAGAATTACTCATGACGACGGAGGCAGCGGCAATGACAATTGCTGTGTACAATTGTAAGCCAGCACGGTTATACCACAGATAGTTATTTTTCTGCAGCAAAGATAATAAGTCAGGTGATTTGCCAATAGACTGGGATTCTGGGAACAAGAATTGGAGTGTGTATAACCGTACGTGCACAAATTGTTATTATTATTGCACAAGAGCAGACAACCCATGCATCACAATTCACAAAGGACCAAGGTTGCTGGCAAAATCAATTATAAAAATAGTTATGTAAATTTTAAATATACACTAGGACAATCCACCTCTACACGCTAAAAAGTCCATGCAGGACTATGGCTTGCGCTCTTACTGCCCATTGACCGCTTTCCACTGCGTGACCTGCTGGTGCAGAAGGGCCAAGCATCTGAAGGGCACCGTAGGCGTAAGGACACCCTGGATGACCTGATGCCAGCCATTCGCCGGGGACATAAAATAGCTAACAAGCTTAGAACCTTCCGGACAGAACATATGCAGTGGCTGGCCAGGTTGCAAGATGTCTGTCGCGCGCACCACGTTGTCCGCCGATATGGTATCCTGACTTCCGGAAAGACACCACTGCACAGTCACCTGCATCCCATCCGATCTGATAACCTTTGCCGCCGTCCACCACTTTCCTACTGCAGTAGTTCGCGCAAACACAGCTTCATCAGCCTGAAAACCGGGCGCAACAACGCTCGGCAATCCAGTGCGGCGCTCCGTGGGAAATGCCAGTGCCGCCGGCTTAACGTTGGCGTTGTGATGCATGAAGAGGCTGGCGATTTCCGCTGCATTCAAGAGACCGCTCTGTAAGTACACAGCTTCACTGAATTCGCACCTTGCAATGAGCGTGCCAAATGACCAACCAGACGTCACCTCACCTGACCAGGACCGTCGGCAAGCTGTGACGGAGTCATGAGGGGAAACCGCACCAGGAACAACGCGTCACCGAGCATCTGACGCCGATTGACGGCGGACGCTTCCAGATCATTACAGGCACAGGCCGCCGCTGCCCATCTACGTAGAACAACCCACCGTGATTTGCAGAATTATTATCAATAAACAAGTCCTCCCTTTGAAATTAAAGTACAGGTAAGTACCACGCTATGCGAAGCATTCTTGGCTTACTTTGACAAAAAATTTACCTATACAGTGTGTTTACCTTATTTACCTTATCAGTGTGTTTTATGAGGTACTGGTATCCTGTTTTGGCTTATGTAATTAATTCGCTAATAGATGTCGAAATTTGACGCCCTGACGTTTCTTATGTCCAAAATTACCACCACAACAAATGCCGCAAGGTAGATACTACCTTAGGTAGCTGATAGCAGCCAGTTACTCGTACCGTTCGGCGGCCATATACACCGCATTCTCCTCCGCCGTGAGGGTACTGCGCTGCAGAATCATCCGCAATGCCGCCGGACGGATGGCCGTGAACGGATCCGATCGCAGCACCGGATCACTTTTCGCATCCACCAAATCCAGGCATTTCTGCACGACACTGTCAGCATTCCATTCGAGAGCCTGCAATCACGAATCAAACCATTCCTGTTGCGTAAAATATCGTAAAAATGCGGCGCACAATTCAGACGCACCCGTTCCAGCATGGTCAAACAGTTGTTCACACTGAGATGGTTGGCGATGAAGTCGGAGCAGATCTTGGTCAGCCGCGGCACGTCATACTTGTCCGCACAAACCAGCGTCGAGACGATGTTGTCCACATTCAAATTCTCAAGATCATCCGCATCGGCGTACAGGAACCTACGAGCAGTAACAGCGGAATGCAGCGAGAACGATGAACAGTACAATATTCTTTGCTACGTACCCGAGCATATTGGCGAAGGCGTCTGGCATCATATCGGGGATGTCGATGGACTTGTTACCGTTTTCCGGCAAGCTCCCGAAGAACATCGTATGGAACACCGGATTACGGGCAGCCAAGATCACCCTAAAAGTATAATTTATCGGGTAAGAACGTATAATACGGAACGCAGCTACACATCCAATATGTTGCCCACTGCAGCAGGGTTGGATCTGTCATCTGTGCGATCAAGATACGGGATACAGTCGTACTTATGTGCGTGGAACTCTTTAGTTCCCCCAAAATCCCGTCCCACCACACAATGCACATCACTCAGGTGTCCGCTGAACAGCATCTCCTTCATGCTATCCGCTATCGTACCCTCCGAATTGGGCACACCACGAACCGTCGACAACGCAGTCGGATTTCGACATGACTGGGTCACTGTGTTGATAACTGGTCACGTTAGTAACTGACTAACTGGAAAGGTAGGCTGCTCTTCAATCCTACAGAAGAAAATTGCCACTGATCGAACGGAAACGGACACGAATCACTACAGTAAAGTTTACCAACAAAATTCCTGAAGTGAAAGAACCAAATCAGAAAATCTGACAACTTCGCCAGAAAGGCAGAAACACCAGAAATGCAGAACTCAGCCAGAATTCTCGTTTTTCTCACATCAAGATGTGCACGCCTGCACGGCTCACGTGAACGCCGTAAGGCGGAGGCAGGCGGCAGCCATGCTGGCTTGGCTTGCGTCCGTTCGCTAGGCTTTCCGGACAGCTCGCTTTATCACGAACTCCATTTTGGTTACTATTCAGCAGTTTTTGTGTTGTTTTCAGTAATTATAGTTTTACAGGGTAAGCGGACTGTCTGCGCTCGAAATTGTGCTACTTGGATGCCGTTGTAGATAGCGTGCGGCATCCATGGATGTCAACCACATGGAGCTTGCCTGAGAGTTGTACCGCCTTATCACGAGTACAGCATGAGAATATTTCTGGATGTGAAGGTTTCTGGTTGTTTTTGTCAGGGGTCGATCACATTGCCCACTACGCGATACACGCAGAACTTCCGGGAAGGCCTGCTGAAACATTCCAGTTCCCAAGGGCCATTGAGCCAATTCTACCTGTGAACTTTTGGAAATTTTTTTTCTCTCAGATTTCGCAACCGAATGTTGCCAGCACAAACAGTTTTTACGTCCATGCATACGCCAGCTACGTGGGCGCTATTTTAGCAGGCGTTTTGAAACCGTTATTTCGATGCCTCTGATTATTGGGCCATGCAATCCGCTTTCGTATTAGCGTATCCATAATTCAACTACTGTACTAGCGTAGTACTGGATCAACTGCTTTACAAATGCGCCTAAGCGTTCAAAGAAAACGAATAAAATACTGTATTTTGAAGATTATCGGAATTTATTTGTCTTTTTGAGTCGGCTTTAGACGAGACCAATCTGGTAGATCAACGAACACTGTTGGTACTACTCCGTTGGGCGTGTATACCAGTAGCCGGGCAAAGCCTCGACGATGTTAACTTTTGCGCAAGGTACGAGATCGGTCGCTTTCAGCAGCGTCAACGTAATGGTTTACGGAGTCGCCAGATCTGCCAAGTTTTATTTCCCCGCATTTTCAAAATATTTTACTTAAAATTGGATGACCTTTAATATCAACGCCCAGTCATGTCGCGCTCGTGTTCTTGTGTGGAAGTGCTGTGTGAAGCAGAACCTCGGCAAAACAAGCGTGTTAAACGCTCGGCCGTTCATTGCAAATGTCAGGTAGGAACGCAATACGCAACGTCGTAGCGAAATGTTCAAGATTCCAGCAAAAATTAAGCCAGTCCTCCTGTGTGATCATAGAAGCCAAAGTTGGGCAAGAAGTCCAAGCATCCTCTCGTGCCGGAGCAGTCCAACCGAGCGGCCGGTGATCCCGCTGTCTTAATTCCTGAGGACCTCCCTCGCTGTAGTATCGAGGCGCTGATCAGCCGCTATCCGCTGCTGCAGACGCAGTTCACCACCGTGGTCATCCGCGGCAAGGAGCTGCGCCATGCCGGTGTCTTCCTGCCCCGCGCTCTCAACTACAGCCTAACTCACCGCCGTTTGGCCGCGCTGATCCCGTGTCGACAGCGCAAGAAGGTGGATAAGAAGCTCAATCTGGAACGCTGTGTGGCGCAGCTGAGGGAGCGCGTCAAAACGGCCGGTGCGGTCGTCGAGCAGGTGGCCATCAACAGGTGAGAAGAGCAGATCAAGTTGATTCACCAGTAACAAATTTAAAAAAAAAACATCAGTTCAATAAACAATTAATAAGTCTAACAGAATTATTGTTATTATTATTAATATAAGTCTAAGAAAATTATTAAGAGCTTACAAAATTTCCGAGTAGCGGATAAGTATTTTTGTGGGAGGTTATACCTATGAGCGTACGCTATAAAATATTACCAAGGAAGTTCTTTTATTAACGATTCCTGGTGTAGCAGTCTAAAACGCAATAAATTAGGAATAAATAAAATAGAAAAATACTGATAAAGTAAAAAATGTCTGGAGAACGCAGTAGTCATTATGCGACTTGAAAGGCGTATAGCTAATAGCTTCCTTGTGGCCATTCACAGATCGGAGCCAGTCACTTCAGATAGTCGTCATCCTGCCAAAGGCGGCTCGCGCGTCCGCTTGTTCGTTGTTGTGTACGGCAGCAGCGACTGTAACAAGGAGAACGAGATTAACGGGGGACTGAATCCGGAGGCGAACGATGACTCTGTCATGGAGGTGGTGATGAATGAGCATTCGCCGTCTGATGATGCCGAGGTCGGTGCCTGCCAAAAAGTGCTCTGATTTCGGGGTGACCTTTCGTTTGTTTGATTATTACTAAATCCATTTTTTACTCCTCGGCTTTTTAGTTTTGAATTTTTATATTGTAGTTAAAGTGATTACTTTATTATTACGCTTTCCCTTTGCAGGGTTCTGTTTTTAAAAACGGCCACAATATTTTTTATTATACTATAATAATTCCTTTTATGGTTAGCTGGCGCAATTCAGTGCATTTTGTATCGGCACAGGTGGGCTACGAATACGTACTGATCTATCCGGCGGGCGAGAGCTACCAGGTGTGCGACATGGCCATCCTCAGCAACACCTGGCGCCCGGCGGGCGGGCACGTCTGTCTGGTGTGCCGGATGCGCTGCGACTCGCTGATCCACCTCATCCGCCATCTCGAAGGCCTACATCGTTCAGTGGGCTGCGAGTACGATCCAGAGCTGAAGCGACTGTACATCTGGTTCGCCCCGGAACACGAGTTCACGCGGGATCCCGTTGCGGGCATGCTGGACCGCTGGGAGCTGGCCCGCAGTCGCCGTCCTTTCGGGGTACCGACGCACTACAAGAAGGCACAGCCGGTGATGTGCTGGACCGGGCCCAAGTTCGTTCGGCCGGAGAACAGAGTGGCCGGTACGAAATTAAATGCGTGTGGTATTTTTTATGAATACTGATTAGTAATTTTTTAACTACACTCTGTAGAACGTATTTAAATATTTAATATTAAAATATTTAAATAGAACATATTAAAGTATTTAAATATGTAAAAAAAAATAACTTAGGCAGTCGAGATATGATATAAGATAAAACTACAAAATATATGGACTTTCGAACCAAATATCGCAGATTTTACCAGGGAAATGATGGGTACCGTAGTTAGCACTTTTTTTTTATCGACGGCTGTTTCGTAACGTTTCCAATGCAATCGGTTTTATTTAATTTACGAGTTTAGTATAAAACTTTGTTAGTTTAAATCACTAAAACACATTATTTGTATAGTTATTGGGTCATTTCTGGCTTATTAAACTCGAAATAAATGTATTTTTTTTCCGCTGTTATTGCCAGTTAGACTGCCGGTGTATCTGTGAACTTTTATAGGTGAAGCTCATACAACTAGAAATTCATTAATTGGATTTCGCTTGCGTTTGCCGTCACATGCACTGTCGGTTGTTAAAAAATTTTAAATTTACAGAGTAGTGTGCACAGCCGCGCATACGAAATGTAGTTGAAAGGACATGCTTGACTGTCAGATGATCTATCGGTGTACCTGTAAATCGTTAAAAGTTTTTATAGAAGTATTGAGACTAAATGTTATTGTTTTGCTTTTAATTACCTGATACACTGCCGGTGGGCAATCTCTAATCTACACTTCGACTAAAAAAAGCAAATTCGAATTTTGTGTATTTGCTGTTGACAGATACGCTGTCGGTGTTCAATGTGTAATCTCCAAGAAAAATTATTGAATCGGCAGAAATCTGTTAATTTACCGTGCAGGGTTCGTATTTATCAGATACCTGCCGGTTTTCAGTCTCTAATCACTAAGAAAATTAACCAGTCTCTAATCACCAATTCGAATTACATATAATTTTGCTGTATCTGTATTTCTTGTTTAGATACGCTGCCGGTGTTCAGCATGCGGAACATCCTGACGGTGTACGGCGTGCCCATCACCCCCCTGCGGCACCACCTGCACAGCAACACGGTGCAGCCGATCCGGCCGGACCGGCTGCACATGGTGGAGCACGACAGCGACGACGAGCACGACAAGATCATCGACTGCTCGCCGGCCGAGAAGCAGCTCATGTGCCAGTGGAACACCTTCACGCGCCCCTTCAACCCCGTCTTCTCCATCGGGCTCAAGGACCTCCTCTGCCGCTTCGTGCAGCAGCACTGCGCCGGGCTAGACGCCGGCGAGGCCTTTGCGCCGCTCTGCGCGCAGCTCAGTGTGCTGCGCCGACTGCGCTGCTTGACACAGGAGGAGGCGCTGCAGGTCATCCGGGTATGGCGGGCAGCACAGCGGTGTGACGGATACGCCATGGAGCAACTGAAACGCAATTAAATCGTGAAATAGCCGCGGAATTTCAGTATACCGGGAAAAGGTCAACACGTTCAACGGTTCTACCGGTATTTCGTTTCGGCACTCAATGCTTATTGTGGACTTCCACTTTTTATTTGCTGGAATGTATTATACGAGTATATTAAGTCCTTTTGTGTCTTATTCCTTATGTGTTATATTGAGTCCTTATGTGTCTTATGCTTTTTATTGTACGTCCGAGCATTTGTTGTTATATACATTTGTTGTCCTGCATTTGTTGTTATACAATGTGTGTAAGAAAATAGTCATCATGTGATTTGTTATTTATTAGTGATGCGATTGATGTTTGCACTGATTCAATGCGCTTTGTCCAGGACAATAAATGCGGAATGAGAAGAATCATTAAAAAAGGAAATTCTGTAGAAACGGAATTTGTGAAGTTAAAGCGCGAAATACCCATACACTGTTATCATATTCGTATGGCTAAACAAACTGAACAAAGGTTAAAACAAGTGTGCTTATAAATGAATGGAATATACAATAAATAAATATGATGATGTGTAGCAATAAAGTGCTTAAAGTTTATTAATATGTAGGAGAAATAGTCATTGCTTGATTTTTATTTTTCTTAATAAGCGATTCACTCGTGCAGTGATTCAGTGCGTTTTTGTCTCAAATAACAAAGAAGGAATGAGACGAAGCGTTAAAAGAAGTTAATTCTGCATAACCAGAATCTGTGCGGCTAAAGCGCGAAAATTTTATACAATTGTAATCATTATAAAATGAGTGAATATTATAATTATAATTTATAATAATTGGCTGAAAGCATTTGGCATCGGTTTGCAGCATCGTGATGTCCGGGTTTACTGGTTGGTGCGAACGTCGCGCATGACCGTTTCCGATGCCGTTACCCCAGCAGAATGGGTGTGGCCAACTGCAATACATGAAAAAACGCCATCAGCTATTGATACTATTTCTGCGCCGTAATCGGCCAATTTCTGTAAATACGTGTCTTGGGAACAATGTGATTATCCTACGCTGCATTTGCCGTAATAAGCCGCTGTTTGAGCATTACTATTCGTTTAAAAAGTGATTATGCAGTTAATTAAGTAACTGTGCAAATGGATCGATATTCTGCTTATACGAGTATGTCGGTTCACGGATTACTTCAAATCAAATAAAACTGTGATTATTTTTAAGAGAAAATATAACACTGTATGGACATATAATTTTATTCTTTATTTTATTGTAGAATATTATTGTTACACTATCACTCTATCAGTAATATATGAATCCACATGCATAATTATAATGGATATATTATTCAATAAATGTATACCATGCCATACTACATACATGGATGTAACAATAGACAATAGTATGTACAATATAATGCATTGTTTATTTAATTTATTGTAAATTATCTACCTTTTTAAGGGTACTAATTATCTACAGCAGTACAATATTAATATGTACATTTATTTGACTGAGCTATTTTGCTTTAAAAATAGCTAAACTTACCGGCTGTCTTGAGATCCACCTCCACCGTGGTAGCCGCCGATGCCCGATCCAGTTGCTCCTTGGCAATCTGCGCCTCCCGCAGCAGCTCCCGCTTCGCCATGCGTGCTTCCAGATCCACCTCGCGGATCTGTCGGTCGACGGCCGAATCGATCAAGCTCTTACGGAACGCGATATCGCGTTCGTGCTGCTTCTCCATCTCCTTGCGGATCTTCAGGGCTTCGGCTTCCGTCTCGCTCTGGTACTTTTCCGAGCGCTTCATCAGATCCTGTTCATGGGCGCGGGCAATGGAGTCGGCTTCCTTCTGGTGCGACAGGGAATCGCGGCGCGCCTCTTCCAACGCCCGGGGACTTGGCTGGACGAAGACCTCACCGCTGGTGGCGGTGTAGCGGGCCGAGCTGCCCGTGAAGCCGGCCGCCAGATCGCCAAAACCACCTGGAGTACAAGGGTCACCATAAGGTCACGGGCATGCAATATATACACTGCAGCACTGACAAGTCACGTTCAAACATAAATCGGCGTCGTTTTTGACCGCATGGATCATTTATGGCTCTAAAGCCAAAGTATTTAGGAAAATGTATGGCTTATTCCGAATAGTTTATTATAAAAAATAGTTAGTTTGCATAGTTATTTGCCCTCGAATAAGTTCTTTTATAATGTGGCGCATTAATTTATAAACCTACAATCGCATCGGCTGCATTTAGAACGCGCCATTCCACTACGAGGACATTTGGGTGCTGTGAACATACCCCGCACGATTAGGCTGCGATGAACAGCTGGTTAGCCGTAGCTCGCAACGCTACTGATATCACAGTCTGAATGCAAACGGCTATAAATTTAGCCGGCTGTTCATCGCAGCCTAATCGTGCAGGGTATGTTCACAGCACCCAAATGTCCTCGTACGAAATGTTATCTACCTTAATCGGTATTTGAATAATTATTTCAGTGTGGCAGATTTCGAGTTCGAAATATTTTCAGCACTATGCCACAAAAACATAAGAAGCACATCGCGAAAAAAACGAAAATTAAAAAATGTAAGCAAACTGGAATAATGATTTAAATAATATGTGGTCTCTAAAGGAGTTTGACCTTTACCTTGGACTTCGACATGGGCCACCGGGGGCGCCACCAGCGGGGCGCGGATTTCCGTATGGACATGCGTCTCATTGACCACCTCCTTCTCGTGCTCCCGCATCGGGGGGCGATCATAATCGTCCCGGCGTTCACCGCGATATACTTGTTGCTGACGATTATAGTCGTCTCGCTGTTCGCCGCGCGAGTCCCGCGGCTGTTGCTCATAGGTTTCCCGTTCCACACGGACCTCCTGATACTGTGGCTGCTGTTGTTGTTGGCGGGAATCGCTATTATCACGACGCACCTCCTGTTGTTGACGAGAATCATCCCGGCGCATCTCCTGCTGTTGTTGGCGAGAACCGGCACTGTCACGGCGCATCTCCTGTTGTTGTTGACGGGAACCGGCACTGTCACGGCGCATCTCCTGCTGTGGTTGACGAGAATCATCGCGGTGGACCTCCTTGCGTTCGTACTGCTCGCTCTTCATATTCCGGTTATGGTAGGCACAGTTGGGTGGGCAGTACGCACCGCCACGGCACACTTCGGCTTCCATATGACGTTCCACACGTGAGGACATTCTTAAAGGTTAAGGATTTACTTATTCGAAAAACTTGAAAGAAAATTGGAAAGTTTGCTTTGTGAGTTTGAGTTGGAAATGGTTGGCACGGTCGTGTCGCTTATATACACAATAACGCAGAACGCCGTACGTGAATGGGTTTTTTTCTGCAGAATACTGGAAAATGGCGTAAATATGGGGAAACACACGCGTTCTCGAATGGCAAATTCCATTTTGTTTATTTACTGAGCGGTGGATGTTGCGCTAACGCAGTGTCATATGAGCAGCATTCTTTTGTGCCGTGTATAGGAAATACATATGGGGGTGTGGCTTTACAGTGTTCATCGGCGCCTCAGGGTACGCGTTCGCGTTTTATGTTGAATGTGTAGTTAACAAGGACGGACAAATTTGCACGCAACAACAGGGTAATTATGAGCTTGCAGAATATGGGTATTTATCATTTTCCCCAAAATATATTATTAGAATACGCAGATTGACATGACCGCGTGTTACTGTATGTAACAGTGCGTTGCGGTTTCGAAAGGTCATGTGCCGTACTGGCTGTAATACGAGGATTACGACAACCACTGTAATTTTCTTTATTGTGATGCATGTTTTGTTGTGATGACATATAAACCATTGTCACTTACGGTTAGCACACACTATAATAAACATGATAAGTACTCATCAATCATGATCGGTATTGAGTATTTACTCACGACACGTCCCATTTAATAGCCGCAAAAGGATTAACTGACTGACTGTAATTTTTTTAAACACATGCACGTGTACAACAGTTGAAGAGACGTGTTATCCAGCGATCTGTTTCGAAGTTTGTCGATAGCATTTTGCGAGATCTTGCTAATCTACAGCTAATCCAGTCATTATCTTTGCTTAACACAAAGTTAAATTGTTGAATAAGAAATTATCATATCTGTACGTGTCAAAAGCCAACTTTTCGATTTCACAACATTTCAAGCCCACGAAAAAAAACATTTGATTGCAAGTTATCGGCAGAACTACCGCACCGTAATTAAGCATCCAGCGCAAACCGCAGCACACTACGTCACCGGAATAAACCCGCAAATTAGCAACAAAATGATCAACTAACCACCCTTCCCAGTTTATGATTAATTTAGGAATAATAAAAATTTAATCAAGATAAGGAAGTATTTGGCGCAACCCAATCACAGAGATATATGACGATAATCAGGCAAACACCACCCCACGACCCTGAAACTCTTCACGCACAATGCCATCTAACTGGATCAGGAAATGTAGCCTCAGACGGGACAGCTTCTCCAACCGCAAATTCTTCAGCCCGTCGACACACCACTTTCTCCCGCGATACTGGGAGGTCGAGCGCGGATCACCGGTCTGCACCGCACACAACAACTGCAACCAGTAATGATACCGGAGTGAGAACAGCAAAGAATAACCGCTGATCAGGATAAAGAGATTTTGCATTTCCCGCTCTCTATACCTTGCAGTACACGTCCAGGTTCCAGACCCAGCCTTTGGAGGTCAGAAAAGCCAGCAGTTGGGAGACCATGTCCAGCTGCTCATCGCTCGGTGTCGGCAGCGTCGCCTCCAGAACATCCCACACGGCACTGTCCACATGTTCATGGGGATGCGGCCAGCGGGGACGTTGGCCAACAGCTGCGGCAGTGCGAGCCTATCGTATTCCCGGCCAAACACCAGCTGTACTTCATAGCGGGTCAAGTGGATCGTCTCACACGGACCATGACGCCAACCTCGCAGGAAATCCATCAGGCGAAACTGGTCGGGATCGCCCGATGGGGACTGCACACCCTCCGGCAAATGCAACCCGCACTGGATGTGGTCGCCCAGCCTCTTGGCGGTTCCCATCACCAGCCGGATACGGGCGCCCACCAGATGGACGGCGGTCAGATGGATGCCGGGATTGTGCTGCGCCATAAAGTTGATCATGTCGCCAATTTTCCGGTAATCACTGGCATCCAGACTCCGTTCCCCATTGGCCACAATGAGGCGCTTGGTGGTGGTGCGCAGACATTTGAAGATGGGACACGTCAGTAGATAGTCGCGCATGCCACCATCCCGCTGCGCTAACACAGCGCGTCCGCGGCTGTTGATGACAATGTTCATGGTCAACAGCGGCTTCTGTCCGATAACGTTCCATGTGGCACACATGGCGCGCAGTTCCGTTTGCTTCACAGTGTCCAAATACGAGAACACTTCCAGCAACAACTCCTCCGGTAGGACGCTGATAGAATCCGTGGTCTCGGTAGGGTTACCCTCGACCATCGCAGTCATCCGCAGAAGATGCTCAGTGAGAGGCTTCTCGAACATTTCACGGGCCGCCTGTATAATAAAGTAATTTTTTCCGTGCAGATGATATTGATTAGCGAACACAAGAACAAACTAACAGCCACAAAACAATCATTACATTAAATACAGTCATACAGTGTAAACAGTTAATGTACAATAAAAACGTAGATTACTGCTATTATTATTATTGCAACTACGGTAGCCAAACTCCATTATTGAAGACTTGAACAGGCTATTGAAAAATATTTTTGTTAATTTTGAAAATTTTGTACTTTTTTTGATTTTTGCACTAGGAACGTCCAAACTAACTTTAACCGGTTTGATAAAATATGAAAAAACGGAAATCAATTTTGCCTGTCGTTACCATAAGGCCACTCTTACCGTGTAGCTCGCGTCATTCGTTAACCCATCCTTTGCAAGAATGTACCACAAACGTCCATTGGCCACCTCCACACAGTTGACTCCCTCCCGAATGACGCGCTGGAGCAGTGCCTGGGAGTCCCGTGCGCAATAATTATCCGGTAACGGCACACTCCACTTTGGATAATGTCGTCCTTGCACGCGTGGATACCTCGAGCAGGAGCTCGGGACCTTCGTCACCTAAATCCTTCCATAACAATGTTAGGATTGATGCTGTGCATGAATTTCCACCTAATATCTATATCCACTTAATGAAAACCGTGCACGTTCTATCGTGTGTGCCCATTCTGATTTGCACTTGGACCATAAAAGAAGCATGGAACGAAGGTTGCCGAAAAATTAACCTGTTTTCGAGGCCAGTCGATACGCAGCCGGAATCGATCGCTGACCGATCTTGGTCCACCACTTTTTCGGCGTTCTGATGCGCGCATCCGATTCACTGGCACGATGTCCGTGCCGCGGCGTCCCGTGTTATCCCACCAGTGCACCACGACCGCGTCGTACGTGCGATGCACGACGCCATCAGGTTCAGCCACTGCGCTGGATACCACGTCAGTGGTTCGGACGACGTCCGTCGTAGCAGCACTTCCACCGGAACCGTCACAGGTGACTTGAGAAAATCAACCAGATCGCCACCGTTCAGGAAGTAATAATTGAGAACATCAGCGAGGAACAGCCGACGGAACGGGATCAGCTCGCGTCGTCGGTGGGGGCACAGCAGGTCGACGAAGCAGCCGGTATCCGACACGTCCACCACGCGCCCGTAGCGCGGCAGGCCGTCGTCTCCCAGAACATCGACAATGTTGTTGCGGTACACCGAAGTCGGGCGAGCTGCTAAAACTTTTGACATGATTGCTGAATGAGACATGATTCAAAACTTGAATACTGGAAACTGCTGCAACGGTGCATGAGAACGGTGCAAAATCTTGTTACACCATGGATGATGAACAGTCATCTACAAGACGTGTACAAGTAACGCCGTTTTTACCGGATTTTTAAATTACAGGCGCATGGTCTGAGCTGACATCAGGAGTTGACAAAATCAAGCAGTGGTTCGAACTAGTAAACTGCAAATGGTGTAAGTTCGCTCCAAAAGAAAATGAAAATGTTTCCTTGCTACAGGACTGTAGAACACTACTGCAACGGTAAAGGCGATAAAAAAAGTTTAGCATCGCGGAAAATGAAGAGTGGAAAAGTCTTCGTCCAGTGCAGTGGCACAGCTTGTAGCGTCAATCATAGCGATGATACAACCAGTGACCACGTAGTCCAGTGACCACGTACGTACATACAGATATACAGAGTACGTACTGCACTTACTTGTACTATCATTAAAACGCAACCTGACCATGAGTACAAATAATAAATAAAAATAATTATAATATTGTACGAGTACTTATTTGAGCTTGATTTCGATCACGGTCAGCTGGATACGTCCGTATACCGTAATGTGCGTACTGTATTTGCTGCCTGTGACATGTAGACTGTGTACGTACCGGTACTTTTAATAATTACTATTATTAATAATATAATTATGTTATATAAATTACATTAAAATTGTAATGTACTCATTGTACTATACAGTGTGTATAAAGTACATATTAGAGCGCAGACTTTCAGCCGTCACATATGTACCATCTTAAAACTTCTCGTTTTTTATATCGCTAAATCTTTGTCTGTGACCACGTCGACGACAACTCAATTTCTGACTTCACCACCTGCCGTAGCCTCGTAGATATATGTGTAGTTACACGAGTGACGCCAAGCACCGTATAGTAAATAATATTATAGTATACAAAATAATAATAAACAGAAAAACAACTCAAGAGAATATTCTACGGCTATCTATCTGCGTCGAAGTGCAAAGCGTAAGTGTTCGAGTTGCAGTTCAAGAAATTTACTCAGACAACTTCCGCCAGATTCCCAATTTCCCATACAGAAAACTCTACAATGACTACTCAGCCGCCGGTAGAGGAAAAAATTAATATACAACAGCGTCGGAGAAGAAAGCAGTTAATTATCGGGTTTAGAAATTCCACCACACACACACCACAATAAATACACTCACACATATACAATGAAAATATCAGCGTTTCTATACACATCTGTTACCAATAAAATCTCTTACAGCATAGAGAATACATCCAACAACCAGTAACACGAGAGAGAAAAAAAATTAAATCTTCACCGTCCCCGCCCGCAAAACAAATCAAAAACAAAAATCCCCCGGCCCCACGGAGAATCCCCATCCTCCGAAATCCGTCCCGTGCCACCAATGTATCAAAGATAAATCCGGCGAAAATAAAAATCTCCCTCCACAGAGAAACATCCCACACCAGAATTCGCGAATATCAGTGTAAATCGATGAACTTCCGGAGGCGCTCCCCCACCACCCCCTCGTACTTCCGGCCGCATCCCCGTACGGCCTGCGCAGCCAGACAGCGCAGCTGCGGAAAGTACTCGGCGCTGTACACCATCGGATTCTTCTTGAGAAACTTGAGCGCCGACAACCGGTCCTTATTGGCAATATCCATATGCGCCCCGTTGGCCAGCATGAGCGCCACCAGCTCATTACTCACCGGATACTGCTGCACGGTGGTGCACAGCGGCGTATTCCCTTCGGCGTCCTGCGCGTTCATATCCGCGCCCATCTCCACCAGAAACCCAATCGTCTCCTTACACGGGAAGCTGAACGCCCGGTACGGACCGAGATTGGTGGATTCTTTCGCGCAGGCCAGATGCAGCAGTGTCCGCTGGCTTTTCCCGCGCGGATTAATCTTCATCAGGTAGTACACCTTGGTGGTGATGTCGCGCACCAGCTCCGGCTCCACACTGCTGCGCATCCGGACGAACAGCGACACGAGATGCAGACACACCACCAGGATGCGGTCGAAGGAGTTGAGGTCGCGGCTGTGGGCGGCGGCAGCACCATCGGCGCTTAGTAAGCTGTGGCCGCGCATAATCTCGATGAAGATCTTGTCCAAGACCATCTTGAAGTCGGCCCATGTGATGTTCTGCACGCCCTGGAGGGTCTGCTGGGTCTCCTTGAAGGAGAAGAGCTCGGCAAAGGAGACGAAGGATGAGACCGTCATGGGGTTCAGCGGCTCCAGGTTCTGCAGCTGCACTTCCAGGGCGTACGACCACAGCTGTAGACAGCGCCGGAAGTCGCCTTGATCCGCGAAAACTATACGAAGCGGAAGCAAAGGATAACATTAAAGATATAGAACTGGGCTTCAAAATCCAGAGACAAAACAATAACTGGTGCGAAGAAATATCTGGGATATCTAGGATACTGTTAAAGCAAACATTAACAAATGATTAGTACTGAAATTATTAAATTCATCGTTGTAAATGATAAGTTAAGCACAGGTGTTAAAGATGTAAAGCATACCAAATCAACCATCAAATTATCATCTATGAGATTCTTCAAAGTAGTATTTATTTACAAACTTAATATTTACAAAAATTATACTTCAAAACAAATTTAATTCAGTTTAAGAACTAAAATATAGCATGACTGGTAATGACTGAGCAAACTCCACGTAATCTGAGCTTTGACAATTCCATGTAAGCCCATACACTACGATTCCTATGCACATTACTTCATTCATCTGTGTATCAATACAGTTCCACTACAATTACTACTACAACAGTTATCAATTTACCGCACAAATACTGTATATCAAAGGATGCCAGATACTATAACGTTAAAATTAAAAAAATACATAGAAGCAATATATTTATAACTTTGTTTTAAAAAATATTATTCCAAATAAATTTACTTTTAATTTCCGAAGACTAGTAGACACCAACGTTTGGTTATCCAACGAAAATTCGGTCTACGATCACCTGACTCAAACCCATACACTACGCTTCCTTCCCACAATACCTTAAATTAATTAACAATGACATATGATGATACCAGTATTTACTATAATCATATGTAAAAAATGCTATTCAAAACAAATTTAATTAAATTCATGATAAACGGACACCAAGATCGGTTCTAACCATCGACTTGGATCGTGCGAAACCCCGTACACTACGATTCCTCCCCATAATCCAGCACTCACCAGCGCCTCGATACCGCAGCAGATAGCTCGTCTCCGGATGCGCCGCGCCCAGAATCCTCTCGCGCACCAGCAGCGCCTGCACGCGTACCTCATTAGGGTCCTCACTCATCAGGCGCACCTCGGCCAACGTAGAGAACTCCTTCGTGTTCAGCATGGCGGCCACCGGCGACACCTTGACCACCTTGGGCAGACCGGCGCCGCCGCTCTCCGTGGCCGGGTACCGCAGCCCCATGGCGCGCTCCCACAGCCGCAGACCCTCGATCAGGTTGTGTTTGCGGTCAATGTAGGTGGCGCCCAGGAGTTCCAGGGCGTTGACGCGCTCCTCCAGACTGGTGGCCGTGCGGCCGGAGATGAGAAACTCCACCACGTTGCGGTGGCCGACCACGGCGGCGGAGACTAGCGGCGTCATGCCGTACGCGTCCTTCTCCATGTGGGCGCCGTGCAGCATCAGCAGCTGCATAATGTCCACGTGACCCGACTCGGCGCAGTCGTGCAGCGCGGTGTTGCCTGCCATAACCAAATATTTTAATAATTAGAAATGCAAATGTTGCATAAGATTACGACAGTCTGACAGTCCATCGTCTGCATAACCATCGATTTCCAAACCAGTACTACCTCATTCAGTTTTTTATACCAAATTCGTACAATTTTTCTATTTAGATATTCGACATAACGGAACAATTCCTCTCCACCTGGTAGCTTTTTGTTCACAATTTTAGTGTCCTATTCAAACAAAAATCAAAAAGAGAGCAATATTAACGATTGCGACTCACATGTTATGAAAATGCCATTGCTAACTAAAACTCAGAGATTATGAATATAGTTCCTTCAACCTCGCTTTCGATGCCGCTGTACTACGATTTTCTCCTGACTTTTCACTCATCTGCTCTCTAATTTATACCGCAATATGAAACAGGTCTGCGGGATGAACCCGCGCCCAGACCGAGACTGTACTATCTAAGACTAGTAATTAATTGTGATATTTCTATGCAAGCGACATTTCAATTCAATAAGCAAAACGGAAAAAAATGAGGGAAGTCAAAGCATTCATGTCAATGTCACAGACCGCACACTCGCGCTTGACACACCATTGTCATGAAAAACGAGGAAGATTAAATTAAGGGCGCGTTTCATTTCCCTCGTCGTCAACAATTAACCGAAATTACACAAGCTGCTCTGCATAACATGATTATTTTCCTGACTATTACATCCTGCGCCTGACACCTTTTAACCCCGAAAAAGTGTGACACGTCACTTTGATTCACACCCGCATCAATATATCGTCCTGCGTTTTGTAACATAATCAAGTCGGAAAAATTCGGGACACCCATTCCACAGTCGACCGCGAAAACTTGAGTGAAATTTGTAATCCCACGGGCCGACAGAATGGGTGTGCAAATTGTCGTGGCCTTGTCAGAAAGGATGCCAGTGTTTCGTAATGATTATTAGCCGCGCTGATTTGGGCATTTTCTCACTGTATATAACACATTCACACTCTGGGTCGGAGAAAAACGTCTGTTTATTGACGAAACATAAGTCTACGCGCGCCAGTTACGTAACCCCATTACTGGTACAGTAGTGTGTAATATCAGCTCACAAAGCAGTTATGTTCGCGCCTACCACGGACACACTCGCCTAATCTAGTTCACACTGCAGCCAACCTCCACACAACAACCGCAAATCTAATCTTAGGGCTAATTGCGTATTTAATTCAAATCCGACAAGAAACTGTCCAGTTGCCCACCATAAAACTATTTCGATTTGTAGGGCGCCGTATTGTAACACAGCTTTAGTATTAATTTTCGCAAAAGGGCCAAACGTTTAGCTTTAAACTGCTCACAGGACAAAAAAATTAAACTCAATACCACAGCGTTTAGCTAGCTCTCAAATCCGATTACGCATACAGAATTAATGTTTAGGGCATAAAAATAAATTTCTACAAGCGCTGCAACCACAATTTCCTAATAAATATGCCACCAGCGAAAATTAAAGTTTTAATGAAACATGCCAACAGAAAAAGATATCAGAGTTCGTAGTGTAGAGGCCGTATAGGAGTAAAGTCCGAGATTGTACTGTTTGGACGGGCAAAAGTTTTAAAACAATGCTAACTATTGTGCCAAATAATTATTTCACTTTTTGAATTATTTTTCAAACTTCTTAAGAAGCAAAACGGAAAATATTCACCCTGACTGGCGCGATTTCGGAATAATTTCCCCATAATTATTCAAGTTAAAAATGAGGAATCGGAAACGGCAAGAAAAGAGCCGGCGCAAAGGTCTGCGAAAATTCGCAAAACATCACGAGAACCGACTGTACGATTCAGCGAATTTTAATTCAATTATCCATTTAATTATCGGATGCAAGAGGAAGCCGCGATGCACCCTGTACATAAGGTGCGGATTGTCGTCAGCATCCAATCGTGTCACGCGACACCGTCTGCATCACCGGCTTACCTTTAATGCTCTTCCGGTTGACGGTGGCGCCCTTCTCCAGGAGATACTTGACAATCTGGATGTGGCCGCGGTAGCAGGCGATCATGAGGGACGTGTGGCCGTGCCGGTTGGCGATCTCCAGATCGGCGCCCTGCTCCACCAGGAAGCGGACAATCTGCATCCGGCCGTCGTAGCAGGCCGCGCGTAGGGGGGTGGAGTTGGTGGAGGTGACGCCGTTGACGTTGGCCTGGCAGTCCATCACGAGGTAGCGGACCACCTCGAAGAAGCCCGCCGCCGCCGCTGACCACAGCGCTGACGCACCCTCCACCTTGTCGCCTGCGGAGAAATAGTGGCATTCTAATTAAAGCTTTATGGTTTCGAGGTTGATTTACAATTCGTGGTTAGCACCAATCATAAATTTAATTTCAAAGGATACTCCAGTTTATTCTGATGATTCTTATTTGACATTAACCGTTACAACTTCAAGTATCAAGTGCGTCACAAGTGCGTAAGCCTGCGTAGTTCTTAAATTATTATCTATTCAGATTAAATTATTATATATTGTTAAATTATTATATTTTATTTCATTATTTCTTTTATTTTTAGAGTTTACTTCTGTAATTTTGTTCTTCGGCTCCGCTAAGAGAAGAGTGGTATTCTGGCCGTGATATATTTTTTGCCCGGCCTACATTTCTACCCATAATCACAAAAAACAGGAACTAACGGTGACGGTCTAGCATTGATTCACGTACAACCACTCATACAATCTGTTTAGTGTGATTTTTATAGAAGTATCGATACTCCTGTATTGTATTCCTGTACCTGCAATTTTCTTGAACTTTTACTGTACATTTCGCTAGATTAATTTTTCCTCAATCTGCTAAACTGTACAGTTTCTATTTAATTCACTCTTAGAAAAACAGTATATATATAACCTGATGGAAAAAAAGAACAAAATTCGATCTGGCAGGATTTTTAGGAGTAATTCTGACAGAACAATTCCGCCTAGCTTCTCCAGTTTGGAGTACTGTACTTTTCTTCACATACTTGAAAACTTACAGCAAAAATACAGCAAAAATAACGGAAAAATTAAATTTAAATCACAAAAAAAATCAATGTTTATTTTGCAGATATTCAAAAGACAAACTGAACCAACACTCAAACCACTAAATCAAAAATAATCGCACTTTAACCACGACGCGTGTAGGTACTGTAACTGTCTCTGCTCTGCACGACACGGCAAGAGCCGATCCGCAGCCGAAATTACATAAAATTAGCATGCCGTTTCCTGCTGATCAGCATGTTTTAACTTCCGTAATGCTGGCGCTGACGATCAAACTGTGGCTATAACATCACATCAGCGTCAACTAATAATAACCGAAAATATTCCACCAATTCAACATGCCAGCGACAACAGCTAAAAATACCTCTGTACTTCATATCTACACACTGATTACCGCACACGCACATCTTGGACAAACGCTGCTCTAAGCGAAAACCTAGTCACATGCTGATAATAATTTCACATGGAATAATTCGTCTATTCTGCACGGCGGAATATTCTGTACTAACAAGTTAACAACCAGACCGTCCGATAAAACAACCGGTTCTCGGAAACAGCTAACTGAACGTAAACAATTTCTATTTGCATGCGACTCAACAAAGGATACGGCTGAGAATAATTAGGGAAATTGCAACATTCTCAGGAAATTGTTGAGAAACTTTTAATGTGGATTTTTCCATGCGTGAAACGATCGATACTTCGATAAACGAATGGATCACGCGTGTGTTTGTTTAGCGATACAAACAACTCACTCGATTAAAGCAGAAACTGAAGCAATCAACGACAACGGAAAAAGTATCCTTACAGTGCTAAGAAAAACCGCAAAATGTAAAATATTTTCGAAATCTAATCTTTTTACGATTTTGAAATTTTAGAAGCAGATAGCACTTCAATTCCCGAAGCGAGAAAAAGAGGTACAAAATTTAAGGCGTCAGAACTTCACAAAAAGGAGCAAATCGATAACAGCGTAAATTAGACGGCGCATCTCTACCACTGCGCTGTACTGGCGCAGCAGCCTGCCAACCGCTACTACAAAACCTTTCGCAAATGCGCAGACTTTATAAAATTCTCATCCTGTTTCGTAAGATTCACGAAGGAAACTGTCAAAATTTCTCTTCCCTACCTTCAAACTGCACCGTCCCGCGTTGCTCGACATTGACACGGGCCTCCTCCACCAGGAACTTGACCACATCAAGATGTCCCTGCCGGGCGGCCGACACCAGACAGGATTCACCGTGGGGATTCAGCGATACACACTCGTGGATCTCCTCCGGCGTGAGATCCTGCTGGGCAATACGGGCTTTGATGAGATCGACCCGGCCCAGCCGACTGTAGCGGTAGATGAACTTGTGCAGACGATGGAAGTTTCGGGTGTTGGTGCTGTTGTTGTTGGCGGCCAGCGCCGCCGCCGCCGCGGCCGCCGCAGCACCCGTGGCCCCGCTCATTTCCGTATCGCCCGCGTCGTCCAGGGATGGACCATTCATGGGGGGAGATGGATGCAGGAGACAGATTAGGATGAGAATATTACAAAAAATATCCCGTCAGGAGTATAACGTGGAGGCGGGTTTATAGCGCAGGGTAAAAAAGAAGGATCTTCAACACTTTCTGATCTCGATCATCTGATTAGAGCTGTATGAAAAATGTGAATGGGCTGTTTGGTTGTAGAAACTAGAAAATCAGACTGGTGAGCGCCGTGAGCAGCTTAGTACAGGGCAGGGGCGAAAGTAGCGAGGCCCCCTGAAGCGGATGGCGCCCAGCTAGATTATGCGTTGCACGGGTTCGCCTCGGCACGCCATAATACCGAACAAAGTGCAACTGCGAAACAGCGAAATTTGCCATGGTCATTAATTTTGTCATGCCTGGACCCTGGTGAAAACTGAAACCATAAAAAATAAAATCAAGAAGTTCGCATAAAGCGGTCATAAAATTTCAAACTCCCAGCGTTTCGGTGTGTTTCAAACTCCCAGCGTTTCGGGTAGGTGTTGTACAAGTTGTACCGAAACGCTGTTGTACAGTACAACATGCAATAATAAGAAATGGAAGAACTCGTAATCGTATAGTATGTACGCAACTGTTACAGTAATGTCACTCTTAAATTAAATGCAATTAATATTATTATTAATTGGTAACAATTTATACATCGTAAGTACAATACATTCATTACAAGACTATAAGTACGTACATACAGATTATAGACACAAAGTATTAAAGGTGTATGCGCATCGGTATAACTGTTAATTGTACAAAGTATAATAATATCTATATTACAGTATTATTTTTTATTATACCTGCACTATTTTATATGGATTATGCTGTATAATAAGTATTTATTTCCCCAAAACCGTTGCGTGTTAAAAATAAAAGTACGCCCTATTTTGCTTTTTGATGCCGCTCTTCGGCGCAGTTTCGGAATTTGAGAATTTATAGAGGGCATATGCTAAAACTATTCCGTAAAATCGAGACTGCAACCCGGCGAATGCAAGGGTTGACCATGTCACTACTCTAGGATTAACGATGCGGTCGAAGGATGCCGCGGCTGACGGTAAAGATGACGGCGCCGCAGAACTGCCGAGGCGCGCATAAAGGTTTTGTCCAGCGGAGCGGTCGGAGCCCTTATCGGTGACCCGCCATTTTGTCAAACAAAAATTCGTCGACCGGTCACTTAGCCGAAGCGACACGATATCGCGCTGCCGTTCTGCTATTAACTGCGTGTTTTCGATCGGATTTTTTTACAGTAGGTTTCTTATGTTTTATTATGCTTATTATGTTTCTTGGTTTCTTAGGTTTCTTAGTTTCTAGTTTTTCTTATATGTTCGGTCGCCCTCGGTTCGGTCGCCCTCGTGACGGGCGGTGCGGTTGACCTTGTGACGGTCGGCGATCAGTGTTAGTCGACAGTCGCCGACTTTGACGAACTTTGATTGCCGACCGTCACAAGGTCGACCGCTGTCGCGCGATATAATACCGGACGTGAGCCGATTTTGTCCAGGCCCACCTCTCAATTCGACCCACGTGGATCTCCTGCGTATGCATGCCGGGCGCGAGTACTTGTGTTTCCTTGAAGAAGAACAGCTCGGCGAAATACATGCATGAGGGGATGACCCTCATTGCGCGTGGGTGATCAGCGGATCCAGATTCAGTTCCAGAGTGTACACAGTACAGCCATAGAGCTGCAGTCGTTTTGAAATCGTTTTGACGTCGTTTCGCCGGAAGTCGTATTGACCCGCGAAAACTATATAAGAATAACTAGAAACTGAACAAAGGGACGCCGTAAATGTTGTGATTTATTAGCGCACGATATCGAAGATTTACTAGAGTAGGGAAAGACTCGTGGTTAACGTTCGAAAAACAGAAAACGTTTACGGAATGAAAAGTATAACATACATAGGTGAAGATATTGAAAACGTCTTAATCCGTTCAAGAACATTAAAATTAAAAACGAAATTTCTTAATCCGTGCACAAATAGAATAACGTGGTTGGGCCCGGGCGAGAGTGTTCAGGAAAAGCACTTAATAATGTATATTTTATATTTTATACAATCGTAGTGAAAGCACTGAATATGTATAAAATTAATGGATTTAGTGGAATCTAGCAAGTTAGTATTATCCACAGCACATAAAATACTGTGCAGCTAAACCTTGTGCATAAAAGTACAGTAATTAACGTTAGTTAATATAAATTGCTTAAAACTACAAAATTACGTACATTTTGTTTCCAAAAAATTGCATTTCAAACAGTGTCGAAAAATACCAAGATGGGGCAGTATATGGGATCGACACTCTTAATGTGAGTTAATTTGACCCCGTGCACTACGATCCTACCGTGACAAACCCTCGACTCTCCTGCATGCGCCTGTACAAGGATAGATACTGCGCAGTGCGCATACAGTATTTAAGTAATTATCAATGTGACCGAATGACTTTATACTATTCTATGATCTTTATCGTTGAACTTTTTTTAATCGATTCACGACGTCTATAATATTATTTAGGAATTATGACTCAGATTTAAAAAACTGGTTTCTTAACTACTTTTATAGTTTATTCTGTATAATGGCCAGGTGGGTTTCGCATTGTGCTGTTAAACCTGATCTTTTCAGTGCCGTATTTCCGAAAGAACGGTTGTCTTAAAAAAGAGTTAAAATAGTAATCTCGCAGATGTCACGTAAAACAATTATTTTACATACAGTACTGCTGTATGTTACTTAACGAAAAACGAAATTATGTTTACCAAAAACATCAGTAGCATCTTCGGTATGTCATTTTTAAATCCTCTAGCTGGATCCGGAAGTTCATTTGTTGAGCTGGTATGTTATACGGAAATTCATGACACGTGATAATAATAATTTTATTACAGAATCATGGAAAACATCGTAACTAACTTGAACGCGTGAATCACAATGTCATAATAACAAGTTATTGCACAGTAATTTGCACTGCACAGACAGATAAGTAGAAAATGCAGTCCAAGTTCTAAAACTAATAAAACTCTGAAAACTGCAAAGACCCAAATGCACCCTCTGATATGTTAGCATGAAATCGCATGTACGCTTTATAAACAACACCGATACGGGTTTATTGTCAAGTACTGCACAATATAAATTAGTACTTAATTTTTACGAATTTTTGAACTTGTTTTAGGCTGCACAATAGTTTTGTATCTCGTACTTTGTATACGAATAATAATAATAATAATATTATGCTAGGGTAACTTGAATGCGACTTTCTCCAATTACTGCAGTCATTGCAGTACTGTAAGGTACTGCAAGTATTGCAATTTTAACGCCTCAAAGGACATGGGGGGATCGGGATCCGGCCGGTATGTACGAGTACGTACCATTCCGAAATTGCATAACAGATAGACTCCGGGAGCTGCACCTTTATTATTACGACCAGCGGTACATGCAACAAGATACTCAAAACTGCGCGGAATACAGACTTTTTTCTGTCTTTAAAAGCACAAAACAAAAACGTGCAAAACTGCAAATTTGTAGTTTTGTACGTATCGACAAAATGTAATCAACCGTCGATCTCAAAACGGTATCCGACGCCGCATCACAATTGCGGAAGGCAGTGCGTAGTGCGTACCACGTACCTGAAACTGGCTGAAAGTGTCTATACAAGTAGATATAACAGCAACTGTAATTAATTATAACATTACCGTACCCCGCCTTTCTTTAATGTGTTTAGGGCGTGAAAGTTCAAACATCAGATATCCTACAGACGACTGTAGCTTATATAATGTTTTATCTTCTTCCATCAACGTTGCCGCAACAGTCAACGAACGATGCTATACAGCTGTCTTTAAATACAGAACGTTTGGAAACGTATTATTTTCTGTTCATAACTTTTCGTATACGGCCTCGCCCAGTCAGATTTTCTAACCTTGCACAGATTAAAAAATTTTGGAATTGTAACGTACCCATTAATATTTATCGTTAATACTGTACTTCTGGATTCCATCATGAAGACAATAATCTCTTGTTATTTGCTGGGATGTGCCCTTCTGTGTTTCACCATCTATGGTAGGCGATTGCGATGGGAATTACAAAATACCCTCCATTTATTAGTAGTCGTATAATTTTGTAAACAAAACATGTAATGCTTTAAAAGCGGCATAAATCAGCGCTGTTGCTAACTTTTATTTCGGTTATAGATAGCGGTTAGGATAATTCTACAGTGTTTACATGAATAAGACGAAAACGATGTCTAATGCACAGTATAAATATATAATATATTAATATCTATATACTAATTTGTCATACAGTAGATTAAAGCTGTTTTTCCTAGTAATTTGTTAGTGCATGTTTGTGCATCTTTCGTTAAGCAATGATAAATTAATAATTATGTATCGTGGACCAGATTTGCATGGTACAGGTGCTACAGCGTTTGACTGCCCGCTCTCGGACGGATGCGGTGTGACGCGGCCAATGAACGGATGCGCTCAGGATCCCTGCACGACGACCACCAAGACCTGTCCGAAGCGTCCCAGCGCCAAGTGTTGCAATGATGCTTGCGGAGATTGCAAAACGGTCTTTTTCTATGAGGGTGACGTCAATGTCACCGACAAATGCTAGCTACCGCTCATTATACGTAGAGAAACGAAAGAGTGCACAATTATTGATTAACCCGTTCCCGACCATCCCTGTCAAATGGCAGGGTGGCGGACTTAATTCTTGTAGCGGACCACAATGCAGAAAACTCGTGTTTGGTGAGTTTAATCTAGAGTAGGGATGTTTTTGGTCATTTTAAAAATTTGGCCATTAAATGCAGCATGTTTGTAGCACACAACAAATGACCAAAGATTACCAAAATGACACCTTTGGGGTTCGCGGAGGTCTTGGCTGTACATACGGCCTCCCTAAGACCCGATAATTCATATATAATTCACTGAAACCCACCCTGTGGCACACATTGCAAAAGCATTGCATGGCCCGAAAAATAGCTGGACAGTGGACAAAGATGGTCATCTGAAAATTTCCTGCCACTTTTGACAGGGATGGGCATGGGGCTACTTTAACAATAAATTTCATAAATTCTTTATAAAATGTTAGAAACATAATGAAAAACCAAACATAGATTCATTAAATCGAGAAAAAAGTGTAGTACCAACTCCAGCGTTTTGATGGTCATTCAGATGACCAGTGGTCAGCAAACCAAAAAAATGTTAAAAATTCACTTTTTTGTATGATAAAACTTGTACAATTGTACAATAATAAAGTGTAAACTGCACAAACGAACGCGAATTACTGAGAGATTACTTTTTTCGTTTTTCGGCAACGAAAATTTGGAGACTTATCCCTAATGTACATTCACAAAACTATGGAACACGCATTATATCTAGTCCGGGCCTGTCCGGCATATGGCGGAACGGTATCATTTGAAGAAATGTGAACGTGATTTATGTAAAAGCGTAGTTATATAGCTTCTCACAAATTGGATATGGTTGCTGCGTTCAGCCGGTGTGTTACCTTTATAGAGTTGCCGAGCTATAGCGGCTGATAGCGGAAATGACCAGATGCAAATAAATTTTGAAGTACCAATGCGCTGTAAACCGCACACTGTTGGTAGTGCTGTGCGAGTTGTCGCTTGGGTGTTTGGCTCAAACACTGCTTGTACAGACTGCAGGATGCTTAGACTGTTAGTAGTGTACCATTTACGCACTGAAAAGTCCACAAAAAGGCAAACCAAAAAACGGAAGCTGCAACACCGAAGATGGGCACAAGTTCTTAACACGCAGTTAAACACGGACATAAGCGACAAACACCGCGCATTCACTGGAAAGGATGCAATTTGTCGCTCTTGTCTGACTTAGGATCATTACATACGTTTCTATATTTAAGCAAAGTGGACACTGTATCTTTTTTTACTTGTGGCCGCCCAGAAATGTGTTTTTTTTACAATTTTCAGTACTACTGACCACTGGTCATCTTGGTGACCACATTAGCGTTTGAGAACTGTAGGGATCTCCAAAACCTTTCGTTTAAGCGGTCGTACTCCGCAGTGCCATCATTCCGTAATTTTCTATAAATTTTACCGTGTTACCTGCCAAATGGCAGGATGCCCATCCCTGTCAGTTTGGCAGGCTATCGCCGTGCTTGACCTATGGTCACGAAAATTCCCAAAAAATTAATTTTTCTTAATTGAATTATTTCGTTATGAAACACCAATTTTCAAATCGCTATTCGCACTCCTTCAGGTTGCTGACTTTGGTGGGTTAACTGATGCACTGTTTAATCTTTACGCATTACACAATATGCGATCGTTATATTAGAATGTATATAGTTATTAACGATAAATACGTACTGATGTACTGGTTGTTACTTGATAATACTGCACAATCTACACTTTATTATAGCGAAACATAGCGTTTAGTGTAACAATATTATTGTACGCATATAACTATTCTGTTTATCGTAAATTTTCTAATTCATAATTCTCACAGCTATCACCGGACACTATGGCTTTAAAAAACTTGAGTACTACTTACAACTAGTACTGTACTTACGTTAATTAATCGTAAGTTTACGTACAACATCCATCCATTCTAGTGTACCCGTGTAAAGTGGTGCAATCACCAGCATCACCAGCACCAGCATTGACGAAGCAGATTGTGCAGTTTTACTGTTGCAGAAATTACTTACTTTTGCATGAAGCTTCATGTGAACGTTCGGTTTACTGTATTAAAAATTTGTAGCATAATTAATTACCACAGACGGTGCCCCATATACTTTATATGCCAGTTTTTTTTGCAGTTTGTATATACTTCTGCAATACTCGGTTGTCTTGAATGCGAACAAAATTAGATAAGAGTAACTGATTTAGAGATGTATGTAATGCAAGTAATTGTATCGTTTAAAATCATTGCAATAACTAAAGGCTATATTCACAGTTAATCCAAAGGTCACAGCTTCATCGATAGTGTCACTGATAGCCTTCTGGTCGGTACTATTCATGCACTTTATTTGATGGATAATCGATCGCGAGGCCTCGAGTCACCTTAACGCGTATTTAAACTCTCAGAGGAGTAATTAGACAAATTAGATGCATAACGATGTACTGCCTGCCAATGCGAATAGGATCAGGAGACGCGCTCCGGCCGAAAAAAAAGGAGGATGTGATGGAAAAACACCACTGCTATCTGGATCGATGGTACATACGAGCATGATCATTATTAGATAAATAATTATTATGTATTAGCCATTAATAATAGCCATATTGCCGGCCTCATAAAATTAATGGGCGCCGTCATGCCTGAAACCGTGTGCCAAACACTCGAACCGGAAGCACTGCATGGGCCCAGCTTATGATTAATACGCAAACGTGGGACGGGGTACGATAGGATGGCGAAAGATCGGCGGGAAACGCGGCCGTCACGCACGGACAACTGGATAATATTTTATTAGTACGAGTAGCTAATTATTTGTTCTGTGCAGTCACGCTTGTAAGATACGAGTACAGAGCGAGACAGTGTGGTATTAAATGTAGCATATCTACCCTGGGAAGCAAACAATGCCGCCGGCGCAAAATCCCACAAAAACTTGCTTTATTAGAGTATACGTATGTCCTCAGTCCTTTGTATGGTACAATAATATTATATGGGTAGTGCATACGCAGTATCAATCATTATTATTATTGATTGCTGACAATGAAAATAAAAATGGTTAGTGTTAAATGTCAAAGCACACAGCTTCATATTTAAAAAAATTAAAGAATGTCAGTGTGTTAATGTACTTATTGCAATTAATTAACTGTGCAGTATACGCTATGTAACTGCAGCATGCACGTATACAGAGATCGCAATGCCAGTAAAAGCAACGGGGCTGAAATTTGTTTGTAAAAAAAGATTACACAGAATAATGATGAACAGTATAATGGTGGAGGTCAATTACATTTGGGTAACCGTTGCGCGTCGGGTAACGGGGAAACGCGTAAAAAACGTGACGTAACAGCGCGTAAGCAAGTAAGCATTCTGATTCGTGATCACAAAATCTGGGATGGGTTTTTAGCTTACTTGTCCGCGTAAGCGTTGCGCTTCGACGTCGAAGCGCAACCGTTACCCAAACTACGAGTAACTCGCGCCTCTCCTGCACAGATCGACAAAATTTTTGTTTGTTTGAACTAAAAGTGCATCCAGCGACCCAGATTCACACTCCAAAATTCATAATTAACTTTTTTGACGTAATACCACATTTACCACATTACAGCATTAAAAATGAGTTTTTCAGTTCCGCTGCGGTGTTCAATTTCTTTCTTGGCACGGAAGCGTACTCGACTTACGATTGGACGATTGGGTTTTTGCTGAGTCATGGCTAATTTTTTACGCGTCTCTCCATTACCCGACGCGCAACGGTTACCCAAATGTAATTGACCTCCACCAATGATGAATTTTACGGGCACGGGTGCGACGGGCAGCGCCCGTTTTGCAGCAGTGGACAATAGAATCCCTGATGGAACAAACTAGCAGCTGTGCACAACATGAAAAAGAAGTCACTTAGTTCAGCAGTACGAACAGTAACAAATCCGCAAACAAATTACTTCGCAGGACATGTAGAAACAAATATTTTGAAACAAACCACACATCAGACGAAAGTCAGTTTCTTAGTAAACCCATTCTCGTACAACACATTTGACGGCCAGTAATTCAGTAAAGATATTTTTCAGTGTCAGAGTATCAATATTGAATTAGGTATTAGATTAAAACGCTGTTAAAAAATAATATTGTTGATATTACAAGTTTGACGATAACTTATCGTAAGTACAAAGTACTTACTGTACTTGTACTGTACCATGCTTTTACACTGTCAGTACAAAATTGTTGAAGGAGCCGGTGCAGCACCGGCAACACTGAAGACTCGTACAGCTGCAAGTACTTGTACGTACGAGCACGGCGCGTGCAATGCGGAACGACTAGCCTCTTTTCGAAGAAACAAGCCAGGGTTGCGGTGCTGCGTCTAAAATCTAAATCCAGTCTTGCCAGCTGTCAACACACGCTTGATAACCATTTAACCCTTCTGTTGACGCTTTGCATTTTTGAAAACATCCTCTTCCGGACGGACTTATCATTTCCCTACAGCGCTTGCAAGGACGATACTGCGTGCTTGATAAAAATGGCACCAACCTTGGGATACTGGAATATTCGCGGTGTAAGACAGCGGATGTTCTGACGCCGATCTGTCATTTTCATGTTTCCGGATATTTTTCCTAGGTTAGCGCGCCGATCCGCTATCTCCTGGAATACGTCGGACAACCCTACGAATTTAAGGGCTACGACCTGTCCAATGCGCAAGGTTCGCAAATCACTAAAAACTGTAAAATCTTGATCGTTGCGTAATTTCCGAAGACCGTGCTTTACTGTATCAAGGAAGGGAAATGCTGCGTTTTCCTGTCTGATGTTTGTTCTTCCTTGATAGAATGGTTCGGAGTAAAGGAAACTCTGGGATTCGAATTTCCCAACGTGAGTAACATGATCTTCTTGCTGTTTACCACGTAAATGCCTTGGAGTAGCGCTCGAGGCACTCGGTTCTGCCTGGAAGAGTGGGCGACAACATTAACAACAACGCCGTGTTTTGTGTTGTCTGCAGTTGCCCTACCTGATTGACGGGGATTTCAAGCTGACGCAGGGCAATGCCATTATTCGCTATTTCGCCCGCAAGCACAATCTCAGTAAGACGCACCTACGCGTAGTGTTGTGTTCCTGACAGTTTTTGCTGTTCAGGGCAGTTTTATTTCTTTACAGCTGACTGTGAAAATAAACTTAAAGACGTAAACATTGCTACGAAACAACAGGCTACTTCTGTGATCATGTCTGCGAAATACCAGGCTTTAATTCGGCAGTAAGCGAGATTAAGCGTTATAAATAATTTATGTTCATAATAATATTATAATATTAATAATTATAATAAATGTGATATTGTAGCTGATTATTATTATTGCTAATTATTTTTTATTTGTTGTTATATTGATTAGCATTGCGTTGTGACGCAGTACTTGGAAGTATTTGTTGGTAGAGAGTTTTTCAGAAATTTTTAGAAAATTTCTAAAGTTTACGTAACAGAATTAGGGCAATTTGCGGAACAGATGCTGTGTCTTATTTGCAGCATCGTCAGGAAATATGTTGCTATTAATTTTACGGCAGTGTCAGTCGTCAGATCATTTTAGCAATATATTTTTGGATTAAATATTGGATATTTCGTTACTGAATTCTGGTGATTGTGTTACAGTTGCCACCAGTGAAAAAGACATTATCGAGCAGGATGTCATGGACGGTGTCATCACCGAGTTCCTCATGGCGTGGGTGACTGTCACGTACGCGACACCCGGCAAGGTACGTTTGCCAAAAAAACAGTTTTATGGTTACAGTAATCTTCCCCATGATTATTATTTTCCTGCGGTTGTTCCACGTGAAAGAATAATTTATAGTACCGGTAATTCGTCTAACAGTAATTAATGATTGGTCTGTGAGTTTTAACACGGTTTTACTTGCACATTTTTATTGTTTTCTTTTTATTGTTTAAAGTAAAGTAAGTTATTAAATATGTTGTATGTTTTATTTTACCGTTACTTGTATTGTACGCATACTACAGTTACTTGAGTTAAATTTACGACATGCTGTGCCAGGGAAATTCAATAGCAGATTAGTACTTTTAACAGATCGTAATGGCAGTATTTGTTATGCGATATAGCGAAAACAGTCTAACCATAATATCGAGTATATTTTTCCGGTATTTTGTCATTTTTTAATTTAATTTGATCAAATTATGTGGGTAGCCATTTGCATTTCATAGCAGTGGATTGTGAAGGTCTAATTTGTTTCTTTTGTGACTTTGCGTAACGGAATACCTCTGTTATTGTTTGAGACAGCCAGTTCATTGTACAAATAACCGGAAACGTTTAAGAAGCATTAGGCTTATTCATGGGTAGCACGCAATTTCATTATCCATTTTCTGTTGACAATATGCATAATTATATTGTTTTGCTGCACCTGCGTCGCCTGAAATAATGCAGTAATATTTTTATTAATTTAGGAAGAGGACCTGAAGCGCTACCGCACCGAGAATCTGACACCGATGCTGCAGCGTTTCGAGAAGCATCTTAACAACCGCGAGTATTTGGTCGGGAATAAGCTGACGTATGCGGATTTCCAGTTTTTCGAAGTAAGTAATCTTAATTTCACCAACAGCGTCTTTTTTGTGAGTAATATCGTTTTCTTCAGCGACTGGATGCCAATATTATTATGTTTCCGGACTTGCTGAAGGATTTTCCCAATTTAAAGAAATTCCATGATCGTATTGCGGTACGTACAGAGTAAACTTTAACAATAAAAATTCCATGAAGTTAATAGTCCATTTCTGATTTCTGAATACGAATATTTTTGTAAGATAATATGATAGAATTTTTCCAACACGGTATTTCATGGTAAAAGGTTAAACAATGAAATTTCGTTCATTTTGTTGTAGAATTTGAAAGGCGTGAAGGAATTCCGCGCCTCGGATCGCCTGCCGAAATCCTTGAATGCCGGACCCAAGGCCAAATGGAATAACGTTTAAATGGTTCAATGGTTATACGTCATTTTTTTCCTTGCCACAAAATATGACGAAAATGTCTTTTTGGCCGTAATTCACGCTATTTAATTGGTTTGATACATCGTTTCTTATTATTACTGGAAGTATTTTTTACATGTTTATTCACTAACGTCATGGCGTTTAACTGCGTTGATAGAATTTGGTTTTTTATTTACTTGCGTTATTCCTGCCCAGAGCTGTGTTAACCGGGAAATCAATACTTCGAAATGCCTTTTAAAAAGGAAATAAAAAGACAATTTCTATCAGTACTTTTATCTTATTTCCATTTCCCGGATTTCTAGAATGTACGCTGCACGAAATACCCATATTTTATTTTTTACATTTCATCGTATTTATACTCGCAATGGCCATCAGAATCAATTCAGAATGCAACAACAACGCCGGCGCTTTACATGTATTGAGCTATACGTTATTCGCCTGAATGGGGCGGTGTGCGCAAAAGGTCGCCCCAGTTCAAGCTTGCACCGGTTGGCATTTTCAACCGCAAAAACGGGATTAGTTCTTCACATAGAAGTATACAATGAGCAAATTACAATCTGGAAACGATCAATAAAATGATGCCGGGGCGCACGAAGTGCCCTGTTTACTGGCACATTTACCAACGAGATTCTCCTCGGCCCAGCGCTGATCCTCCAGATACGCCTGTGGCCGTCCCGGGAAGTCACAAGCCGGGAGGTCATAAATCCATGTATTGTAAATCATATCTTTGGATGTTACGCACATAAACTGGAAGCGGTCATCGATAGCGTCACGGATGATGGCGTCCTCCAACGGGGTAATGTCCTTCGGCATCTTGCGGGTCCACACCGACATACCGGGTTGTTTGCAGATACTGCCGTCCAGGAAGTTGTCCGGGTCAAAACAGCCGGCCCGCAGATAGAAGAAATTAGGGTCCAAGTACAACTTGTAGAACCAGTGCTTGGATTCTGAAAGAGAAAATACCTTAATTCCTATCCGTTATCTGAGTTAGCCGGAAGTACTAACGTCCAGGAGGGGCGCCCAGGGCGGGGTCCAACCGGGTCAGACCATAGCAGAAGCCGTTGCAGGTGGTATTCTGCATGACGTAACCGCCCCAGCAGTTGTGCGGTGCGGCGTCAAAGCGGCACACGGCGGCGGTGGCCTGCATGTAGGCGCCGTCGTTGGAATCGTATACCCAGCCGACACCGCGATCCAGTTCCATGCAGTTGACTAGATCGTGCAGGTTGGGACCGGCCGGTCCATACATGTACTGGTACCAGATGCCATTTTGCTGCAAAGGCACTAAATCATAGTACCCGAAGTGGCTTATGTTACTGGTTTAAGTTATTCCCAAAGATAAAAATTTACTGTACTCTGTAGCTTCGGTAGCTGTTCTGAAAAACTCAGGTTTGTACTACGCAATGTATATTATACGGTATATGCATCACTGATCGGCAGGGAAATCATAAATTCTCGCGCTTCCCTGGTGGGTGCTATATGCAGCACACATCCGGTTCGCAAGAGTAATTACTTGAGCGGGCCGGATGTACGCTATAAGGAAACGATAATCCTAGTGCATGGAATAAAAGTACTTTAGAAATGAAGAATATACAAAATTTTTGAAAGTCAACAACTGCGTTATGTGACTTCTTTATACACGTATATCTATATGAGTTTAATTACGTACGTTTTTTTCTTTTTTTTTATAATTAATTATCCCGTCTCGGTTCTTCCTGCCCCACTGTTTGTGACGCCTGCATATAGTACAGAATAAATTAATAAAATGTTTTCCCGCCCTGCCGCATGCGATATGGCAGATCCGACTATCCTGCATAGGAAATAATTTCTTATCGTTTTTAGGATGAATATGATGATTTATTCTATGAACCAATGTAAAGGTCATCAGGTTTTTGCAATCCCGTCAAAGCCTTTTGTGTCGGAAGATCGCCGTCGGTTCCATCTCTATCATTTTGTGTAACTGTAACACGGCGTAAAATGAACCCATATAGGTACAGAGTACCCTTATTTATGTGCGCAGAGCCCGAAGAGTTACGCACTGGCGGTGGGAAAAGGGGAAGATTAGTCGAGGCGTACACTACAGGTGTGAATGTGAAGCTACCATAACATTTTCGTTCGTTACGAGACGATTGAAAAGTCCTTGAATTTTAGTACTCGTTATGAAAACTACTCGTACATAAAATTCAGATAGTTTCCTCTATCGTAACGAAGGCAAACAGTCACGTGCAATTCGAACGCATTACGAAAGCGAATACGATGACGAAAATATTTTCGTTCGGCAACACTAATATTCTGCATTACTATGCTTCCGGTCATCAACAGTACCGCTCCACCGGAGAGAGCATTAAATCTCGCACATCCTCTTATACGAGTTCTGTAACTCCATATGGACGAAGACCTGAAAACATGATTCCATGCTTCGTGAAATACTGTTACCAATCTGTATCATCCTAGCTAAAACTGCTGAATCCGCACTGATTTCTGCAGTATGACCACTGTACTGAAAATTCATTGATCGTATTATTTTAGGCCGGCCTGGAGACCAGTTGCAAGAAACCGTGAAAGTGGCCTTGGCATGGACATTACCTGCTAGTTCGCTCAGCTCGATGAAAAATATTAAACTGACCGTTATAAAAACTGTACGCGTATTCAAAATAACGAAAGTGTACAGTTCCACATAAATGATGATGCAGAATTTCCGCTGCCGGTCGCTTCACGTGGTGGCCGGTTGAACATGCCGGCTGGCGACTGTTATCAGAGAGGCAATGATCATCGGTTAGAAGTTTGTTGCACTAGTTTTCGGATGTGCTCATGTGCAATTGTTTTTTGTCAATGAACAGGGTCTGTATATGAATACACAGGACAGTCAAGAATGGTTCGTATGCCATTACGGTAGAAATTGACAACCTGCCTAATCTGGATAATTAATTGCAGGCGGTGCATTTGGGCTGATGTCCGAACGCTTCATTAGGAATAACGTTACAGTGTAATGTTTTGAAATACCGTATATCGAACTGTCAGCAGGAATCACCGAATTTCCGCAGTAGACAGAGAAATGATAGCACGTGACTGTCATGTTAACGAATGCTACTTTGACTGTGGTGCAGTGGTGGGGTGGTCCCCGTGGCGACAGCGCGCAATCAATCAACTTATTGTAATCAATCCACGTTTTAAGACCGGCATTGTCATCCAGGTCTCCAAGATGACGTGTAATGTTATCTGCAGGGGCGTCACAGGTCTGGCAAAAGAGGGGTGTCAAATTTTGACAGGGGGTCTTCTCAGAGTGAGTTACACGTAAATTTGACAGGGGAGTCAACGCTAATTTTTGCAATTTATCTGGGAAAAAAATTGCCCCCCTCTCTCGGACGCCCTCCTGTCAATTTTTTTTTGACAGGGGGCAACCGGTTTTGAAAAAATAGGAGGAGCAAACCCCTAAACTTTGCCGGCTGACACCCCCCCCTATGACGCCCCTGGTATCTGCAACCCCTCGTTCTAGCTGGCGTCACACAGAAATTTTGACAAATCTACAGGTAGTGCGTCCATAACACGGACACCCCTCAAGAAGGACCGCACGAAATGAGTGAATCTTCAGCTAATCGGTCGGTTATAATATATAAAGAGTAAGAGGATAAGGAAGTTCTGACTACTTTTATGAGGAACTACATTCCATTTCGGACCACGGGTCACAGCCGCCGCTTGGACATTTGAGTTCGGCTCGTTGCCGGTTTGGGTAATTTACCCTTGTTTGGTTGCTGGTGGACGAAGAATGTTGGCTGCATTATGGAGTACAGCACTACCGTACGCAGAGATGATTATTACGATTTACTGGTATGATCGAGCAAACTTTGCGGAAAGCTTGCCATAATGATAAAGTAAAGTAAAAATTTTTTCAACGATATGACTATTAGAAAAATGTTGTTCAATTGACCGAGGCATTAAAACGCGACGACATTAAGTACTACTTTCCGCAAATTATAACTACAGCCACAACACTACGATGCGCATTGCTAAGTGGTTCAAACGGCAAGTGATAACTTCGTCTGCAAGGGCGGTTTCTTTCTTAACCTACGGTTAATTGTTTTAACCGGTACATAGCGCGTCTGCGACAATAAGAGCAATTAAGGAGATAAACTTACAGCAGGAGTATCGAAAGCGTATCCCACCGGCAGACTCGGGACACACGTCTGGTTGGTGGTGGAGCTGCCGCCCGTTGTGGTCTGCGAGCCGGATGCAGCGGATGTCGTTGTCTGTCCTCCAGACGAAGCGGTTGTGGTGGTCTGCTGGTTGGATGAACCTGTTGTCGTTGTCTGTTGGTTCGATTGGCTGGACGCGGTGCTAGTCTGCTGATTGGACGCGGGAGTGTACGACGCTGTCTGCGCGCACACAATTCCGACGGTGACAACGAAGACCACGGAAGAGGCCAACATCGCGTCGTGATAACGCTCCAAAATTTTTAGAAAATGATAACTTTGCTCGATACAATATTTTTTGTTAAGAATACTGGCATGCAGACGTACGCATTTTGCTCTATATTTCGGCTTATATACAGGCAGTTATGACTGTGATGTGGATAATTCAGCTTAATTGCATAGCGCAGTGATTGTATGCGTACGTACGACCAATCGAAAAAACCGTCTAATCTATACTTCTACGTCAAAATGAACCGCCCTGCAAAAACGATGTTCCGCCCTTGCGGAAAACACTTTCACTTATTTATAAAACATGTAGAATAATGATTACTCTAGAGAAAAAAGCTTGTAGTAGGTTGAAACGTTATCTCGACGAAGGGAGGGGAAATTTGACAGCTTACAGTAGGGTACGTTGCCAGCCGATAGCACAGTAAAATTTTACCGGGAACACTGAAGAATAAAATTTTTAAGCGAAAATATCGTTAGATGATTATACATAGATATACAGTACTACCGTATAATCATCTAACGATATTCTCGCTAACCGTATTTAAAAATTACTAGCCGTATTTCGCAGGATAGTTGTACTACTGTAACAGTAGTATAATTAATTCTTTTGCGAAATACAGTTAGTAATTTTGAGTACAAGCAGCATCTGGAGTATCCTGGCTAACGAAACAACACATTCCAAATGCAAACGGGTTTGAAAATGTACTGAGTAGGCTTAGTCGCACATACAGATACACATATAAATACTTTATACCGTTGCCGCTTGTTTAATTATCTATTCGGTCATTGTTCAATAATTTCCATTCGGTCTTCTGTCAGCCCTTTAGAATTGTTTCGCACTTAAAAATTTCTAGCAGATAAATACATGCAAATCCCTTGTTTGATTTAATTCATCATAATTGTAAGTTAAGGAACGGTTTATTTGCAAAGAATATGGGACAATGCCACTTAGTTATTTTTGATAAAACTATAAAATTCCGTAAACAGAAAAACATAGTACATGTAAAACTAATGATGCTATTGGTTTTACTAGACTGCAATTAACAGCAATGAATTGCAACTTTTTTTGCAATTAACTGGGCGGCATATGAATGATGATTGATCGGTATAACATGAGCCGCAGCAGATTCAAGCAGCTGGTCACTGTTCCGCTTTTTATCGATTCTAACGCGATCATGTAAAGAATGAACGGTGTTTGTTCACATTAGAATTTTGATCAAACGTCCATCTTCGAACGAACAACAGCTCCACAAAAAAATCGGTAAAGCGTGAACGAAGTGTATGAAAATAATATCATTGTCACCAACAACGATCGTTTCTTAATCGTTTTCGTTAGTCTTTATGCCGCAGTAATCCTATAACTAATTATGGAAAACCCATTACACGGTGCAACATGCTCTATTGAAATATTGAAAGCCTAATTGTTCTACAGTGGTAATTATCGTTAAACCGATACGTCGCTTTGATAAAACTATCAATGATTACTTGAGCGTTCTTCAACGTCGTCGTGTGTCGGCCTGCAACGATATGCGGCTAATCAGAGCAACGGTGCGTTCGCATCAATCAAACAACGTTTTAAGCAACAGAACTTGTGTCAAGAGCGCACACTCGGCTAGTCATGGGCGGGTGCATTGTTTGTCACTGCGGTTTGGAAATGGAGAGCGGTACACCCGACACCGCCCAAAACCGGGTCTCGATGCGACGGCCAACGGCGGACATTGGGCGGATAAAATTACCTGCGACGGTCTGACACAAAACGCCCAAAACGGCAACTCACACCGTCACCGGTTAGAAGAGCTATGCCGGGTCATGATGATCTAGTTTTGTTCAGTAACGGCTACCGAATAAAATCAATTGCCTCAATTATATGGATGTACTAACAAAGTTACAATTATTTTACCAGTACTTAAAAGGTTAAATGTAAGCCCCTACTTTCATTATGCGTTAACGAGAACGAGACTACAATTCTAGCATTTAACGGTGCCGAGTACTTTTGTGCGCTTAAATACCCTACCTGGGGCGCGTCAAATTTGAGTTCTATCTCAAGTTATGAGTTCTATCTCGAAAAACATGATCGAATGGTTATTTTTTCCAGCATCTTATAAAACTGATCTGCATCGACCATCTGATGCTAATGGCCGGGTACGTATGAGTGACCTGCGACGGTATGTGCACATTTAGAAAAAACGACCTTTTGTTGCAACTGTTATATGCATCATTGCAGGTTCTCGAGGCAGCAGGACTGTCGATGTGGTCAGTCACTGAAGATGACTTTCTTTATTACACGGCTCCTGTACGGGAGCCGTGTAATATACTGATGTGACTGTGAGCGACGCGCGCCCCGAAGGGGCCGATCCCGTTTTCGGTACGTGCAGCCTGCATCGAGGTAAGGTCAGGGAAGAAGTGAGACGATGAAATTTCAAAAAGTTTCATACAACCTTCACAAAATTAAGTCCATTACGGTGAAGTCGTTGCTCTGTACGGTCCTCATGCAGATGATCAACGTTAAGATAGATTTATTCTAGGAAAGGCTGAATTTGCGTACTCATAATTGCGTATTTCGTAAAAGTTAGTTTGTAATGCAGTCGCCACTATCGGCTCTGCGCGCTGCTGTTTAAATGTTCTTAACTTTAAAAGATCTTGGCTATTACAGCGTACCTATGTAAAGCTATGTTGTACTCGTAATTCGGTATTGATAAGGATATGATGATTTTACGTATTTTTAGATATTTCGATCCGAAAATTACCGGGATCATTGCGGTACAATCTTATTCCATTGAATTACTGTAAAGTATGGCGTCGCATTTCACATACCACTACCGCTTGCCCTGGAACCGGATATGCCCGCAATTCCTGGAATATCCTGTTATGTATACACGACACAAATTATTCCAAGGCCTGGCGGAAAGTGCCGGTAAATAGCAATATTCCCATTTGCAAGGTCACGCGGAAATCTGCAGTAATGCCATTTTATTACAATGTTTTATTACTATAATTTTATTACAATGTTTTACGGCCATTAATCTATTTACAAGAGGAAAGGAAGCGACCACGCAAACTATCGATGTAAATGCATTTAAGCTGCGCATAGCGTAGCTGCAGACGTAGAAAGGGTGCAAGCGCGAAATTTGACTCAATAGAACGAAGCCGGAGCGCAGGAGCTGCCCTGCTTGCTGGCACATTTGGTGACGAGATTCTCTTCGGCCCAGCGCTGATCATCCAGATACTTCTGCGGCCGTCCCGGGAAATCACAGTCCGGCAGATCGTACATCCATGTATTGTAGACCATGTCCTTGGATGTCACGCACATAAACTGGAAGCGGTCATCGATGGCGTCACGGATGATGGCGTCCTCCAGCGGGGTGATGTCCTTTGGCTTCTTGCGCGTCCACACCGACATACCTGGCTGCTTGCAGGTACTGCCGGGACTTAGGAAGTCCTCGGGGTCAAAACAGCCGGCACGCAGATAGAAGAAATTCGGCTCCAAGTACAGCTTGTAAAACCAGTGCTTGGATACTGTCAACCAAAGGAAATCATAATTATTATTTCGAAAATATTGAATGATTATTCAATTATTTTTTGTAGGTATATGATTAGTAAATGTTAAATATAATATAATGGCCGTAAAAACATTAATAAAAAATTAAATAACATAGTATTATGTACAGTTAACTGTTGTGAACTTATGGTTAGGTAAAGCGTACTGTTGGTACAGATACTAGAGTACGTAGTACGTACATCCATCACCGGCGCCCAGATTGGCGCTGAGCCGGGTTAAACCGTAACAGTATCCGTCGCAGGTGGTGTTCTGCATAACGTAACCGCCCCAGCAGTCGTGCGGGGCGGCATCAAAACGGCACAAGGCGGCGGTGGCCTGCATGTAGGCACCATTGTTGGAATCGTACACCCAGCCAATCCCGCGGTCCAGCTCCATACAGTTGATCAGATCGTGCAGGTTGGGACCGGGCGGTCCATACATGTACTGGTACCAGATGCCGTTTTGCTGCAATAGACAGAATAGGAGCGCCTTTTCCAAACAAGGCAAATGATTGAGTCATTATCAATCAAGACAAAATACAGTAACTGTAGCATTCTATAATGCATATAAATTATTATTATATGATTAGCTACTATCCATGTGCTTCCGCAATACTGCTTGAGCATGCCGAAACGGCATCCTGAACATTTTAAACATCATCTGAGAAGGAAGCTACCAAAAAAGTTATCATATCTATCACGAATTGTGCCTGGTGGACAACATTCATGACAATTCTGGATTCAGTGAGAACGATAAAAGTTCATGGATTCATCAAACCTACGATATTTGTTTTAAGAAAATTAAAATGAAAAGCCGGTTTACTTTTAATTAGGATACAGTACCAGTATTTGTACAGTAAATTGGTATGCTATTGCCATTGGCCACTTACGGCTGGAGTATCAAAGGCATATCCAACCGGTGGCAGCTTGGGAACGCATGTCGTGGATTGGTTGGTTGATGCTTGGGTTGTCGTTGATCCGCCACCGCCACCGGAAGAGGTGGTTGTTGTTTGCTGGCCGGATCCGGATGGTGTCATCTGATTTGTCGCAGCATAATACGCGGTCGTCTGCCCGTGTACTCTCCACACGGAGAGGACAACGACAACGATGGAGATGGCTCTCATCGTTCGTCCTGGCTTTCTATACTCGATTAAGCGGCAAACAAATGATCTTATGAAAATGAATAAGAGAAGCCGACGAGAGACACGTCAAAATTCGATTATATATGCAGGAAAAGAATTTCTGCTGTGCATACAGTAGTTCGGGGTAATTAAGTACCAGGCATAATTAACAAGTACGCGATTGTGCAGGGTAATGAGTATACACTGCAGTTATTGTACAGTATTCGTCCAATCATGTACCGACATAATTATTACATTATTAAGTACTGTGCACTGTCAACAAGCACGTGTATAATTGGTATTAGTGCTCTCAATTTCGTTTGCACTTAATTCGCGAGATTATGCCGAATATAACCAAATCAAACCAATGCGCGGTCGATGCCCAATAAGCCGTGCGGTTCGTTCTCCAGCCTTTCGCATCTCCAGCATTTGCACCGAAAAACAAAGTAACCGAACACACCGGTAACGAACGGAAATTTTCTGCGCATGGCCAACAGGCAGACCGATGTCGTATCAGATGGAATTTTCAGTTTTTAACCAAACGAAAATCGTTGATCAAAATGCAATTAGTGTAGGCAGCATCGGAGCCGAAAACATGCATTTCTGAGTAAAGAACGAAATGATTGCATAGTATCGCCTAGTTTTGGGAGGATCACAACGTTTGCTCAACGTTGTAACTTACAGATACAATGACTGCATTCTCAGTCTGACAATTTTATTGCTTAATTTCTGGTTGCGATATAAAAGCGTCGTTGATTGCTTTGTTACTCTTGCAATTAAACGTTTCGGATACCGACTTAGGGGGGGCGGGAAGGTCAACTTCAACTTCGCGCACGACAAATTATATAATCCGGGATGCATGAAAATCCCAGCCGATTATTTTAGGAGTTTAAAATTGCAAATTTAAAATGCTCATAATTTCGTGCGGAATCACGAATTCATATATTCATATTATTCGTATTTTGATATTACAGCTGTCATACGCCCATGATTGATGGATAATTAAACTACATAGACAATGGCAGCTGTGTCGGTGTTCTAATTCCAACCGGTAAACAGTAATAAAACCGTTTGCGAGAGTTTAATAACGCTGCATGTTGGCCTTGGTCAAAATCAAAATGGCTGGCTGACATATCGAACGGGCTTGACGGTGAATTAAAAGAATTCTTATTGGGCTATGATCAACCGAGATATTGCAGAAAAGCATTAGCGCTTTTAGCCGGTGTGGTACGGATGGCAAGGTTAGCTGTTAAGGTATTAAACACCGGTCCACGCAGCGACTTCTTTATCGTTAGTTGCGTTACTTACCTTCGTTAAAATACGGGCAAATTAAATATTATGGCCTACCGCGGTCTTCGGGACACTGGGCCAATATGACGGAGACAACCCTGGCGAACGGCCGTTTTTCACTTTAAAAGGCTCGTTAAGTTATCCGGTTCCGCAGTGTTTGGTGCTCCACCAGCCAGCATAGATAGCCGTGACCTTTTGGTAGTTTATGTTCTTGACCAGGTAAATTACCTTTATTTGGGGTGAACATGGGGCTGGCAGACCATATGCGTGCCCCCGGCACTACAGTGAGGGATGAGCCGGGGAGTGCTGACGTACACAATCAGTGACAGAATAAGTATCTATATATACACCCATGGCTTCGTTCCGCTTCACGCTTAGTGGAAACGATATTATGACATTATGACAAGCTCAATGTGAGACACGTTCTTCGAGAGTACGCCTTTTAAATTATACAAAATTTTAAACATCGTACACTTGATGTAATTTAGCACTACTCTGGATGATTGTCAATTGTCATGGACTTCAACCATCAAACAGGTAATTCCATTTCCGGTCAAAAGCGGTCTCGAAGATGCGTGCTTGGAGCCCCCATCTTGTAACGAGACCGACGATTTAAGTTATTAAAATTATACAGGTACATCTGCCAATTCGTTGTGCTGTGTAATAGCTGAAGGGTGGAGATTGAATCTGTTTATAAAAGCAACGTTGGTCGACAATCCTTATGTCAGCCGGAAAAAAAGGGCGCTGCTTGCGACCGCCAGAGTTTGCGATTAGCGATACAACAATGTTGCAGCGACGGGGCGGCAGCTGTGGATGGAAATTTGTCTGTGCTGATTTTGCTGAACAAGTGAAAAAGCAGCCAAACGCGCTACACCGGTGTGTTTCAAATGTTTATAACTTTCAGCTTTCTATTTTTAATGTTTTTCTGTCTTCTCTCACAATAAACATATTCCCCGTTACTCCGTTACAGTCTTACTCACTCGCCTACATTTTTAAAATTTACGATGCCTTCCTTATTCACTTTCCAGAACGTGGACCCCCCCTCGGGTCTGGACGTCCGTGATGAAGCCTCCGGATTATTCCACCGTGGCTTCGTCAGCGACTCCACCGATACCACCCTCACCCTCGATTTCCATTCCCCTCATAAATCCCCCGCCACCTTTCCCCTGGAGCAGGTCTTCGATAAAGGCGAAGATCTGGAAGATGAGCAAATCACCAGCGGCACACAAGTTGAAGTGCCGTACCAATCGGGCGAGGCGCCCATCACCTGGTACCCAGGAAAAATTGTCGTAGGCGAAGCGTATGCCTACGCTATCGTCGAATTTAGTGTGGATGATGATAAAAACAAGAAATCCAAGGTGAAGGAGCTGTTCAAGCCGGATCTCCTGCGCAACCCCGATGAAGAGCGGATCCCCGTGGATGAGGGGATGTTCCGTCGGACGGAGATCCCGTTGAAGAAGGAGCTGGTGGAGAAGCTTGAGGCGTTGATGAAGACGAAGAAAGGGGCTGAAAGATTGGAGGAGGTGTGGAAAGCGCGCGGCGTGTGTCGTGCCGATGTGGATAAGCATCGGGCGCTGGTGGTCTTCCGCAGCGGGAAGGATGATCTGGATGAGGCGTTCGTGGAGGAGACCGTGGAGGGGGTCGAGGAGAAGGGGACGAAGCGGGATGCGGAGGGGCAGGAGAAGGGAAGCGCGTCCAAGACAGGTACGAGGGCAGGTTTTATGGTTGTCGTGCTCGGTGCTATTATGGCTATAAACTACTTTTTTATTGTTGGGAATAATTAATTAGTTCCAGAAATTTTATTAACTTATTTAGACATTAAGTAACAACTAAGTAACAATTTACAATTAATTTATTTAATAATTCATAGGTTAAATCATTAAAATAATTTTAAAAATTATTAAGTATTACTTCATAGTTACTTTTTTTAATTTTTTGATTTTTGAAATATTGCAGTTTTAAATTGATTATAGTTTAACGCTATAGTTATCTTGAATATTCTTTGGCGCTGATGTATTTTATTGTTGGTTTAATGTTGCAAGATAAAAAGAGGATTCGCTAGTGTTTTTGTTTGGACCTGTTTGTTTCTGAAATCTGGTTCCAATTTTTTTCCTAAATTTCTGTACTGTAATAGGTTTGATAATGGAACTGCATGCTTTTCGGCCGCAGTTAATTCTTGAATATTTTTATTTTTGGCTTAAATTTTGTCCCCTTACTGTTGCATTTTTTGTTGGATTTTGTTCTTTATTTTTTCTCTTTTAATTCTTGCCGTTAACAGTAAATACTATCGTCGCGTGTTTATTACTTGTTCAAATAATAACAAATATCCACGTTATTTTTCAATGGAAAGAATTAAAATAATAAATTAAAGTAATATACTGAGATCGAAATTTTTTCGATGCCTTTTTGTAGACGAGAAGGGCGACGCCAAAGCCCACCACCCATCCAAAACCCACGTGACCGTCAGTACGGAGACTTTCGGGCGTCATTCGCGGGAATTTGAGCACTGTCAGCACGTGTTCCGCGCCGTGGATGCCACCACGAAGGAGTTCACCTTCGAGGGCGGGGAATCCGACCATAATGACGGATGGCTGCTGCACTGCACTCTGGGCATCCTCTTCGGCAAGGACATCCATCTGGACAAGCTGATACTTTCCAAGACATTCCCGTATTTCGGCGACATCATCGAGAACACCGAGGACACCCTGAAAATCAACGCCCACCTGGCGGCGGTGGCCAAGAAGCTGGTTATCCGGGAATGTGAGGTCTCGCAGTTCATTCACAGCGTCATGGAAGTGTCGTCGGGGCTGACGGATACGACGGCGGTGGTGGAAGAGGCGGAGCTGGAGCTGCACGGAGAGGACGCCGTGGAGAAGGCGTTGGCGGTGTTTGAGGAGATTGTGGAGGAGCTGGATGCGGATCAGAAGGAACGGGTGAAGAAGGCATTGGAGAAGAATGCCGAGGAATCGTTGAAGATCCTCAAAAAGTAAGGAATTGTGGTTTTAATATTTTTTTTGTGAATCAGTACAGTAATGATTATTTTCGTGGGTGGATGAAAACCAACGTCATACGAGAAAATTGTGGATTTAAATTATAAAGTGGTTTGTATAATATTTTGTAATTATTATTTCGATAAATAATATTTATTTGTTGGTCTTTTTATTTACATATATGGTTTGATTTCGTAGCGTAATCAGCATTTCCATTTTATTTATTTACATTACCGTATATTTTTTAAAATTGCGTAGTGGTTTGAAGTTTAATGCACTCGTAAGAATGTGGGCTAATTATCTGAAATGCTTTGTGAGCCACATTTATGTATTTTGAAATTTGAATTGTAATTTATTTCTGTCAGTGAAGTTTTTTTCTTGTCATTCTGCGCTGAATTCCACACTTAAATGCCTTTGCTTAAATGTTTCCGTTTGTTAGGTGGGAACCAAAACATTTCTCTAAACTGAAAGAGGCGGACATAAAAAAGGTGGATGTTTCATCGCTGAAGAAACTGACACAGATGGCGATCCTCTACACATTCTATTGACGTTGTAAAATCAAATCTCGTAGCTTACCTTTTGACATTTTCATCTCTGCTGTCTGCACCATGGATCTGCCCGAGATCTGTTTCCATGCATTTATTTTAGTATATTTATCCAATGCCAGTTTAAAATTTTAACTGCATATGAAGCGGCAATAAGTAGTGATAGGAACTGTTTGGATGGGATTTAAAACGTTTTTGTTAATTTTAGAATCTCTGGTATTGGTTTGTCGGTGTATGCCGGTGTCGTTTTCAACCCGGTAAATTTAGGTACAGTAATTGCATTTTGGTTATTTCGCGATTGATTATTTTAACATTGATCACGGACGTATAAGCAAACGATTCGGTTTTTTTTTTCTGGGCATATGTACCCGGCATCTTAGTCCGCTTCGATGATGTGAGCGAATTCATTAATCAGATGACATTGTCGGAGAGATTCTGTTTGCTAACTGCGGTAAGCTGCAAAGGAGACTATAACAAATGCCCCAGATAGATCGCATTGTTTCTGACTGATAGCAGAAACTGGGCAGCTTCCAATCTTGTCCAGTTCTAACAAGTTTCTTGGTGCCGTATCACCACGGTCCGTAGATTTTGAATGCCTCCGGGACAAAATAAATCCTTTCTTGGAACCAGCTGTGCTTCGCTAGCTTTCCCCGTTCAGGTTACTCCGCGGCGGTTCTGGCATTCACGTCGAACTGTCGAAGTACGAGTAATGAGCAATGAGCATAGCTCTGCGCTTGAAAACTGTTCTGCGTGCAACCACCAAAAGGCTTCGATTATAGATACAACAATGTCTACGTAGAACGGTAGATGCTTTTTTGAATTCTCCGTATGACAAGACTGAACGCCGGTGTTTCAGTTGTTTTGTCTTTGCTTTCCCGGTCGTCTTACTCTCGCTTTCTTATCTCTGACTCTCGCTCTCCCTTACTTTTTGAATATTTCCGATGCCTGCCTTATTCAATTTCCAGAACGTCGACTTCCCCACGGGTCTGGACGTCCGCGACAAAGCCTCCGGGCTGTTCCACTGCGGTTTTGTCAGCGACGCCACCGAAACGACACTCACGCTCGATTTCCAATCCCCCCTCAAACTCCCCGCCATATTCCCCCTGGAGCAGGTCTTCGAGAAGGGCGGAGATTTTGATGATGAAGATGACTTAAAAGAGCATCTCACCAGCGGCACACAGGTCGAAGTGCCGTTGTAATTAATCGGACGAGGCGCCCATCACCTGGTACCCAGGGAAAATTGTTATAGGCGAAGCGGACGCCTACGCAATCGTCGAATTCGACGTTGACGATGACAGAGAGAAGAATAAAACCAAAGTTAAGGAACTGTTCCATCCGGATCTCCTGCGCAACTCCAAGGAGGAACGGACCCCCGTAGATGCAGGGACGTTCCGTCGGACGGAGATCCCTTTGAAGAAGACGCTGGTGGAGAAGCTGGAGGCGTTGATGAAGAGGAAGAAGGGAGCGGAGCGGTTGCATGAGATGTGGAAGGCGCGCGGGGTGTGTCGCGCTGATGTGGATGCGCACCGGGCGCTGCTGATTTTCCGCAGCGGAAAGGATGATCTGGATGAGGCGTTTGTGGAGGAGACGGTGGAGAGTGTCGAGAAGAAGGGGACGAAGCGGGATGCAGAGGGGCAGGAGAAGGGATGTGCTTCCGAGGCAGGTACAAAAAACATGTTTTTGTAATTGTACTCGTACTGTTTATTGTGGTTTTATTGTGGCTTATTATGTTTATTATTATTATAATTTGGTTATTTATTGAATATTTCAAATTTATTTTCTGTTTGTTTAAATTGATTAGTTAAAAGAAATTTTTTAGTTAAACAACTTTTATTTGTCGTAATTTTTATTTACCATTGATTTTCAGTTTTTTTTAGAATGAATTATTTGTATTTAATTAAGTACTTCAAAAACCGCTTTTAATTTTCGCGGTACGGTATTAAGTACAGTATTTTTTTGAATTTATCCTAAATTGAAGAAATACGAGATCTTGTAGTGACTTATACTTACTATTTTCTTTGGCACTAAAAATGAGATTTTTTTGGGGCTTGTCATTTGAAAGCAAGAACGGAATGTGCATGTGTTGGGCTAAAGTTGTTTGTCCTTGAAATCTGGTTCAAAATTGTTCTACCAAGTGAATCCAAATCTATAGTGTATATTTAGCCCGTCAGTGGCCGTCACTGTATAAGCTATGATGGTTTCAATAATAAAAGTACATGTGTGTTCCGTTCACAGTTGGTTGTTGGATTTGTCTAATTTTTGCAGGATTTCTTTCTATTTTGATATCCTTCTCGGAATTTTTATTCTTTTGTGGGTGGATTGATTTTTACCCGTTATTTTTCTTTTAATTCTTGCTGTTAATTGTTAAATACTATGGCCGCATGGTTGCTGCCTATTCAGTTGTCGCAGTCCTTATTTTAGAATATTATTAAAATAAAGGCTTGAAATAAAAATAACGAAATAATATAGAAATTGCAATACTGAAATAAACTTTTTATTTCGTTATCTGTTGTAGACGAGCAAGGGCGATGCCGAAACATGCCATCCATCCAAAACCCACGTGACCCTCAGTAAGGCGACCTTGGGAGGCTTTTCGCGAGGATTCAATTACTGCCAGGACGTGGATGCCACTACGAAGGAGGTCACCTTCGAGGGCGGGGCGTCCGACCGTAACGACGGATGGCTACTGCACTGCACATTGGGCATTCTCTTCGGCAAGGACATCCATCTAGACAAGTTGACACTTTCCAAGACATACCCGATTTTCGGCGATATCGTCGAGAACACCGAGGACACCCTAAAAATCAACGCCCGCTTGGCGGCGGTGGCCCAGAAGCCGGTTATCCGGGAATGCAAGGTCTCGCAGTTCATTTATTCCGTCAAAAATGTGTCGTCGGGTCTGGTGGACACGGAGGCGGTGGTGGAGGAGGCCGAGTTGGAGCTGCATGGGGAGGACGCCGTGAGCAGGGCGTTGACCGTGTTTGAGGAGGTTGTGGAGGAAGTGGAGGAGCGCCTTAAGGAACGGCTGAAGAAGGGATTCAAGAAGTATCCTGAAAAATCGGTGAAGATTCTAAAAAAGTGAGTCATATAATATATTTTTTTAATAATTAGCACTGTATACTAACTAATAATTATGATATGGATCGGACGACGACCAGTGCCGTATGTAAAAATTGTAGTTTAATATTTTTAACTAATGTGTGCAGTAATTTATATTTATAATCAGTATTTATTTATTTGCATTTTTTGATACTGTAATTCACATCGCTTCAATAATTTTAATTTTTGATGTTTTTTAAGCACTCGTATTAACTTGCCCTGCAGTGTGATATTGTTTTAGTGAATTCTGCTTTGAATTCCATAAAAGATGTCTTTGCTTAGCATTGCGGTTTTCTTTAGGTGGGAACCAAAGCGTTTCTGTGAACTGAAAGAGGCGGATTTAAAAAGTGTGGTTGTTTCATCGCTGAAGAAATTGACACAGATGGCGATCCTTTACACATTCTTGTGATGTTTCGAAATCTCGAATCTCGTAGCTCATCTGTCGACATTCTCTTCTCTGCTCCATGGATCTGCGCGAGATCTGTTTTCATGCATTTATTTTAGCCTGTTCAGGAATTGCCAATTTTTAATTTTATTTGATTTTATTTGCATATGAAACGGCAATAAGTAGTGATAAGAAAATTAATGTTTATATTCGATTTAAAATGTTTTTGTTAATTCTAGAATCTCGGGTACAGTATTGGTTTTTCGGTGATGCCTGTGGTTTACATCCCGGTAAATATATTTTTATTTTTGTGATTTCGCGATTAATTATTTTACTCATGGATCACTTATGAGCAAGCGATCCTGCTTTTTTCTGGGCACGTTACCCGGCATATTTTATGCCGCTTCGATAAGTGAACGAAATAAACGAATTGCCTGACATACACCGCATTAATACTGACTTCATAGCTTTATTACTTCACAATATTCAAAGTATTTACAGTTCATCACTTGTTCTTTTGATGGCACTTGACTGATGATGTGATTCACGCTACAAAAATTGCACCATGAATCCATGATTGCTGTCTGTTGCTGCCGGATATTTGATTTTAACGGCCTCATAATTCATATTCATAATTTAGTCACAATCATCATGATCAGTGCGTGCGACAAGACTGCTGACTTGGTTCAATACACTTGTCCAAATTTGGAATTCCCAACACAGTGTGGTCCAAGATGACTCAATTTAAAATCGAGGAGGCACATCAGTTTTAAAATTTCTCACAAGAGAAAAAATTCAGCACGCTCTTGAAAATTTATTGTTAATTCTGAAAATCCAATAGAAAAGCAATCACGAAGCAGTACAATAAAAATTTTAAATAAATGACGCTCAAACGAAAAATGGAATTCCAGTAGCGCCCAGTAAATGGTAATGGGTGCCAGTGATGGAATTTCATGTGGGTGTGAGAGCATTTTCGACTGGAGTATCAAATCAACAGCAGCATATTTTTGCCAGTTCATTCATTGCAAGTTTCGATTACCCCGCGACAGATGATCAACAATGTAATCAATTTTCCCGTGGCGTCGGTCTGTGTGTGTCGATTGCAGGCATAATGCAAGCATGTCTCGCCGGCGATTCGGTAATAATCATCGCTGGGCGAACGCCGTGCCGGCCGGAGCGGAGGACGATGACGACAACGATGGACTGATTGACGATGAGCCCGACGATCGTCTAGAGAAATTCGGAGAGATTCAGGCAAATAGCAGACGCCTTGCTCCCTGACTGATTTCTTCTTGATATCAGGGGTCTTATGGTGCTGTGCATGATGTAGATCTCGCGGATGGTGGAAGAAGAAGAGGATGAGCCGTGTCTGGAGGAAGAGATGCTGTTTGGACGACCGCGTCGAGCACAGCCTGTTGCGCCTGCCTTCCATGCCTGGTCTTCCTTGGGAGTGAATGAGCGCAGCTCTGATGTAAGTCCATATTTGTCCGAGACTAACATATTTGCATTTATTTCGAGGCGTACATATTTGCATTTGTTTCATCATTACGGGCTAATCTTGGGTGGAAAAAGTGCAAAATCATTGTGATGTTCGGTAAACCTGCATAGCGTTTGAAGTTCCCTGTACAGTGGTACAATGACAGTACCGCCGTACAGGGTAATGATAACTGCTGGCGCTGTTATGCGAATATTTTTATTTGATTTTTGACTTTTTTGACGATTTTCATTTCACGTATTTAGGAGGAAGAACCTTATTTTATGAAATCTCAAGCGCTGGCGATGCCGGGCAAGCAGGTGCATCAGCCGGATACGCGGACGGATCGGGATTTGGTGGATTTTCTCCGCGCCTTCGACTGCGAAGAGGCGTATGATGTTCTGCAACAGCGCGGAATTTCCCTGCGTCAGCTGCTGGAAATGACGGACGATGATATTTCTGATGTAAGCGATTGCTTGTACGGTATTATCTGATAGTTGTGGAAACTTAAGCCTGCGAATGTTCCGCTTCCGTTTCGAAAAATTAAGAAACATCAGAAAACGAGAAATCAGTCTGCATGGAATAAATTCAATTTTTTAAATAATTATATTATTTTTATTTTATTTAGTATTTTTGTTTTGCATATCAGCGAAAGCGTACCTTGTAAATTTGTAATTATTGATTGCAGGCTTTTTTTCATTTTGCTTTGTTTCGTTGTATAAGAAAGTCTTTACTTGTACGTTTTCACGTATCGCATCG